CGTACATTGGCAAACTGCTCTCCGAGAGAGAATGACTCTCCGAACAGTGAGAAAAGCGTGGTGCTAAACGAGTTAGATGTTTGATTGATTAGTGTAAGTGACGCCAGCGAGAGAGGAATGGTCATTGGTTTTTGTACTGCGCGTAGGGTAAAGACAATCTGGTTGGTTTAGTCAGCTTCCTCGACGTCCGAGTCGGTATTAAATACCTGAGGTAGTTCGCGCATTGGTTCGCGGAGGATCGATGCGATACTCAGACGATCCTTGATAGTATGGGCTCGACGCAACTCTGGGAACTCGCCCGCATCATCACCGACGCGCTTGGCGGATTCACGAAATTCTGGTCTCGGGACGCGTTAAATGAGGTCGTTCGACAAGATACATCGACATACGTGCAGTGACATATTCGCCGAGGTTACCTGCGACAACTTCCTTTCGGTGTGAAGGGTTATCGACTAGGTGCTTAAGGCCTTGCATACGAACATAATCTTCGTTAGTCGTGGTAGCCGCCCAAACTATATGTCCGGCTTAGTGACATGCTCACAGTATGGGCTGTTGACCTACCCAAGGAGCCAAACACTCCCTTGCTTGTGCTGTACCACTGAAATATAGATTGCGAGAAGCTGAGAATCGCAAGCAAAGGACCATCTTGCTGCTCGCGCAAAACTGTAAATAGAACTGAAATCTGAGAGACCAAACGAATAACCGTCATTACGACGTTTGTTGAACTCTGGACGGTTTCCCAAGCTACGCTAGTGCCCCAAGGGGACGCCCACGCGGACTCGAGCTGCCTTTGAACGGCGGAGTCTTCAAATGTAGGAACGTCAAGGCGTGCCATGGAGTGGAATATGTGCCCAGCATAGAATTGTTTAATGGACATGTTTATAGGGATGACGATGCGGCTTCGGGCGTATTGGAGAAGACGCGTCGCGACTGTGCACGCAACGCGTCCTATTGCAACATGAATGAGGACTGTTGTGTCCACAGTACGTGTCTCTATTGCCGTCTCTACCTGAATGAGAGATTAGTGGGCAGTGCAGATGGAGACAAAGAGTGTATTACAAGGCGCAGCAGTTGTCCGGAATACCTGCACAAAAGCGTTTTGAATGTTAAAAGGCCACATAAAACTTCGTGGCATACCATAGGGATATGGCGGGTGTGAGGGAAGCTAAAACTTCCACTACCAAGAATACAGGGAGTAGTAGGTAGCACTGTCTGATGCTGAGTATATCCTTTAACATGCGCAGTACGTGGGGCATGCTTTGAACTATCTGTGAATACGTCTCCAATCTTGATGAGCCTGGTATGCGTGGCATATCAGTTTGGCGATCCTCGTAGAGGTCCCATACGCCGATACGGGTGTGCTTGACACGACGAGCATCCTCTGGGTTGAATGTGCCTGGACGTGTAGTTATCGTTCGTCTCCTTCTCGCCATGCACCTCAGAAGAATAGTAATCAAGTCAGAGACGCGTTATGAGTATTTGTGGACTGATTAAGTTATGTCGAATCAGCGTTGAACCGACGCGTTCAACTGCACAACTACTACAACTCAATTTGACGTGTGTGGTCCCGTGACATGTTTTCATACTTTTGTTCCCGAACATCATTTCCGACGACTTAGCAGGCGTTGACCGTACTTCCATCTTTCATACGTTGGAAAATTGGAGACCTAAGGAAACCTGAAGCTCAATCAAGAATTATCTTGATCTAGTACGCCACCGAGCTAGACAATACGAACGATGGCTTCCGACCTTTCTTCATTGCTGAACTCATCAAGAGCTCTGAATTCGCATCTTTCACGGCCTGATCTTCCTTCTATCAACCTTTCACTCGATCAGATAGAGGCACAGTCGCGTCGGCTCGTATCACGACAACCTGGAGCATCAAGTGATGCTGACCGAGCGTGAGCAAATAGACATCGAGCAATATTGTTCTAACGTCTATGACAGAAACTACCTTCTAGCACAGGCTCATGTTGATGCCCCTGCCCTTGCCAACTCTATCGCACACTTGAATACCTCGTCGACTTTCTCTCCCCTCCAGCCCCTCCAAGACACGGATGTCTCAGGCTATCTTCGTCATGCTCACGAACAGAATCTTATTTCAACGATAGAAGAAGGTCGGAGGGAAACCCAGGAGCATTTCTATCGCCTGCTTGAGGAGCGCAGCCACAAAGACTGGGAGGCCAAAAAGAGACGCGTGTTTGAAGAGCTGGGAGGTCGTGCTACTAGTGATAGCAAAGCTCTTGCTGAAATGAAAAAGAGTTTCCATGGAAAGGCAGCCCTGGCGGTCAGCTAAACTCCGAATACATGGTGTTCACCTATTGACAATGTGAAACAGGCAAGCACAGGACCTAGTTTGACTCTCCAGATGCAGAGCAAGATGATGGCATATGACCGTGCAATCAGCGAACTGAACGCTGCAAGGTTGCGCGGAACATCTTGTCCTATCATCCATCTCCTTATGCAAGCCGCTGCCAGCTTGAACTCAGAGGCACGTATCTCTCACTGTGTCGAACGCAAATTGTCTCACTTTTGTGCATACAGCCTTCCTCACAACAAATACTTCAAAACTTCCACGTGCTTGCAAAGATTACTAGTGAACCTCCCGCTCTACCCCCTGTGGAGCACGCAGGCGCTCACATCTTGAACGCCCCGCTTTTCGAACGCAAATATGCGCGGGTGTATCTGGGGGATACCGACTCCAGGGAGGCTGCAGCTCTGCGGATACAGATTGCCAAAGGCTCACGAGAAGCGCTTGAGGACCAATTCTGGGATATCATTGAGCGCACGATCCAGTCGAGACCTATGGAAGCCCGTCTTGGAGGAGACCCTAGTGTAGCAAATAAAATACGCGCCTTCCTGCTAATGAGATATTACAAAAACGGGCAGTGGGAAGATCGGATAGAGGTCGGTACAATTTATACTGAGCTTTCATCCTATCTGACAGTCACGCAGCTTGTCGCTGGTCAGCCTTTGTGGGCTAAGTTGTACTACCTTGTACGCACCGGTCACGCACAAGAGGCCCTTGATGAAGCCTTGAAGTCACAGCAAGCTATCGAACATCGTGAAGACAGCTTCATGAATCACTTCCGCTCATGGATCGAGTCGCCAGAAAGACGGTAATTTTTTTTCCATGAGAAACAAGGTTTTTTATATGTCAAGCATATCTCCAGGTTACCCAAACCACATCGTGACCACTTGCAAACAGTATACAATGCACACATGCTGCATTCTGCATCTGCAGATCCGTTTAAGCTTGCACTCTATAAACTCATGGGCAAGCTCGAGCCTTCGCGGCGAACAGTATCACAAGTGACGATGACGACTGAGGATTGGTTGTGGTTCCAGCTTGCAATGGTGCGCATTTTTTGTGGTTCTTAAAGGATGTAAGCTAACACGCAAAAGGTTGATGAAGAGGAAGAGGGTGGGCTCCGTGGGCTCACAGAAGTTCTCCTAAGTTATGGAGAACGCCACTTCGACGGTACAAAGAAGGGTGTGTGGCCTGGTGTTCTGCTCATGTGCGGCCAGTTTGAACGTGTGAGCTTAACATCATGCATATCCAAGTTTTATTCTGATCATATCCTAGTCTGTGGCTGCACTATGGGAGCACCCAGAAACAGAAATCGAAGCTGTTCACCTTGCTATTGCGCTTGCATACCATGGGCTTCTACGTGTCCCATCTCGTGCTGAAACATCTGACATCAGTCCTTGTACGTATGCACTCAAAATTTGCACCTACATGTAACCCACCTAGATTTTCAGTGACCTTATCCCCACTCTCACCTCCCGCACTCAGCTTGCCGATGCTTATTTGGCGATACGTCCGCCAGTTCGTCAAAATGGACGCGAAAGAAGCGCTGCAGTATGTCTACTGTGTCTGTCTCTCGGCGGATCAAGGCGACGGCGTCGGCAGAGAAAATGTAGAGACTGCTTGGGAACTCGTGAGGCGCATCATCGTTCTCGCTCACTCAGGTCCCGCCTGGGAAGAGCTTGTCGGTGGATTCAGACCCGATGGCACGCGTTTCGTATGTTCCATCTCCTAACTCACTTGCCGCTAAACATGGCTCATCTCTCCTACAGAGCGGCATCATCGAACAGGGCGCTACTCTCCTCCATCTACAAAACACCGCCCAGTACAACGAACAGATCCTCATTCGCGCCGCCCGCGACTCCGAGGAGAACGACCGCATCCCGGAGGCGATCAAGCTCTACAACCTCGCCGGGGACTACGGCACTGTCATTTCATGTCTCGCCCAGGCGCTCGGAAACACCCTGGCGCAGCCAGCAGGTGAATCAGATAAGGGCAAAATCATCGAACGCACTGCTGTTGAGATTTTGAGACATTACGAGCGCACGAACCGGGCAGTGGGCAAGGATCGAGATGCTGCTGTAAGACTGTTGCGCATCAGGGAAGCGCTCAATGCGAAGAGCTCTGGACGGTTTGATGTTGTGCTTGAGGTACAATCTCGTCCTAGTCTTGAGATCCCACCAAATGCTGATGATTATTGTAGATTATGGAGTCTACGGATCTCATTCCTCTCGATGGGGATGTTGCAAAGATTACAAGGAAGGCCGAGGAGTTCAAAGACTTGCATGATGCCTTGCAACGCAATCTACAAGTCTATTTGCCGCTCACGATGGAGGCATTAGCGGCAGTACACCAATCCATCAAAAATTCTGCTACAGCAGAAACTACGAGGCAAATGGTTTGTGCTCAATAGCTACATCATCCCTTCGTGTGCTCACTGCATTTTCGTTGCAGACGTTGACAACGCTTAGGAAAAAATCGAGGTCATTGATGGTGTTTGGTGGTATCCTCAAGTATAGGATGTCGCCTGATGTGTACTCGTATCTGGCGAGATTGGATGTCGAGATTGCTCTGTAGAATATGGGTAAATCAGGTCAGAATAGTTCTGTATGTCGTCAAGATTTTGTTTATAATATTGTGATGAGACCTGGAAGAACGGACCACGCGCGAACCAGACTGCTGGAGCGTTCATGCCTGCCACACATCTCATCGATCTCATCACACGCTCAACATCAGTCTGTGGTCGATGGCATGAGGCATCAATGTTCAAATCTAATGATGATGCCATCACATCGAGGCCTTTCAGCTCCATTTTCTTTTATTTTTAAAGCACTGCACTTTTTTGATCTTATCACTTTCATACATGCTATGCTCATTCACTCGTTCCGATGATGTCGTTGAATTGCTCATTAATATGCCACAGCCTCAGGTAGCACACAGATGAGTAGTGAATGATCCGTAACTTTGGGTCCTCACCTTCAGTTCCTTAGCATACCAGTTCTGCACCTTTCCAGTAACTGCTTGGCAATTACCGCTGAGTAGGTACCAAATCTTCAGTATCATCCTCAAGAGCTTCTTCATCATCTTCGTATTCCTGATGATCTTGCTCCTCGACAGCCTCCTGAGAGGGCTGCTGATTTTGGCACTGCAAGCAGGTTGATGCGTAAGTAGTACCCCGCAACAAGCTCGCAAAAAGGACTTACATGGTATACTGCAGTCCAGTATCCGCCCCAATACATCGCACTTAGCGCACGGCTGAAAGCTTCATCGCGGCTTACCATAGTAGTTGAAGGTGCAGGTATGAAAAACGAGGACTCAGGTGCCGCGGGAGCCTCAGATGGTACTGGCAGCGAAGGATCATACGATGGGACGAACGTGTTGAAATCAAGCGGAGCAGAGTCCTCCTCTTCAGCTGTGGCAGCCTGACTGATGGCCTCTATAGACGCGGCTTTCATTAAATTAGGTGTTTTGGCCTTCTCCTTCGAACTATTATAGGGGATGTTGTACCATCTGAACACGATTAGATTATATTTTTCATGAGTGAGGTTACGCACAGCGAGGATTTCTTGACAGCGGTCGATTTCCAGTCTTGCGTTTCCCCGTGGAATGCCTTGTAAGGGTGTCAAGAGCGGCAGATGTAAGAGTACTTGCTAGACGTACCTCATATTCTGCTGTGGCAGAGTTCCAGGCGTCGATGAGCGCAGAGTCGTCCCATATTTCTTGGTGTGTGAGCTCCCGACTCTCGCCCTCTTCAACTTCACCATCCTCACCATGGGCACTGGCGTCGTCGTAGTTCATTTGGTTGTCTCCTGGTTCATCCCAGTGGGCAGTTTTTCTCGGACGTTTGGCTTTTTGATTTGACCTTTTGCGTTTTTTGGATGGAGGTGATTGACGTGAACGAGATTCAGAAGCTACTGCTGAGCTGCTGGCGCCATTGGTTTGTTGAGATTGTTCTAGGTCGCCATACTGGACGAGTTGACGGTGCGAGTTCATGGCGAAGTGGGATGGGCGTAACCTGGTCAGACCGCCGCCCGTGTATAACCGTTACACCAAAAGGTGAAATACTGAAAGCTTAGCTTTCAGCATCAGCGACGGTATATGTACTGATTATGGGAACTCAGGTAAGCCAGCATGCTTACAACCAGTAATACAAGTATTCTATGCGGCAACAATCTACATATCTTCGATTTCTGGTCAGCTTGCTGTGCATCGAGCACCAACCCGTGGTGTACATCGACTGTGTACCACCACCATATATTCAGCGAGCTTTGAAACATAGTACTGCGACCATTGAAACATCAATTCCGATAGCTCAGGCGCATCAAGACAGACTGCGTCAATTTCACCTAGCCCAGATAGCTGAGGCGAAGATGAAGATGAAGATTCTAACATAGAAGCTCGATGGAGTAGCGTAAATCAGTAGGTATATCAACGGCTACTCGCCAAGATATTCCTCCACCAGGGCTAATAACACGTCCTCCATTTCCTCTCCAGTCGGAAGTGTCAGTAGCATCAGGTCTTCTGGCGACCAAAAGCCCAGGTAAGCAGCGGGTGTGTTCGCGTATGCGCGCATCGAGTCTGCGCCTCCATGAGGGGATGGCATCTACCTTCGCTGTTCCGTCTGATTCGGCTTTGCGGAGTCGTTTTGCTGCCTCTGAATTCGCCATATCCATTTTGACATCTTCCTCCTAAGCTTTGCGTTTAGTATTTAATGAACGTTGAGGTGGAGAGAACCTGTCTGATGGGAGTGGTGATGAGCTTAGCGATGATTTAAGGTGTTGGGTCGTCAAGAGGGAAGTCGAGGATCTCGCGGACGTTCGAATATTCATCTCTCCATTCTGCAGGATGCATGTAAGAAAATGAAACTATCTAGAATCGTAGACACGGCATACCTTTTTCCTCTTCTTGACGCGCGTGCTCCAACAATTTTCCATCTGCTTCGTCTAGGTCACTGAAGCATGCGGGGCCCTGATTCATAAACTTCGTCTAGAATGAAAGCGCTTGGTTTTCCTCCTCTTGCTCTTGCTTTCTGCGCTAAAAGAGTTAGTGTATACCTGTGAAATCTTTCGCACGGCCAACATTTTATCAGCAACAACTTCATATATTGGGCTAAAAACTTAAAAGGACGTACTTGTGTCCCATTGTCCCAGGTACTTCCTTCCCATCGTCATCCAGTATTACTACATTCCGGCGATAGTTGGCATTTCCAGTGCAATGATATGGTTCTCCTAATGTCTCTTCTCCCGCATTAATTTGTTGATCTCGTCGTTTACATCTCGAACTTCGTAGTCGGTCAAACTACCTATTGGCAAGATTCATGTCAGCCCATCCGAATTCTGAGTCTCCTGTGGAATGACGTACCGTCCTGGATCTTGGGTACTTTCGAACTTAGCTCCCTCCTCTCCACCGTTCGCACTCCCTTAGACTTTTGCAGGCGCTCACCATTTTCGGGCGACGATCTGCGCGCGTCCCGAGGTCAAGTTCAGCTGCTTGAGCTTCTCGAAAACAGTATAACATTGACTATGCATTAAGCAGGCCTTGTGCTAGTGACAAGTATACAGTGTTACGATGTGTGCGAGTAGCAGCCGTAGTACAGGCGCTGTTTACAATTTTTCGATTGCTAAATATGAAGTCAATAGGTGAAACGAGTAAGCAGTCTGCAAAAATAGCTTACTTTGATGAAAAAACGAAACAGAACAACAAGAACGATGACCAGTGATGTAGCTGCGTTGGTAAAACGCGTTGATCACGGTAGATAGAACAATGTATAAGGCACTGTACGTAAGTGCCAGGGTACGAAGCTTTAGCTTTGCATATATTTACATTTCCGACTTGTTCAGTGTGTTCCGTCATCGCTTGCTTGAAGGTCATATGAAAGTCACAATCAAATACAGCACATAAGGCCCTTTATAATCCTCATTCACATTTATGATACAGACATGCATCATCCTATATAATAAGTGAAGCCTGAATTCGCTTGATGGGAAACATCTTTGATGAGGTTGTAATTCAGACTGGAATGATGCATCTGAGACATCCGTTCTATTCATCGATGGTACGACATTCAAGTTCCTACTACCTTCCCTGCTCCTATACTCTATCCTCGTCAAATCTCGTAGCTGGTTACTATGATCGGTCAATTTGACACCTACCATTCTTCAGTCTGTATCTCTTCCTCGAACCATGGCATCGATCCTCAGGGAGTATCGGAACCTTTGTTGCGATATGCCGCAAACCACTGGGTGAGATATGCCCCACAGAACTTTCGAGAACTTCTCACTTATCATCGTTAGGCGGAACTAAAAGCTAAATTCCTTTTAGTTTACGCAGAAGAGATGTCATGGACTCCATCTCAAACCTGCTATCCTCCAATTCCAAGATCAAAACGTCCCTTGAGGCCACGCTCACAAAATACGCATTTTTGGACACTCGAGGACAGGATGAAACGTATCCAGTCCCGCGCCACCCTCCGGCGTAGATCTGCTTCGCCAAACCTTTCTCAGCGATCGACAATACCAGACCTCAAAGTTCTTCATGCGCACTATGCTCGCCAGCGTATGCATGGAGAAGCATATGACGAATACGAGTGCGGAAATTCCAGTCCAAAGCGCAAGCGAGCTGTTATCGGTATTCGCGACGTGGATGAAACTTCTCTGGAAATGTTGCCCTTCGTGAGGCCTCGACGCTCATACCAATGCAGCTATGGTGAGCGACAACCACAATGGTCACTAGGTGTCCAGAGTTTGGTAGATCCCCATATCGACGCTATAGTGAATTACGAGATGGTAAACGTCAAGGATGAATCTGAGTTGCAGTCTAATGCAACATCAAGATTTTCGATCGGTGCAGATAGCACGTCCGTGAAGCGCGTCGTCCATGGCGATTTTGGTGTGCCTCGCATGTTTGAGAGGGGGCTGGCGTCGAAGAAAACGACTGATCCCCGTCTGCGACCTCGTCCTACCGTAACTATGGTCGACATTGACATGATTGCAACTCGAGAACCTCCATCTACCGGTCATCACCGAAACAAATCTTCAGAGTTCGTCCAAGCTTCTGATCCAATGCAAACCACTGCAGACTTGATGCGGGAGATTTTTGGTGATGGAGAAGTGGACGACGCGGACAGCATCTTGTCTATGATTAGATCCATGAATATCATGTGAACGAGCAATGAACGAGCAATTTTTACCTTCCAGATGTTTCTATGAAATGGAAACGTTGAAATCCGTTCATGAGAATCGAGCTCTTAAGCAATTACACGGCTATAAAGTAGGCTTCAACATATTTGAACAAGACGTAAAATGGATACCATCACCATGATGTTGCTGCGCCAAATACTATTTTCAACTTCCCTCCTCCGCAAAAGCCCCTTTGGTCTCAGAGCGATGGGAAATGCAAACTAATGCGACGTTCGCGGGGGCTTTAAGGGAACAGACCCCCGACTCAGTCCCTGAACATGCGGCAAGGAACTTACCAGAGTAAAAATGCAATGACAAGCGTATCGCCGATGGCAAGTCGAACAATCTAGCTGGTGGCAAGCCCGGCGGTACCCTAGCTCATGGCCTGGGATGCGGGAAATGTGTGGGTAGTGCGTCGAATTGTTGTAAACATGACTCCTCGCAAATGAGCACCTCCGAGTCGGACTCGAAACAGGCAGAAATGCCAGCAGATTCAACGGAACAGCGAACGTTCTAGCTGTTGTGAATGCTAAAGAGGAAACAAGCCCACGACGATGCGAGACCACCGTGACTGCATGATACGTAAAGCGCCTACCGTACGGGAGGCCCACCCTACTTGTGCACTCGAGTATTTGTGGAATGGCAAGTGGATGGCCCAATCAACGCTCGGTTCTCACGGGCCATTCCGTATCGCCACACTTCGGACAAGTTTGATCAAAGTTTTCACAGTTTCAACAGAGATCATCATCATCAACGTTACTTTTGGATCCTCCTGATCGCTTATGTGCATTTCAGTATACAATAGTGTAATAGCTTGGTGATCTTTTAGCCAAGTTTACGTTCCTGACATGCACTGCAGTTTATGCGCTGGCAACACTGCGTGACGGGTTCAGATCATGATGATCTTTGACACAGCACTAACACGTTCTAGGATCTGGACCCAACAACCGACGGGAAATTAACTCGAGACCTTGTGGGTTTGCATACACGGCACCCGGTCAACGAATGATGGCATCTGTGAAAGAATGTTGGCCCAGGTTTGGTATATAATACTACGCCTGGCATGCTCAACACTCCTCTGCTGCTGCATATTACCTCATCGTGATGGATGTCGTTCAAGCACACCAAATGTAAGTCGTGCACACGTAGATTGGCACCATGTATTTTGATAAGCTGATAGTGACTTACTGATAATCCCAGGTTGATGACCCGCTACGCTGTTCTGGTGCCATACAGTACTAGGATTTTTATCTTTGCCGTCAGGATGTTAACACGGTGACCCACTAGTTATCCTGATATACGACCATATGGCGACCCTCACAGAAGAGATTGTTTTTATTTGGTGTCGTCCGAAGGCGTTATCTTCAGCGTTGTTTCTGCTCAATCGCTATGTCGCTCTGCTGGGAAATATCTATGCATTCATTGACTATTTACTGCCTGCCTCAGTTGTGAGTTTATATTTCATCATCCATATACTTACATAGCATCATGCTTACGACTTTTTCCTGCAGAGGTCCGATCCTGGTCCTTGATTATCTGTTCTTTTGCTTAACAGAGACTTAGCTGTTCGACATATCGACTATCAAGGCAAGTACTCGCTTTCTTACAAGTGTTTATCGTTTCTTGTGAGTAGATGTTTATTTAGAAAATTCATTTACTGAAATTTTCAGTCATATTGGCTCTTCGCACTTATGCTCTCTACGGCCGAAGCAAATGCTTGCTTGCTTTTTTGGTAATCATCATCCTTACCTTTGTGGGAGGAGCTTTTGTGCGTGTTTGCATAGAAATTTTGACTCTGGAATCTACTGATTGTTTCTAGACGGGGACATTTGGTCGTCATTCAAATACTGTGACCAACTTGCCAGGAGGAGGCTGCTATCGAATATATACAGCAAAGATGTACGCCATCCTAATCTACGCGCCTGCAAAAACTTGAACGTTATTGCAGAATCATTCGTCGGTGAACTCTAGATGTATTTGCACGTAGCTTGATGTCAATTGCAGGTCTTGCATGGATGATCCCACCTGTTTATGACTTGCTCATCTTTGTTCTCACGGTGACTAGAGCTTTAAAAATCGGAGGATCACTGCAGTTATCTCTGACAAAGTCCAGAAGAAATATCATTGCTGTCATGTTTCAGGACGGTAAATGTTTCGCCACATCAATATAGTGGACACTGAAACCAACCGAATGCAGGTGTTATGTTCTTCGGGTGAGATTGCTAGCGAAATCGTGATTCAAGTGAGTCTGACCCTCATTCAAGGGTGATGACACTGTTCGAAATACCGAACATCCTGACGTACTACGTGAGTCAACGGATGAATCGTTGGTTGAGTTGCACACTAACAGCTTGTTTCAGCATGGTTCGGTGAGCACAATAACCTGTATCATATATTTTTATAATGCCTGTTTACGAGTGATCTGCAAGGATATGGTCAGGGGCTCTCTGCGCACATTTACTAACTGGTGAGTAACTGGTGCGATAAACACGAATGAAGTCTAAATATGCCTTCGGAGCAGCATGTCGGTTACTCTAATCTCACGGCTGATGCTTAACCTGCATAAGTCGGTCGACGCTGGCATCCTCTCCGCTCCCACCTGGGACGATGATGACGGCCTCCTTGTCCTCACCACTGGACTCGACGTACAGTCCACGAATTCCTCTCACTATTGGTAGACTTAGCTGGATATCAAAATGGGTATATTCTTGTTGGAAATGCAAAGCTGGTTTTGATACTTTTACGTCCTTTTTTGATGATCTTGGTGCAGTGCCCTATGTAAGAATTACGTCTGTGTTCCTGGTGGTAGGTATGAGGATGAAGAACATGTTCAAAACGCAGGTCCTGGGGAGATGCTTATGAAAACCCTTTTGCTGGTACATGGAGTCAATTCTCGTGTCGACCTGGACGAGATATATGCTATACAAGCAAAGAGTTTTCCGCAGAGCAACTTAAGCTCAGCCAAATTCTTGAACAGGACATCTAAGTGTTGCTTCTCGAATCACCACCAGTTTTTTAATCTTTGATCTCTCTCGTACAACAAACCAAACCCACCACTCCAGCGAGATCACATTGAGCGGTGAATAAAATACTGCAAAGAAGTAGCAGAAGATAAAAACTTTTTCTACGGCAGACCGCAGCTGTGATATGTGATACAGAGATATATGTGTCTGTATCCGGCGAATAGGTCTAGGCGCTGCCAAATTGTTCACTGATCTCTGATTCGCGAGATCGGCCTAGTCTTTGGTAAAAAGGAAGACAGTCGCTCTTTCTGTGTCATGACGAGTACACGATCGTCCCAGTACTACCTTTAGTACGGCTAGCCTTTCAACTTGAAGCCATCCAGCAGTTCAAGAGCTTGCCGCATTCGGGTCAGACATTGTATTTTAATTACCTGACGTAGAGACCATCCATGCTATGATGACATTTGTATTTTGCCAAATTTGCAAACTTCGAAGCGCAGGATCGGAGTCGATCGGCTTTTGACGTTCTGAATTACACATGTCATAACTGGGTCTGTGCATCCACGTGGCTCCTCACCTCCTCTTCTGGTCTACTTTAACGAAAGGCAATGAGTGATGTTTGCCAAAGGACTTGCGATCCTACCTCCATCCGAAGAGCAGAAACCTTGCACAGGTAATTAATACTTTATATGTAGAATCTATTATTCTTTTACGTTGCTCTAGTGTTGCCAGCTCTCGTGTATTCGCTGTATTTTTTCTGCTTCTAGATCCTGCGCCTCCATGTCAATAGACGAGAGAATGACAGTGTCGCTTCACCATTCCCTCCGACGCGAGTAATATGGTAAATGTCTATTAGATTGTCAGCGCCGCGAGGCACGCGCACTCCTCGCGCGTTGGTTCTCAAACTGTTGTTTGATGACCGCATAACCTTCCCGGTCAACTCGATGTAGATAATATGAGCCACCTCCGCTGCCCCATGAAACGCTGCCCGAGCGGTAGGGCTTCTCAAATACATCAAAGATCGCGCTTATATCATCCACCTACGGGGTTCATATGAGATAAATGTGTGAAGCGGATATACATCGTCACTCACGTTGCGTTCAGTAACGCGTGCATTAAGAGAAGAGACAAACGGCTTTAAGGAGACAACAATGGCGCCTTCTTTTAAATCTAGAAACCGTGGACGTAATGCTTCGTTTACTGTAACGTGATCAATATGTTTTCTCACAAACAAAAGAAATGCACTGACACGACTGCTGGAACACCTTATTATTGACCAATACAACATCCGCCTGAGGTAACAACTCAGTCACTCTCTGACTGGTCAGCATGTCTCCTTCCTCTAGTTCCACCTCTCCCATCGAAAGTCCCCACATCCTACAACGCTTCTTCATCTGCCTCAGCTGCCCCCTCCCCACCTCCGCAGGCGTAGGCATCACCTCAATTCCGTAGCTTCTGCAGCACGTCTCTAGGCTTGCCTGCACCAATACATTTCCAACCCCGCACCCTAAATCCATAAACAAGGAATCTTTGTGGAGACGCGTGGCAGCAATGATATCTGACGTAAATGAGGGCATCAATTCGCCATATACCTCGCTCGAAAATGCCTCGTAGCGGTTTAACTTCAGAGCATGTGGGCCTACGGAGCGTTGATACGTCTCGTCGATTATGCGCATGAGCACCCGATTGGGGATTTCGTTTGATGGCCAACCTTTAATGGCCTCTATAAGTATATTAGGAGGTGCAGGTGCAAACGGGTCCGATGGGAGTGATGGGTATTTCAGCGCACGGAGGAGTTGGTTAATGTTTTGCATAGTAGAAAGGAACAGTGGTCCGTCACGCCGTCGGATGGAACGTTGGAGGAGACGCAAGTAATTCATTCCACGGGGGTCGTACGAAGGGAGTTTTACAGGACTTGACTGTTCTGAATCACCCGAAAGTTGTGTGAGTGGTGAGGACGGTGGCGTATTATCGACATCCTGTAGAAAATCTGTGGGTAATGTTCCAAATAGCGCTTGCTGCGTGGGAGTAAGGTAGCCTGGTATTGCGTCAGAATCTGTGCTCGCGACTGGTGACGGTAGTAACGCACATTCGAAGATAGTATATAATGATTGTTCTAGGCACATGATGGGGTTGTAGTGATCTGGGTCCTTAGGAGCCAATATGTAATAGCTACACGCAAGGTGGATCAGCAAGAAGCAGTACAAGTCACCGCATAACACGTACGTCTCACAGGCATTAGCATTAGGATACTCCAGTTCAGTGGCAGGGTAAGATTCAGCTTCAAATGACGTGTCACTAGAATCGTCCAAATTCTTGAAATCTGCAATGAGTATAAATTCGAATGAGATCTGCAAGTGATACATGGATTCTCACAAGTTTTGTATGATCGCGATAATACCGTTACTACAGACGCTGCACTGACAAAGTTCTCACCTGGCGAACCATCCTCAGTGATCCACAACTGTCGACGAGGGAGATCAGCTGGAGGAAAGGTCGACGTCGATCGAGAACGACTGCTTCGATATATAGACTCGATATCGAGAGTTTCGGAACGTTGTCGACTTTGAGTACGCGACGAAGACGCGCTCATAGTCGCGCGTTTCTTCGACTTCGGGGGGCGTAATGTTGGCTCGGGTGCGACTGACAATATTCTAGGTCGCTTCGAAGGACCTGCTATCTGCGCAAAGTGAGTTGGCTCATCGGCTTCTGGTGACGTCTCGGCAGAAACTGGGGTAGGCGGTAATAGGTGTGCCTGTGAACCTGCAGTCTCCTGTTCACGTATCATTTGTGACTTCCAGGCGCGGCGTGTAGTAACACATATATCTGGGACCATTTGCTGTATTTTTTTCGAGGAGTTTTCAAATGGAAAGTAATGAAAGTCTGAATACGGGGAGGAAGGAAGGGCAGATGAGAGCATTAGAGCAAGTCAATGAAATCCTTAAAACCTACAAATGGAACTAGTAATCTTGTCGGTGGCGATGCCGCAACACCGCTTTCGGTAATTACCAATCTCTTTCTCCGGACTGTAAACTTTGCACAGTGGGACGACTTTGTTACTTGTCTGTCAGCTCTGGCCCCATTCTTACAACTGATACTGCACAAGCCCAACAAATGAGATACAAGGATTACTGAGCACTAGGCCATTATTCATTGCTTTTCTTGCATTTCCTTTGCTCCCTAAGCCCGCAGCGCTCTAATATTGTCTTTGTATGCAGATGCAATATACAAAGAGTTGGTCACCAGAGCTACGGAACGCAGCATCGTGATGAAATGCATGCTTCTTCTATGAGCACCGAATGCACCGTCTACGCCCCCAATTCGTCTCTGCCAAAGTCTCCGCGAATGCGATTGCCCAGTTGAAAGTTGCTCCTCCGTCACGCATCACTTGAAGTGGTCTATCCGGTATGCCCGCCCTGTCCCCAAGGAGCATAGCATTAAGACATGTTCTGGCGCATCTGATTGGTATGCTTGTGTCACGTACGGATATCTATGGGCAGCCCAAAGGTCAGACATTTGATTCGTGACGTCATATACCATCATGATCACAGTGCCGTTGATCCTGTGTGTACCAGGTGTGTTTGTGACAACTTCAAAATGTTCAAGTTGTTGCCCTGCCGTGATTCATATGACAATGTAGTATCGCCCCGACGAAGTCGAACTTTACTCGCAGTCGCAATCGGTATGTACTTTCCATCGACCTCTATGTCTCGTGCCTTGAAGTAATCTATTTGGAACGCCCAAAGTTGGGCGCGCACACACTAAGCAGTACTTGACCACGCGTACTATACTGTCTATACAGTCCTAGCGGTGTTTCAAAAAGGAACATTCCGGGCTGCGCGGTTCACTCGAACTCCGAAGCGTTTCGATCATCGTCAGACAACTTCAAGTTGACACAAGAGTCCTTGAAAACACAAATGTTCGAGGAAGCAAGTCGACTGTGGTATGTATTTTCTAGAGTTTTTCTTATCACTTGTCAGCACAACATTCTATTTTCTGTCAACGGCTTTAGCGCGAATGGTCTGAACGATTGTCACCATCTCCACATACTTCCATCCGTCAAATTTGTCACCTCACTTGCTCAGGTTGTCCTGCCAGTACATGTGCGCTGGAGATCTGTGCTACTCCGATGCCCGGCTTGCCTCGTGCCTATGCTTGTTTGTGTATGTTTTATTCGGACTCTTTCGCTCGTCCATGTGCATTTCGGCTTATTATTCAAACTTGCCTGCGCTTGTCCCTGCTTATTTCCATCGGTTGGCACTCACTTATCCTTGCTCATTTGCATCTCCGCCATCTATCCGTACTCAATTGCACCTGTTGCTGCACATTTTTCATTCATATTTGCTACTACTTGTTGCAGATCGTCTGTACGCGCCCCGCACACTTTCACTTCTTTCTGTCTGCTGCCATTTGTCTTTTATTGCCTGCCTTTTGTAGTACTATGTACCTGCCGCTATACACCATTGCTCATTTGCACATGTCACTACTCGTTAAAGATTGTCTGCACCATCGAGAATAGGCGACTTGTCCATAGATGGAGTTGTGCAGTCATTAATGCCGAACAGCAAGATACTATGTCTAAGTAGCATCCTTTGGCGTTGTGTGCAAGTGTGTGTAAAAAAGCTTGCATGATACACAAAATACAATTTGATATATGTGGGAACGATGACCATACTGGCGCAGATGGCGTTCGGAACTTCGGATGAAGTGTGAATCTACGTTTGCAGTCGTGCCAGTGAGCGCATGTACCGTCGTATCCTCATTAACCATTTTTGTCTCTACTCCAAGTGGAAGTTAAGCTTAGTTTGGTGAATACTGCCGTATATCTGGATGACAAGACCAATGTGATAGCACAGATGCAAATACGTCCAACAAGGATTCCGCGCGAGTTGCGCGCGAGTGTAGATCCGTTCCGATAGGGCAACGATAGGGTATGACCAAAGCGCGTATTATCTTGGCACCACTAGGAACACCATAGATAAGACAAGGAGATGCTGCATTGGGATTTCAGACAGTGGGCAAGTAAGATCACTGTAGCATGCGACTGACACGGCCGTGATTATGCATAATGTGCTGTCTCGGAGATGTTAAAGGAGTCTGATTAGAGAGTACGTGCGAGTCAAGTTAGAAATGTCAACTCAACTTTGTTAGGCTGTAATACGATTAAACGAAAGATTGGCAGATAATAAGATCGTTCTCCAACTCGGAACATTGTCGCTTAGACCGAAAAAAGGTCCCGGAGAACCTTTGTCAATCCACAGAGATACGTATAATGGCCCGCAGGAGTCCAGGGCTAAATGAGGTTTTGCAGATTACTGACGTGGTCGGGGTCCAGCACCATACGGTATTGCATATAGTGTGCGTTCCGAAAATGACAGTACTAATAGGTACCTGGGGAGCACTCTGCTCCGGAATTTAGATCCTCTAAACCTCAGCTGCTGATCTCCCGGTATCCCGGTAGATGATCCCGTTTCACGTTTCCTCATACATAATGAGACTCTGGATTTATCCTAGTATCCATGAGAACCTTGAGCCTAACTCTAGGGATCGTGTCACCTATCGTGGGCTGGATACAACAACGGGTTGGAATTACACATTGGCAGCATCTCCTAGTGTTCTGCTCCCAATAAAATGCTGAGGACGGATGAAGCCAAATCTGAAATCTGCTGGCAATGTGGTGGCATTGATCCAGATTCCAAACGTCGTCTGTTTAAAAGATGTATTTCAGCCTTCAGGTGGACAGGTTTTGTATAAAACACTTCGAATAGCAGGACATGAAAGCAAGCAGTCTTCATACAGTCCCCTTCTAAATTCTTTTGAGATCCCATATCACATCTCAAAATGATGCGTCTCTCCTTCGTTCTCGTCGTCGTTGCTGCTTTCAAGTTGTCAGTGTCAGTGTCTCCTCCCAGTATCGACACTCCATGTGCCATCTTCTGCACCACCACTTCTGATTGCTGCGCTGGCGAGACATGCCAGCCAGTAGTATATGACCGCCAAGTGAGTACTATGAGTAGTTTTCATCTTGATAACCCCGTGACTGACTGACTGGCTTGGTAGGGCGATATCTATTATATGTGTGACACGTGACAGTGGGTCGTGAGTCGTGACGGTGTTTCTGCTTTCACATTGATGTAGTGTGGTTGACACCACGACGCGTCAAGTACTAGTTCTCGAGTACTTCGCTGCTGAGCGCTGAGCGAGCGGTCGTCACGGTGAAAAAACAAGTTCACCCTGCTCGAACATCGAAGATTGTAAATTAGAGGGACATCTCGAACACCAATAACTGCATGAAACATGACTGAGGTACTTACGACGCGTTGTTTTTCGTCCTATTATAAGCTTGCAAAATATATGTGTATGATTTATCAAGGCCGTCACATAGATGATAGAATAACAGTCGGGACAGATTGCTTCCGTACGCGGAATCGAACCGCCTCATATACTGGTAAGTGTAAGCACGCATTCTGATCACCAGATTGGTCCACAGACAATAGGTTCATCACTCAATTCGGGCAGTCATAAGTATGTTCATCCTAATTAGAACTTCGGCACTTGAGCACTGCGCCACGAGTCAAAGCAACACTTGCTCCAAATACTAGTGAAGATAATTCAGTCAACAGCACCGTGTCATGTGGTAGAACAGTATTACATGGAAGGGGAATACGGAGGTAACATGAAATAGTTTGAAAAAAGATGAACAAAAGAAGCTCGGATTGTACTAGCGTCCAACATAGGTGCTTATGAGCAGCAACCGATCGACGCTGAAGTCGCAGGCTGGTTGACTTTCACTGACCCATCTGCGTTGGAAGCACCTCCCACTGAGGCAGCCGAGTCTGCTTGCGAGTCGATGAGCCGAGTCTTGCAGTCTCTGTACAGTCGGGAATTGGAGTTAACTCCGCAAATGCAGCACAACGCGACAAACCTTGCAAGGGTGAAGAAGGCCTCTTCTACACCTTCATTCGCCTTGGCAGACGTCTCCATAAACTTCATGCCAAGTTCATCAGCAAGTGCACGTCCCTGGATTTCTGGTACGGCTCGCTTGTCTGTCCAATCCGACTTATTACCGATCAGTATCTTGTTGACACCCTCTGAAGCATGTTGTTCAATGTTAGCATGCCAAGTGCGAATACCTAGAGACGATATGTATCAGCGTAGGACAATAGTGGTGGAGATGATGCTAATGGCACATACTGTTGTATGATCGCTCATCTGTAACGTCGTACACGAGAAGAATGCCCATTGCTCCACGATAGTACGCAGTAGTTATGGTTCTGAACCGTTCCTGGCCAGCAGTGTCCCACTGTACGACACGGGTCAGCTTTGTAACAAACAGTTCATGACTGTATTGGAATGACAGCACGTACAATTTGAAGTTTAATGCGCTTTCCATCTAGCTCGATTGTGCGGATCTTGAAGTCAATCCCGATTGTGGTTATGAACGATGGCGTCCACGCATCGTCACAGAAGCGGAGCAAAAGACAGGATTTCCCAACACCTAAGCGACAACTTAAAATTGGAACACACCAGAACCGCGGAACAAACGCACCTGAGTCGCCAATCAAGAGAAGCTGCAAAGCAAGTTATGTGCGCGAGGCCTGGAGTGTGTATGCAGCGTGCTTACCTTGATGAGGAAATCATAGTGTGGGGGAGGCATTCTAGAATATCTTTCCTAGGTAATGAGATCCACTTGTCCGTCTATAAGGTTAAGAAACAAACCAGGTGAAGTCTTGAGTAGATGACCGGTGAGCAAGGATTCTTGACGATATTTGCTAGTGCGTCACTGCGACTGCCTGTTGCTGAAGTTCCCTTGGAAAGTGCATTCAGTGCCACAGCATCTGCGGGAGTAGCCGCAGCACCTTAATTATGTAATATAAGCGATTTTCATTAAATAATATAGTTGGAAAATTTGTTGGACTTTGTCTTCACCTACGCGAGCGAGACTAGTACATGAACTTTTGCTAGTAATACGCTTGGTGAGTCACAATCTACGAAGATCCGGTTCAGACGCATTTTCTACACGTATAAGCTGACCTGCGAGTCGATCTATTTCGGAATGCTAACAGGTCAACCAGTCACACATCACTAGGCTATACTATTCCGCACATACGTAAGGGTTGAGTTCTTGTCACAATCTGATCATTTGAGGGTCCAAGTTTGCCGCTCATGTACAGCTTCAGGTTGCCCGCAGGAGTCAATTTTAGGCGTACTATTTGCGCCCCAACCTGTTTGGAAATTCAGACGAGCGCTGGCTCAACAATATAAGGAGAGCCTCGTTGCAGACTTGTTGCTTCGAGACCTTTGTACCTTTGTATCTCATTGACGCAGCGCAAGTCTAGTAACTTGTTCCCCAGCCTTTCATACAAACACAAGCTCCTCTTGTTCAACAGACCATGTTGGACTTACTCTCCACAGATCGGATAGTCGACGAGGCAGGCCTCAGAGCCGCCTTGTATCATCTAGGCACAATCTCAAGTTCAGGAGCAACCGCATTACAAGCCACAGTCGAACATATGTTGTCATCACCCCATGTTTTTGCATATATCATCTCTGGTATCTCACAGACTTTCTTCGAGCGTCATCAGCTCTGACTCTGACTCTGTAACAGTTTGGGATCGCCGTGAGGCAATGATCTCCCAGATCATGACAGACTTTCCAACGAAAATTCAAGAATATCCAGCATCCATCGCGAGAAAGATGCTAGACAGTTTGTCTATGTACTTTTTGGCCTTGCCTGCTGAATCTTTAGCGGCGGATGTCTCGAGAAACATCAGCCGCCACAGAGGCTTCATCGAGGGCGCTTTACCCGTACTTTGCACGTTGGGCACTATGAAATTTACTGGTACAGGGTCATCTGAAGACGAGATCGATCTCTTCGATATAGAATCTGATTATGGATTCATCAAGAGGAAAGTCCCTCAGAAAATGCGCAAGCGTAATCGCCTGAAAGTTCATACGGCCATCGACACATCGCTCTTCGTGAGGCTCGGTGTGGTTGTACCTCTCACGAGCGAAGCTGCCGCATCGTTGTCTACCCACATTCTTGCGGAGCTGAAAGATGTTCTCTCAGTAAGTGAATTCGTTACTCTGTGTGACGTTTCCCCTGACAGCTCTCCGTAAGTTCTATTTCTCGCTTCTGCGGAGGACGGAATTGGCAGGCGACATCAAAGCCTTACTCCTCCCGAACGTGGGAGAGTCTGCCAAAGATGTTGCGCCTGAAGTTTCGTCAACCGAGGATGTCGAGAGCCCAACAAAGCGACCCAATGCGTACCCAATGGTGCAGCCTATGAAGGCTGCGCTTTACTTCGACAACGCGGACGGGTTCGGAGAGTGGCGAATCCTCATATCTACGGAGGCCTCCAAAAATTTGCGTGAATTCCGTGGAGCAGATGAGAAGATATTCAGGATCATTGTCAAGAAGATCAAGTCTGTCTTTTGATAAACTTCGCTGTGATGATCTCATCGTTGTTACAGACAACTATCAAATGGTCATTTTTCAGAAGATAATCACAAGCGACTTAACGGGCCGGATGCAGGTATACCTATCCACGAGGCCAAGATGACAAGGGACCTACGATTAGTAGTAGGTGTAATTTCACATACGTGGCTTGGAGTAGGAGATGAATGACCTTTTTTACAGTACCAGATCGATTGTGTCCTTGACCAGGATGGAGAGGTAGGCCGTTCTTACATTAACATCGAGCATGATACTGAGACTGGAGTCTTGACAGTCCGAAAGACAAGGTGAGCTATCAAGAGCAATTACATGTGCCTGCCATTGGCGCTCATGTGAACTCAAGTAATCAAGGTATACGGCATCTATACGCATGCTCAGCTTGGCAGAATATGGGATGCCTTAGGTAGACATCTCGCACGCAAGGGCAGAGAATATCGTAGAAGGTGACAACATTTTCCAGCTCTGATGCAATTCAATGAATCGTTGCTTGCGCAGGTGTATCTTCCGGAACAGACCAGTCATTTCTAATGACAGCGTGATTCTGCCTGCGTCATTCCCACCAGCTGAACTTGAACCAGAATTCTCAGGAAGCCCACTTGATCTTAGTGATAAGGATATGGACCGCGTTGAGTGTTTTCAGTTGTCATTTGTGCCATCATTAATCCATGACATAGCTTCACTCTTTGCTTGTGTATGAATTTTCGCCATCCCTTATACAAATTGGTTTCCATCTAACAATTTTCTAGTTTGGAGAAATATGTTACATTCTCGCAAGTAAGCTTATTGATATGCACGCGAATATTGACTTGACAACCTCTTGTTTTAGGCGTTCCTGCAAGGCGAGTGATCGTGTAGTTGTGCTTGCCACCTCTTCTCATCTTTGCAAAAGGTCTCATCGCAAACCAAGACGTACAGCACGTCTTCATACTCACGTGAGTTCTGCCTCAATGCGACGAATTTACTGATCAATGTTGGTTCAGACCTCAAGAACAAAAGATTGTCGAGTGTACCACATCATGTTACGTCTTGGGTCGCAGCGGCACGGGGTAATGGTCCTGCCCTTGATATGAATAGCCTATTTATCACACTCAACTAGGAAAACCACGACGATGCTGTTTAAGATTCTCGGCATTCAGCGAGCTTGGGAGATGAGTGCCGTTGACATGCCGAAGCCACGCCAAATCTTCGTGACCAAATCCAGAGTGCTCGCTACGAAAGTGGAAGAGTATTTCACGAAGCTTCTCGAATCTCTGGCGTTAGCAGGCTATACCCTAGAGGAACTTGCAAAAATGAAGGCACAAAGTGTTCAGGAGGGCCTTGTTGATCTCGACGACTTGCCCGATTCACAGATGAATATACCCATGAAATACAGCGAACTTGACGATAAGCACTTTCCTCTTTTTGTGACTTTCGATCGAGTATGTCCCAATTCGTCATTCGGACAGTTCTTGAGCTAATCATTTATGTAGCTGTCGAAGATGATCGCGGCAGATATGTTGAGCAAGGATGTTCCCGAAACGAGAGATAGCGCAGGACTTTTCTTCAATGTCGACGATGCTGAGGCGCATGACTCTTTCGTCACCTATGACGTATTCGCAAATCAATACTGGCCTCATTTTCCGCAGAATCTCACTAAGAATCTTAGTAATGTTCTTTTATCTTGTGAGGACAATCAACTACTGACATACCCCATCAGACCCGTGGTTGGTTTTCAGCGAATTCATGGGCGAGTACCAATTTGTATTATCCTGACACTGACAATTTCTGAATATACCTATAGGGATCGTCAAAGGCTCCGAACATGCACTGACCTGTCCTGAAGGAGTTCTCGATCGCCCGAATTACCTCCGTCTTCCTCACCGTTCTAACCCAAACTTTGCGAATCAGAGGGGAATTCTGTATGACATCTTTGAGTATTATACGAAAATCAAGAAGCAGCGACGTCATCATGATGTTGCAGATCGGTATGACCTGTTCCCTCTTCTCATCCATGTAATGTCATGATATATGCCCAAACAGCACGCATGCGGTACTTAAGGTCTTGCGGAGCCAGAGGTTCCCTGGCCAACAGATCGATTATCTGTATGTGTTATCCCAACGATGTATCTCACCTCTGACCACCTGCACTAGGTATGTCGACGAAGCACAAGACAATCTTCTGATCGACGCACTCTGTAAGTAGCCACTCCATCCTTTGTTGATAAAAATCTTTCTAGAACTTTCTATTGTAGTTTTGAGGCAATTATGCAGGAATCCAGACGGTTTGTTCTGGGCTGGGGATACCGCACAGACAATTTCTGCAGGGAGTTCCTTTAGGTTCGATGATCTGAAAGCCTTTCTCTACCGTGTGGAGGTCAGCAAATAGTAACTTAGCTTGGGCCTGAATTGATATCTCAGAGCAGCAGCAAAATACCTCGGTCAATTCCGCTGGAGCATGTCTTCATCAACCTACGATGTTTCAATTGGCGATCAACTACAGATCGCACGGTGGCATCGTCAACTGTGCACATTCTGTGATCGAACTCATCACAAAATTCTGGCCCAACACAATCGATAACCTTCGGCCAGAAAGGGGGGTGGTTGACGGGCTGAAGCCTGTATTTTTCACCGGTTGGGATAAAGACACCGTCCGTTATGAACAGTTCTTGTTCGGGGCAAGGTAAGTAGGCCTGGACGATATCCCTCTTTCCTACTGAGGATTTTTCAGTGGTAGTCACATTGAGTTCGGAGCGCAGCAATGTAAAGTAATTAATTGAAGGCTTCATTCATACACTGACAAGGTATCTAGGCATCCTCGTGCGTGACGATGCGGCACGTCAAAAATTGCGAGAACAAGTTGGTGAAATTGGACTGATTATGTGAGTCGTATCAAGACTACCTTTTCCCCGTGTTTTCATGTTCACATATGTATGCAGGACTCTTTACGAGAGCAAAGGCCTGGAATTCAATGATGTGAGAAAGCTAAGTTGACTTTCTGGTGGATGTCTGACCTCGGTCAGGTGCTTTTGTACAACTTTTTCGAGGATTCTGTGATAGATCTGTCACGATGGCGCATAGTTCTCAATGGAGTGGAGGGTCAAGAACATGCGCCGAACTTCGATCGTGATGAGACACGATACGCTGGGGTTTGTAGCGAGGTAGGCACACCGATCCTCAGAATAAACTTTGGCTGACTTTTATTAGCTCAAACTTCTTTACGTGGGAATCACTCGAGCAAGGAAGAACATGTGGATCGTTGACAAGTCTGATAAATCAGACCCAATGCGTGTACGTTTAGAGCGATGTATTGGCTTAAATCGATCTGATAACTCCTTCCCTTCAGATATTCTGGACGTCTCGCAATCAAGTCCAGAATTGCACACCCGGCACCGATGTCCCTCATCTAGCCGTCTCCTCGACTCCAGAAGAATGGGCATCCTTCGGGCGCTCGCTATTCTCGCACAAGCGCTACTCGCAAGCTATCCACTGCTTCGAACGTGCTAACCTTCGTCGTGAGGTGAACGTCTGTAAAGCATATCAACTGCGAGAAGTCGCACGTTCTAGTGTCGGGGTGGCCATACTCAGTGACCAAAAAAGAGCTTTTAACTTGGCTGCCGATGCCTTTACTGATTGTGGTGCGATCGCAACAGGAAACCAGAAGCTCCAATATTATCGTAACTCGGCGGATTGCTACATTCGAGCAGGGGATGATATCAAAGCTGCTGAGGCCTATATCAATGCTGAAGAGTTCGAGCAAGCAGCGAAAAGATATCGCAAGGCTGGACGGTTTGACAAGACCCTTCATGTTCTTGGTGGCCATAGCATGAATATACCTGAAGAGACCAAGGCGGAGTTATGGACTGTGTGCAGACTGTTTTACTGCAGCAGAAACAACACTAAGTAAGTCTCAATATTAGACTCTCCACAACGTTTTTAATCAATAGCAATTACGCAGGGCTCCCTTGCCTCTCTTCTCGACATTTGATGAGGAACTTGAATTTCTGGAGGACTATGATCTTGATTTCGCTCGAGCCTCGCTGCTTGAATCCCACTCAAGGTACTATGAGGCCGCAGAACTCCATTTGTCAGAGAATAGGCCCTTGGAAGCTGTCCGAGCGTTCATTAAGGACAGCGACAACGGCAATTCTACTATTCGTGCGGCCGAAACTATATTGGAATACTTCTGGCGCAAATGCTCCTTTAGAATTACTGCAAAAACTGTTGCTGATGAGCCAATTCGACATTTCATCGCTCTCGCTGATCAACTAGAGACGAACAAACTGACGCTGGCGACCCGTGATCTAGTACGTATTAACAGTCTCAAAGTGACTAGCTGGACTGATTGACATTCAGATATCGATGTTTCGGACCATCCTGTGCGGAAATCATGAGCCGTTGAGAAATCTTGCGCTTAGCCTCCATGGAAATAATAACCAGCCAGCAGCTCTCCTTTGCCTGGACCATGTATTCTCTCGAACCACAGACATTCGAACGTTCGCGGTCGAAGAAATGCAACGGTTCCTTCAGCAATTTCATGCCTATGCGCGACTGCTGTATCTGATTTTGACGATCCCTGACCCCATGGACTCGGAGCATAGGGGTATACAGAGACTGTTCTCCATCGTGCAGTTGTCCGGTGACGAGTTCCTCATACCAGATGGAACGTTCCTCCACAACTGTGTGATGGAAACCCGCCAAGGCATCACTTGGGTAACGGAACATCCGTCTGGGTACACAGCCTCTCGTAGAAACGTCACCCAGCTGCTGCAAGGATCCATTCGAACGATCTTGAAAGACAAAGTATCGGAGATCGACGCTATGTGTTGCAAATCTCCTGTTTTCTCGCAATGCCTGCCATTCTTGATGTCTGGAGTATGTCGAAGAGATAACTGTCCCCAAGAGCATGTCACAGTATCGAAATTGGATCGCCAATATTACAACAACCGTGTTGCGATCCACATCTGGCAAATTCTTATCTTGCAATTCATGTATTCTGCTCATCCATACATTGAACGACGCAATAGGTACGTCTGGAGGTAGCTTATGACCGAGTGCTCAAACTAATCACTTCATCAGCATGAGGGACTGGCTCAAGCATCTTTACGAGGCTATCAATCCACCCTTCTTCATTCAAGGTTCCCCCGCGGACCTTGATATAAGCCTGATGCCTCTTCGTCTAGATGGCATGAAAGTGGTGAAGCTCTGGATCCGTGAATCCTTCTACTCGCTCGACCCATTCTATACCCAGGCTGAATTTTTGACGGCGTTAATGGGGATAACCAGTCTAAGTTTCGCTTTTGACAGGAACGACGCACCTGTCTACATCTCTCGAGCAAAGTGTACGGTCTCCGGACCGTTAGAACTCTTCCGCAAGGGCGACAATCGCTATATGGTTCATGACCTGCTCAGTTCTTACCAAGGAGCCACCCGCAGCAGCATCTCATCAGGAATTCTGTATCTTCTGTATGTGTTCTTCTTGTCTCTACATGCCATGAACTAAGTGCAATCCAGGCATGTTCTCGATAATCGTTTATATGCCAACCTCTCTGTGTTGTGCGACTGTATCGAGGACATCTGCAGCGCATTTGTAATCAAGTACCGAATGGACCCAGACTTTAATAAGTTTCCCCTCCATGACGTCGTCCTTCCATGCAGCTGGCTGTTGCTTCCCCACAAATTCACTGCTGAGAAAGACACTAAGCTGTTTTTGATGGGCAAGCTTCTGGATGAGATAGCGAGGCTGGTCGAAGCATTGCGGGTAGAAGTCGGCATGGGTGAGTCTCTTAACTTTTCAGAGATCCGAGACTACAATTAGGCAGAATTCCTCTGGCTGAACCATACCAGATTTACGCCCATTCTCCGCAATGTTTTTATTTCCCGGATGTGAGTCCAATTTAGTGTCTGTTCGTCGGCGATGCGCATACTGATCACCTGTATTGTAGCTGCAGGGTTCTCTGCCTTAGTACGTGTACTGTCTCTTTCTCTTTTCAAAATGGATTGGATACTGAATTGGATTCATTAGTTGCTCATAACATCAGGAATCGCTTCATGAGAGAGAAAGTAGACAAGATCATTCTTTCTCTGCACAAGAATAACCCTCCTTGGCGTCCAGCTAACTATCGGAAACTCGTGGATGACGTGGCCAAGTACATGACACCAGGACGGATGCCACCCTCAGATGTTTACCTGCGAGCTCTCCTGGCTTTAGACAACAACAAAGGAGTGAGCAACCTGGTGCATCTTGTCCACAAAACGATGAGCCAGCATGGTCGAGGTGTAGTCCCACGGCTCGTATACGAGAAGATCATCGAGATTCCCCATCTCCTTTCATCGTACGCAGTGATCGCTCAGTCTACTCTGAGAGTAGAGGCCCCGGCCTTCGTACCTCGCATAGGACATTCCAAGGATCAAGCAGAGGTTATACAGCATGATGAGAAAGAGACAACCGAACACCAACCGCAGGAATTCGACGGAGAAGAAGCAAAGGAAGAGGAAGATATCGCGACGAATGTTGATGCTGAGACCCGTGATACGTCGGAGAGTGTAGATGAGGCGGTGACGTCGCTTGCACCTGATTTCGACGAGTCGCTACGCTCTAACGGACCATCGGTGGAAGAACAAAAGGCGGCTTGCAATATTCAGAACGCATACCGCCGTTATGTTGGACGTCGCTCGAGTCGTGCAGTGAATGCAGAAATCGATGCGATATTCACGACATGCCTCAAGCAGACGCGGTCTTCTGAATGTCGTCCAGGCTATTACCAACTTCTTTTCCTTGGACCACTGCCTCACCTCCTGGTATGCCTAGAACGAGGCATTTCTCTGACTCACGCTGCCAAAGCGAAGATGAAAGGCCTTCTCAACAAGGAATCCCATGAAAAACTTGAGGAGTTGGGCAAGCAGAGAAATGAGATAGCGTCCGTCCTCATTTACTCAGCATCATACAATAACTGACACTGTCCTATTACAGAACGCTCTTTAAGAAAGGATTAGAATTACGTAAGCAACTGGAGCCTTCCTCACTGGCTCATCGTGCCCGTGACATTGACGCACTTAAATGTGGAGTTCAAAAGGTCAAGGAATTCATGCAGAGGGTTCCTGGCAGCATGCAAGATATGCAATCTGACTTTCAAATAGCCTATAAGGGCATCGTTGCAGAGAAGAAGGTTCACGCACGAAAGGAGAAAGAGAAACCTATTCTCAATGTCGAGGATATCGACGACTATTGATTTGATCGATTGAAGTCAAGACCGCCATTTCGTCAGTGTATCATATCATATATCACATTGTACAGTACTGTTTCCGCAAATCAATGCCTGTGTGTGCAAGAGAACAAGTGTCAACAATGAATGAGTACTCCATGATCATCATCTTAGGTTACCACGCCAATAATCCAGTCCGCGGTCGTGTACCGGGACTTCAAGCTACCACATTGTGGCCCCTGATGCTGGCCCATATCAAGGTCAGCTCATTGCAGGCCGCTCGCTGATTAGCAGCCAACGGTGACCGTGTCCGAAGTAGTGTTGCAAAACATGCCAAAGTTGCATACCGATGGGGCAGGCTCGCACTCGATATGCCCCGTCTGCTCTCTTGTTAGGAATTACCAACAATCTTCACAAGTAAAAACCGTTTGTGGATCTTGTTAGCCTTCCTTATCGTCTTATTCAACTATCCGATCAACTCGCCATGTTACGCTGGCTTCCAAGTTGGCCAACCGATTCCTGCCCTTTAGATCCAGGTGTCAATGGTCAACTTCGGCTAGGAATGATGATCCTCCGGTCATGACAGTCGCTTGTAGGTACTAGGGTTGGTGCATGAGTATGATCACGCCAAGAAATTTCCCTATCCCGGCCAGTGGGCGATGCACTGACCAAGTATTACATAAGTGACAAGTCCGCGGCTATTGTTTCAAAGTCCAATAAGTTTGAAATGTCGGCAGTATTAGTGTATCATCGCCGCTTGCTCTGTACTTGCACTTCGGGAGTCGCATCCAAGTACTTCGTATCGATGAATATCGAACATGTCACTAGGTTCGGACGGACCTCTTCTTTCCAAGAAAACTAGAAGTATTCTCAAAATCCAGATTTTGTTGGTTCAAGTTTGTTTTGCGAAGGTCTGGGCCGTATATGACGTCAACGCCTTAAACAAGTTCAAGCTAAGCTTTAAATTACGCTTGAGGAGCTTGCTTTTGCACCCAACCTTTCAAGTTGGTGACCAACCATTCAAGTGCTCAAGCGCTCAAGTTCAAGTTCAAGCTTCAAATTCTGTGTTTTACTATGACAAATTTTTCCTCCACACTGCCCATGTCGGAACTGTTTTCAACCAATCGATTGGCTCACGAAACAGGCCTCAGAGCCGCCCTGTGTTACTTAGACGCTCTAGGAGGTCACAGCGGATTACAACCTGCAATTGAGCATCTACTCTCTCACCCTCGTGTTTTTGCATACATCGTCTCTGGTATCTCGCAGACTTCTTTTCCATGCCATCAACTAACTTCCTGAATAGTTTGGGATCGCTCTGCAGAAATGGTGTCACAAATAGTGGATGACTTTCCCACAGACGCCCAAGAGTACCGATCGTCCCTTGCATGCAACATGCTGGACAATATGTCCGTTTACGCTCTCGCCCTGCCAATCGAGTCTTTGGCAAGGGAAGTCGCGAAGGATATCGGTCGCTACCGGGCCTTCGTTGAGGGCGCACACCCCGTGTTTTGTGCATTGAGCGCTATGAAATTTGCTGATGTACAGTCGCTTACGAGCGCCGAATCTGACGATAGAGTTGTCAACATGCAAGCGTCTCAAGTCATGCGCAAGCGTAATTGCCAGAATGCTCGTGTAACTATCGATGCATCACTCTTCATCAAACTTGGCATGGCTGTGCCTTCCACGAGTGAGGCGGCCACATCATTGTCCTTCGGCATACTTGCAGAACTGAAGAAAATCCTCTCGGTGTGTATTCCCATGATGTACTTCTCGACGTTCCTGATAGCTCCCTCAAGTTTTACCTCTCGCTTCTGCGGAGGACGGAATTAGTGGGCGACATCAAAGCCTTGCTCTTCCCAAATGTGGAAGAGTCTGCCAAAGATGTTGCGCCTGAAGTTTCGTTCCCCGAAGACGCCGAGAGCCCAACAGAAGAAAGTGCGTATCCAATGGTACAGCCCATGAAGGCTGCTCTCTTCTTCGACAATGCGGACGGGTTCGGCGAGTGGCAAATCCTCATATCCACTGAGGCATATAAACATCTACGCGAACATCGCCGAGCGGACCAAAAAATATTCAAGATTATCTACAAGAAGATCAAGTCTGTCTTTTGATGACCTTTATATTGCCGATCTTATAATCACCACAGACATCTCTCGCATGGTCAATTCTCAACTGACAATTACAAGAGACTCAATGGGCCGGATGCAGGCATTCCTGTCTTCGAGGCCAAGATGACCAAAGACTTGCGACTGGTGGTAGACATCATTTCTTAGAACCTCTGGGCAGGAGATAACCTATTTTTGTAATAGTACCAGATCGATTGCGTCCCTGACCAGGGTGGGGAGGTACGTGCTTCTTCCGTCCAAGACCAGTGCATGCTGAGACCGGTCCCTGATAGTCTGAGAGACAAGGTGCGCCATCATGCATCATGAATGGACATTAATCTTCATCATCGCTTACATGAATACCAGTCATCAAAGTATATGGGATATACAGACACTCTGAGCTCGGCAGAATCTGGAATGCCTTGGGGAACCATCTCGCACGCAGGGGTGCGGAATATCGCAGACGGTTGAGCATACCTGTCATCTATTATGCAACCTACTGAGTAATTGCTTTATCAGATGCATATTTCGTACCAAATCTACTAATGATGTTATTCTGCCGGCCTCATTCCCGCCGACGGAACCCCAGCCAGAAGTTCTGGCAAGCCCACTGGATCTTGGTGCTAAGGATATGGAGCACGTTGAGTGTTTGCATCTTTTGGTAGAATAGCGATTGATCTATCATGCAGCTTCACTCTTTGCTTGTGTATGAATGAATATTTTGCACTTTGATGAATGATGATTGACAATTTTCTAGCCTGGAGAAATATGTCACATTCTCGCAAGTGCGTTTATCTGTATGGTTTTTTGATGTAGAATGACTTGATACTGTGTCCTCAGGCATTTTTGCATAGTGAGTAACCTTGTCGCAAATTCCTAATTTGGGTTTAAGTGCCTTGTCACGCATTTCAATATTCAAAGACCGAGCGTAGATTGAAAGTCCTTTCAATAATAGAGTCACGATTGCAATCACACTGTAACGACGGTTGCAATTACGATGGCAATTGCCGTTGCAACACGTGGCAATCAATCTTAGTCATTGTAATGAGTGATTTGGCTGGAAAGCCGCATGGCGTTGAAATCGATTGCAATGTCAAGTAGCAGCTTGTAATGCGAAATGAAGACCTGAAATCTTGGTTTTGATATTTTAATAGAGATCTTGAATTGTCATATTCTACCATAATTACAAGACAAGTATGAGCGGATACTCAATGGAAACCCTCTGAAGCCAAATCCCCCACTCCCTAATATACCCTGCATCTTTCCCTTGAATGAATGGGGCGCTTGTCCATCATTTCTGGATCCTTCTGTTGCTGCCGATACCTCTCACTAACCTTCTCCCTTCATCTAATAGGTCGCCATACATCATCCGGTCCAACCCTGCCCTTGTGCGGGAGATATTTGGTGACGAACAAGAGACCACCAAGCAAAGTGTGCTAGCCGCTGCCAAATGGCGATCGATGATGGGGCCTGACATGGGTAAAGGGCGCTTGGGTGGAACCGAGAGGTGGCATGCTGGTTGGGCGCTATGGGTATCCCGCAGGCATTTGGCAGTGGTCTAGGGAGTGGCGCCTTGCGTGTGGGTGGGGTGTGGCATGGGAAGGGTAACGGTTTGGTGGTCGCTGTGCGATGTGAGAAGACCTTGACAGTAATAAGCTTCAGCACACCAAATTAGATATTCTACATACCAGTAGTAGCGCGGACACCATTGGGAATTGGGCCACGACGGTGCAGTCTGGGTTGGCATTAAAACATTAGCGAAAAGTATCAAGTATCAATATAATAAAAAGACTGACCTGTAACTGCGATTATTCGTTGGACACACTGTCAATGGATGGTTCAGAATGTCTGTACCATTGACCAACGAAAGGCATAAGGTCACTAGACAATGAGAACTTTTCAATAATTGTCGCCCCAAAAAAAGACTGCACACCGTTTGCCATGTGCTCGACGTCAAATCACTGGTAACATTGACTTGTGTGGAGGTTATTAATGGAGGGGAAGAGGGATTCAGTCAAGAGAGGAATCGACGGAAAGTCCGAGCAGAGCGACGACAAGTCTAAGTCTAAGCGACGTTACAGTCACACTGACAATGTGGTTGTTGTAAGAGATGTAAACCGGTGTGAAAACTTTACAATGAATAATAAATGATTGTTATGTAAGCATCACTTACCCGCGATTCAGATCAAGCAGCTGTAGGATAATCTGTGACTCGGATTCCTCAATTTTATCCCCAAGAATGTCGGCGGACGACTCCCAGAAATCAAAATATGTATCTGGTTTAGTTGGTACGTTCAAACTTTACTCAGCTCCCCTCTCCTGGCTATATTACAATCTCTGATGATTCAGACACAACCATCTCCCATGCCCACCCCCCTGACGTTTGGTTCGAGCAATCAGCCCCCGCATTGCAACGTTATGCCCATGAAAGGGTTTGTTCACGAGGTTCTTCGTTGTTCTCGCACGTCAGGCAGCGTTCTACAGACAGCGCTCTGTTATCTGGATGCAATCTGCGCCAAGGTCCCAGAGTTGGTCTCACAGGAGAAGGGTCGCCTGGGTCCACTTGCGAAAAGGAATCAGCTGAACGTATTGTCCAGGGTGAGGTATCCACATCAATCCTATTGCACTTAAGGCTGACTCTATTTGTATCCATGCAGCAACCGCGAAATGGTTCATGGAGACTAGCCTTATTGTTTCACCAATATCTTGCACTGTCATGGCTCGCCTCTGGTGGCAAGGCCTCGTGTGTGTGTCAGGCGGCACGCCACACTACCCGCACAAACCTTCTATTGCGAAGACTCTTGTTTGGCGACAATTTTGTTTGCCATTGAGACTAGGAATGGTTAGCAGTCCGAACAGCTCCAAGATCAGTCCACCCGCTCTTTTGAGCTGCAGAATGACAAGATGTGTATTGACGCTGAGTGATTTGACAGAGAACAGCAAGGGTATTAGCTAGCTATCATGTATTATATCACTTAGACTTTACGAGAACGTCCACGACGAGTAGGACCCTGCGTCGCTACAACCTTCCTCCCCCTAGTATTCTTGGCCTTTGCTTGTCCTCCACCCGATTCCGTCCTATCATCATCAGCTTCATCTGCATTGTTAGCTACTGCATTGACACTTGTATTCGAATCATTAGCGCGAATGACAGCCCTAGATACTGATTCGTCTGGATGTGTGACTGGCTGAGTGACGAGATTTGAACCTTCAGGTCCAGGCGCCAATGAAGGAGCTGGTAAGGCTGATATTGCCGAGGGTAATACTGAGAGTGCCGACAAGACCGGTGGAGTCACTGGAGTGTCTTCTTCGCTATCAGTGTCCATGTCAAGTGCTAGCATGGCGCGGTTGATCTCCTCTGAAAAATCTTCGGCACCAGCAGGATCCATCGATGTAGACAACTTTGCAGCACCGAAAACGTAGCGATTGATGTTAGTCACGATGGTTTTGATACGTTTTGTCTCCCACTTCGTAATTAGCAACTTCTTGTATTGAAAGAAGAGGTCCTTGTAGTTGATAGTTGACGACTTGCCAACTCCCGAACCTGGAAACTCTGTGTCTGGCGAGAGCAGAAAAATGACCTGTGTTGCAGTAGTGTATGAGTAGTAGAACGATTCAATGTCATCAAAATGACTTACAATAACCGCAGCCCATGCAATGGACCCTGGTGTGACTTGTTGCAAACTCCACTTCCGAGCGTTAGTCTTCGATCCACCACAAGGCTCTTGATGAAGCGAGGTGATGCCATAGAGTGAGGCCCTCAGGATCTAGATATGCCAGTATCAGTAGAGTACTAGTGAGCAGCAGGACAATTATGAGAGAATGATAGCGCACCTTTGCAAAAAGTGTCCAGTTGCCGAAAACGGTCTTGAGGGTTGTGTCTTCTTGGAGACTTGGGAACAAGAGAGGCGGAAAAATCTTGTAAGTCTGAGTCTTGCCGGAAACTCCAAACATCTTCTGAATGTCGACAATCGCAGCTCTGTCATAACTGGCATTGGCAAAGTATTTTCCCGGAAGCTCGAATATGTCTCCAGCAACGCCACGCAATTTCTTGATTTCGTTAGAACGAGCATCGGCGATGCACTTATTTACCTGTAACAACCAAATACATTAGGTAGTGGCTAGAATGAAAAGCAAAATTGACATACGAGGTCTTTGAAGTACTCGCTACCCATTACCGTTTCATGGATGCGTTCAGGGAAATGTGCATAGAGTTCATCTAAGAAAGCAGACTCTTGAGTTGCCGACGTCTTGTAACGATCAGCACTATTAAAAGGTGTAGGTGAATCGGGGCGCTTCTTGATGAGAAGCTCGCTGTCTGGGAACATCTCCACTGTCATGCCATATTTGCGGGCATACAACGAGATAGTTTGCTCATGGGCGACGAGGGCATCCGGTGCTTCTACACGCCGTTTCCGTTTAGGCTTCTCGGAAACCAGAACCTTATTTTTCTCCTTAAGGGCACGATTGTCTGCACGCAGCTGCTGAACCTCAAGCTGCAGCGCTTTGAGTGCCTGTATTGAGGAGAGTGTACGTTAGACAGCGTTATGCGATGAAGACGGTGGCTACATACTTCCATTAACTCTCCCTTGGAGGCATTAGGCCCTGGGATGTTATTCGAGACCTGGTCCGTATTGCCTTCGTCCCAGTCGCTATCTGAATCATCATCTGACACCCGCGCTGAGAGATGAGACATGTTCTAGATGCTCGATGGTAAGGTGACGGAGAAAACAGTGTGAATGTCACCCTAATATATAGGATGAGATGTACTGCTTACCTCGTGTATACTAGACGTAACATTACTGCGAGTGACGACATTGATTCAGTCTTGCGCGTAATAATACCAGTGAACTAATGAGAGGCACGTAAACAAAAACACGACTGAAGGCCACATGTTGATGGAAGAGCGACCTACCCTAGTCATTCTCTCTCACACATCGGCACGTCAATGCCAAGGAACCTATTGGAGTTAAAGCAATTGCAGCATTCATGGCGGCGTTAGAGGTCTATGACAAGCAAGGTCAGATCAAGACGTAAAAAACATTATAACAGAGGTCACAAACAACGCGACATCTGAAACACGCTGTTCCAATGCTGCTGTCATAGATTGCACGAAGTCTGTATGAGGTGAGTTGGTAGATCAGATAGACTGGGATCGAATTGCCCGGTTTCATTTGTGGGGTATTCATAGGCATGGAGGGGAAGTTGGGTGGTATGATAGGAGGGTTGGACTGAGGGTCATGAAAAGACGGGGCAGAGGGAGGGACACGCTGGGTGGAGGTAAGACCGAATTGCTGCTGAATCTGTTGTGGTTGCCAACGCCCGGGGGATTCGAAGCCGGAGGTACTGAAGGTGTCCCGTTCGGAGCAGGAGACTGCATGATACTTGAGTTGATGGTATTGGGAGTCGGGTGGCCTGGAGCAGCAGGAGCGTTGTGAGGTGACCCTTCTGGTATACCTGAAGGGTTATTGATCATGATGGGTTTGACATCCTTCTGATCTTTCATGGGACCACCCATAGCTGGTGACGCAGGTGGCGCCATGCCGCCCATAGGTTTGGCTTGAGCCAAGTTCTGGCCGATTCGATTGTTCTGGGGACCAGCAAACTGTTGTTGACCTTGCACAGGATGGAAACCTTGCTCAGAAGCACCGGGAGCGGCTGCCGCTAATAGGTTCTTTGTCGTTGCGGTCATACTCTGTCGGTACTGCAAGGCCTTCAGAACAGTTGAGGGGCAGCCAAGGGCTGCAACAAAATCGACGACTTACTGCATGAAGATAGCCTAGTATAATTAGACCATTAGTGAGACAACGAGCGAAGAAAATGAGAGGCTTACCAGGCATAGAGAGAGGAAGCCGACTTGAAGGGATACAATCAAATGCGTATTGGATGCCCTGCTGCAAGATGTAGCTCCTTTACACGAATGAACATGTCAGAGTCGACAGTGTCGACGACAAGGTAATCGGTACTGCCATCCGGCACAAGGAGAGCTCCGCGAATGATTGACCTCACTGAGAAAAACTCGGCTTGCGCTCGGGGTCTTGCTCGAACACGATAGATATTGAGGTGTTTGTCCTTTCGGAGCCGTACACCAGTGGGAGCGTCAAAAGGATGGATTAGAGCTAGAGAGAGCGTGATATCCCCAACTATACATTCAAACAGAAAGAGAAGGCGACCAAATATCACTTTGGCTTCTGTCTGAATGAAAACACAATCAAAACGCGCAGCATTGAAAAACTTGGGACTGCATCTAAGGTAGTCGGTGTGTAGTCGCCAATCCACCAAGGACTCGTAGTTAACCTTCAAAAAACGGCACTCAGTGATCTGTTTAACGATATTAGTGTAGCGAAACATAGAGCCGAACTGAACATGACCAACCTTATCACTTGCTTTGAATTGTACCCGCTTTCCACCTGGTAAAGGGAGCCGAATAACTTGAAGAAAGTCAGTCAAGAAATTATTGAGCTTGACCCGAAAATTAGTGAACGCGGCATCCTCCTTATGAGCATCCTCGATCAACTCAAAGGTCTGCGCAGCTTGCCTCGACCCAAGTCTTACATGAGGCGCATTTGCATCCGGCGAGACCAGATCATCCACATCTCCTAAATCCTCCAGGTCACCCGAATCTTCGCTGCCTCCGGACTCATACTCGTCTAGGTCTGATATGTGGCGGCGAATGCTCTCCGCAACCACTTGCCAATGGTTTATGCGGAGTATCTGCAATGAAATTGGTATCAAAATGATAGTTAGAGTGAAAAGAACGTCACCTGAGGCGCCACATCCCTGAAATTAGTGCGCAATAAGTACGAGTCTTTCAGCGACCCATGCATCCTTTCATTCGGCTTTGTATTGTAGTTACGTGTCGCACCTTTTGCTTCGATATTGTCAAAAATGTGCACACTCATGTGCAGTTTGGGGAAGTTCCAGTTTTTGTCGCTCTCATCAGCGCTTTTCTCTATATATTGCTATCATAGGCTTAATCAGTGGATAATTGTCTGAGTGAACTGAGGTAGACACACCTGAAGATAAGTCGAGAATGCCTGCACTGCATGTCGGCCGGCACTGATAGTCTCAGTGGTGTGAACTTCAAGCGCCGCATATGCGTCAACTTCGAGAAAGTGCCGAATGCAACGGAGTAGGAGATAGCCGAGTGGACTGTCGTCCTCCGTCAAAATCGCGTGCGCAGCATATACCACCATCTGAAAGAGTGTCAATGGCAATGAAGTAATAGTTTAAATCAAAAACACACCTTTGATATGTCCTCGTAGACACTGCCATCAGCGAAAGAGATGCTCATAACGTGAGCTAAGTGCTTCAAGTTTCGCCAGCGCGGGAATGCTTCGTAGCTAGTAGTTAAATGGGTCAATTCAAAACAATGTTACAGCGCTTGAGTCACAAACTGACTTTTTGTCCATTTGTGCTACTTTCACTCGTCCCAAACCGACAACGATTTTCTGAAGTTCGGCCCAGAGGTGGTCACGATACAGACCACCATTGAAGTGGAGTCGGTCCCATGACAACGCATCATGTACATCAGTATGCATCATGGCCGCAAAGGCATTCTGTAGCTTTGATTAGTTAGAACGAACTTACAACAGAGAAAACATTACCATGATGTCACGAAGGCCATACTCTTTCAGTTTCTCCTCTTTCTCCTCAGCAGTCGCCTCAGCTCGTGCAGCCTTCACCACTTCCTGCGACTGGGTAGCCGTTCGAGGAGGATAACACTTTAATGTATTCAAAAGCTCGTCGTGGGGAACGAGACACACTGGACATGGCCAAAGGCATTTTATCCCTCGGATTAGCGACATAATACATCTTAAATAGTTAATGATATTCATTAGCGATTCAGATTAACATCGAAGTGTGATATTACTCACTGTTCCTCGTAGTCTGCAGATAAAATTAGGATAATAGGAAAGAACCACCGCGGAACGTTGTCAGGGCAATCAAACCACTGTCCAGTATGAGACTTTGATGCGAGCGAAGATAGGATCTTTGAGAATGATTCATGCCAAACGGCATTCTTGAAGTTGACCCAGCTGGGCTTGCCAGCTTGGTCTCTGTCCTCCTTCACCTGCGTCAGAGTATAAGTCCCAACCGCAGATATATCAATATTACTGTGTCATACAATCGGAAGCCATCCAACTACATAGCCGCTACCCACACCCTGTCCGTTACGAATGTTCGCGGGGAGATTTGCTAGACGTGCAACAACAGGATACCCTCTTGCGGTACCAAATGACGACAACCTTGTCTTGTCCGCATACAAAATGAAAGCTAAGGGCTTGCCGCCCGGTGGTAGCTGTGACTACAAAGCAAAGTAAGGCGATCAAAATTGACAGTGAGATTAAGTACCTACTTGAACATTCCAAAAGGTTTCGGCAGTGAAAGGTTCGTCTATGAAACGTACGAAGGTCTTGCCATCAAATTTCGAGAAGCGCTGCGCATCAAAAACCATGTGTGGGAACAAGCGAGGATCACGGAGAAGATCTGCCGCCCACTCCCAGAGATCCCGGTAGTATAGCTCGAATTGTCGAATTGAATCATCGTATGGTACAGATATTACATCATGAGTAAACTAAACTTAGTTGTTAGACAATGAATATCAGAATGAACGAAGGAAAAAAACCCCAGTAGTGCGATGGGAGACGGCTTCCCACCTTTCGCGGATGTCTTTGTGGTTCTTGAACGTAAATTTTTCCGATTGAGAAGCGCACCTGTTACACAACGTAATGAGACGATCAGTTTGATCATTGTTGAGACAGGCCTCCAGAGCAAGTTCGGCTATCTCGAACTCCAAGCGTGACTTAAATGGAGCCCAGGGACGTTTATGAGGTGGGGCAGAAGACGTTGGTGGACGGCGTTTGAAATCGTTGAAGCCGTGTACTTCTGGTGTGATCCCGCTGCTAGGATGGTGCTCGAGCTTGATGTCATCGACCTGGAACATGGGTTCCACGCGTTCAGGGACATCGGCATCGAGAAACGAGGGAAGATCTAGTAAAGTTTCGATAATGAATGTAAAAGCACATAATTTGAGCTCACCTTGGTATTCCGCACCATCCAGATCATTCCAAGTACCTGCAGGTGAGGTATTGCATTGCCCTGTTTCAACTTGAATGTATCAATTTAAAATCAGACTAACAGGCACTTACCTCCCTGTCTCGACACTGTATCAATGTGATCTCCCATCGTCCGTTGCAGATTCGAAGGACCCGCTAGCAAAATTAGACGTTGTAAACAACGAGAAATTGTGCGTACCTGTGTCTCTTCGAATAGAATCAACGAAATGTTGATTCTGCCGTTGTTTTTCGGCTTTCTTCTCGCAAGCCTTGCGGTGGGTGGTGTAGCCACGAGGTTTGATGTCCTGTTGACACAAGTCGCAATATCTTGTCCTCTCAGGGCCCATTTTGTGGATGGTTTGTGTGCTGGGAGAGATTTGGATGGAAAGAATAGGAGAGAACACTCAAAATGCTGCGAGGGGGGGAATTCGAGAATCGAGACAAATATCAATCATCTTGCATGCGTATTGCAACCGCTTGAAACCCCGCCATCAATCTTACAACATGGTTTGTAATCGTCATTGTAACACGATGTAAACGGTACCTGATTACAACCGACTTAGGAAATTTGCGACACTTGTACTTGGTCATCCACATCGTCTCATTTTTGCAAAAGGTCTCATTGCAAACCGTGATGTACACCACGTCTTCATGCTGTCGTATGTCCCAATGCGTTGAAATGAGTTTAGTGATCGACATTGCTTCAGTCTTCAAGAACAAAAGGTTGTTGAATGCACTACGTCATGCTATGTGTTAGGTCGCAGTGGCACAGGGTAAGTACCCTGTGTTCGACATCGCTCACTTATCTATTTCATGGGCCACCAGAAAAACGACGACAATGCTGTTCAAGATTCTTTGGATTCAGCGAGTCTGGGAACTGGGTGGCAATGTCATGCCCAAGCCACGTCAAATCTTTGTCACCAAATCTAGAATGCTGGCGACAAAAGTAGAAGAATACTTCAAACGCCTTCTCGAGTCCCTGTCAATGTCAGACTATACGCTGCCCGAAATTGCGAAACTCAAGGCACGAAGCATGGAGGACGATCTTATTGATCCTGACGATGCTCCCGAGTCGCAGATGAATATACCAGCGAGATACAGCGAACTTGAGGACAAACACTTTCCTTTGTTCGTGACTTTTGATCGAGTATGTCATCATGTATTTCACAGGCCGTCTTGATCCTCATTTTGTGTAGCTAGCAAGGATGATTGCAGCTGATATATTCAACATGGACGATCCAGAGACGAGGCGTAGCGCTGAGCTGTTCTTCGACACTAATGATGCAGAAGCGCATGACTCGTTTGTCACCTATGATGTATTTGAAAAGCAATATTGGCCGCATTTTCCGCAGGGTCTGACCAAGAACCTTAGTAATACTGCTTCTTTTCTGTTAGATGATGCACTCACGTATCCCACCCAGATTCATGGTTGGTTTTCGGCGAGTTTATGGGCAAGTCCAAACCCGTATCTAACCCAGTAGTTCCTGAACTTCCTCACAGGTATCATTAAAGGTTCCGAGCAGGCGTTGAGCTTTCCAGATGGATTTCTCGACCGTCCAAGTTACCTTTGTCTTCCCTGTCGATCCAATCCAGTCTTTGCCAACCAGAGACACTCACTCTATGATATATTCGAGATCTACATGAAATTCAAGAAGCAGAAACGCCACTTTGATGTAGCGGATCGGTACGGGCCGTTTTGCTCAGACTCGTTGGACCTCACAATTGATTCCACACAGTACGCATGCGATACTCAAGGCCTTGCGAAATCAAAAATTTCCTGGTCAACAGGTTGATCATATGTATGTTTTCTCTCGTCCGGCTAATTCTAGATCCTGATCGACTATACCTACCAGATATGTCGATGAGGCGCAAGACAATCTTCTAATCGATGCGCTGGGTGAGTCATTTTCCCTTCTTCAAATACGAGAGCATGAATGACTTTTCTTGTTCTAGTTTTGAGGCGATTGTGTAGGCATTCAAATGGTCTTTTCTGGGCTGGGGATACTGCGCAAACGATTTCTGCTGGAAGTTCCTTCAGGTTCAACGATCTGAAAGCATTTGTCTATCGTATGGAGGTTAGCAACCAGTGATTGTATCCCAGAGTGTGACTTGATATCTTCCTACAGCGCAACAGTAGCTCGGTAACTCCCGCTGGAGCTCCTGTGCATCAACCAACGATGTTCCAGCTGGGTATCAACTACAGATCACACAATGGCATCGTAAACTGTGCTCACTCTGTCATTGAGCTCATCACGAAGTTTTGGCCAAACGCAATTGATCACCTTCAACCTGAAAAGGGGGCAGTTGATGGAGTGAAGCCAGTATTTTTCACGCACTTGGATAATGACGCTCACTTCAAACAGGTTTTTGGTCGGGGAGAGGTAAGTACATTGCCATAATCTTCATCATTCCCCTGCTGATTCTCGCAGTGCTAGTAACTTAGAGCTTGGAGCCCGCCAGTGTAAACGGTCTCTGCTAAAGGTTCCGCTATGTTCTGAAAAGTTATTTTATAGGCATACTTGTGCGGAACGAAGCGGCGGTCAAGGCCGTACAAGACAAAGTAGGAGATATTGGAATGATAATGTGAGTCGTCTCACAATTATCGATGCTCCATGGTTTTTAAGTTCGCGTCTGCTCGGGACACTCTACGACAGTAAAGGCCTTGAGTTCGACGATGTGAGAAAGCTGACGTTGACTATTTGACGGATGACTTACTGCCGCCAGGTTCTGTTGTACAACTTTTTCGGAGATTCCGCCGTAGATGCCTCACGCTGGCGGGTAGTTCCTCAACGGGGTGCAGGGTCAAGGATATGCGCCTGATTTTTATCGTGACGAGACTCGGTACGCTGCAATATGTAGTGAGGCAAGTACATCGCCCATCAATCGAGGGAAACATATCACTTACTTTTATTAGTTGAAACTCCTCTACGTGGGAATTACCCGTGCAAGGAGGAACGTATGGATCCTTGATACATCGGACAAGTCTGATGCTATGCGCGTGCGTTACCACCTCATATCTTGTGCGCTACTTGGTTGATGATCCTCTATTCTCAGATTTTCTGGGAGTCTCAAAATCTGATCCGCACTTGTGCCCGAAGCACAGATGTTCCTCCTCTAGCTACCTCTTCTACTCCGGAAGAGTGGGCATCCTCCGGGCGCTCGCTGTTCTTCCACCAGCGCTACTCACAGGCTATACATTGCTTCGAGCGTGCTAACCTGCATCGCGAAGTGAAGGTTTGCAAAGCTTATCTACTACGGAAGGCAGCGCGTTCCACTGTAGGAGTGGCCTTGCCTAGCGTTCAACAAAGGGCTTTTACTGCGGCAGCAGATGCCTTTGTTGAATGTGCTGCAGCTGCTACGGGCAACGAGAGACGTCAATATTACCGCACCTCGGCGTATTGCTACATCCGAGGAGGACAAGACCTCAAAGCTGCTGATAGCTATCTCAAAGCTGAAGAGTTTGAGTTAGCTGCAAAGAGCTATCGCAAGGCTGGATCATTTGACAGGACGCTGTATGTCCTCACTGACCACCGCGCTGTGATTCCTGAGAAGACCGCAACAGAGTTGTGGATGGTATGTCGGCTTCATTACTGCAGCAGAAACAACGATCAGTAAGTGACCACAAACTTACTATGATTTGGTTTAACGGTAATTGTGTAGAGCCCCTGTGCCACTATTCTCTTCGTTTGATGAGGAACTCAAGTTTTTAGAGGAATACGACTTGGATCGTGCCCGTGTTTCCCTTCTGGAGTCTCACTCGATGTACTATGAGGTTGCGGAGATACACTTATCAGAGAATCGCCCCATGGAAGCAGTTCAAGCGTTCCTCAAGGACAATGGAAAACTTGATTCAGCTGCTCGTGCGGCCCGCACTCTTCTGGAATTCATGTGGCGCAAATGCTCATTCAGGATCACCCCTGAAGCCGCCGCTGTCAACGAATCAGTGCGGCAAGCTATGGTCCTCGCTGATCAGCTGCAAATGAAGAAACTGGAGCCCATGACTTGTAATTTGGTACATATAACACATTACTGAAACGTATCAACGGAACTAATCCACATGCAGATTTTGATGTTTCAGGGTATCTTACGAGAAGATCATGGATCGTTGAAGAAACTCGCCCTTACCTTCCGAGAACATGGTCATCACGCTGCCGCTCTCCTTTGCCTGGATCACTTCTTCACACAATTGACAGACATTCGTCCTTTCCAGCTCCACGAAATGGCAAGTTTTCTTGAAACGTTCCATACCTATGCACAACTACTCTACCAAACCTCGATCATGCCTGACCCCTTGGGGCGCCGGGAGTGCGATGTACAAAGACTATTATCAATCGTGTCACTGCCGGGCGACGAGTTCCTCATACCGAGTGGAACATTCCTTTGTGACAACGTGACGGAAACTTCTCGGAATTACCGTCTGGTCTCGATGCCTCAATCCGGATATAAGGCCTCTCGTAGAGACGCAACAGAATTGATCCATTTGTCCATTCGAACTGTGTTGAAGGACAAGGTTTTGGAACTCGATAAAATGTGTTGCAGCGCTCCAGTATTTTTGCAACGCTTGCCATCTGTCTCCTGGACGTGTCAAAGAGAGCCATGCCCTCAGAAACAGGTCGCGATATCGAGTACGGACCACGTGCAGTACAACACCCATGTTGCGATCCATATGCAACTAATTCTCATCTTACAACTCTTATACTCCGCGCATCCTAGATGGGCAAGGTGCGCCCAATGTATTGTTTGTGGCTGAAGTATACGCTGATACTGTCGTTAGCATGAGGGACTGGCTCGAACACCTTTACGAGGCGCTGGCTCCGCCCCTGTTCATTCAAGGTTCCTTTGCGGACCTCGATTTGACCCTCACTCCTTACGGTTTAGCTGGCCTGAGTGTGGTGAAGAACTGGATTCGCGAAACTTTCTATAGTTTGAACCCATCCAAGAGCCCTCAATTCCTGACGACCTTGATGAGAATCACCAGTTTGAGTTTCGCTTTCGACCGGAATGCTGCTCCCGCCTACATTGCTGAGGCAATGTGTGTCACCAAACATAGATTTACCAAGCTCATCCGACAGCCAGATAATCGCTACCTAGTGATGGACATGTTTAATTCCTATCGAGGAGCTACTCCCAGCAGTATATCATCGGGAATTCTGTTTCTACTGTGAGTTTACGCCTTGTGTTTATATGTACATGCTAAAAATTCTGCAGGTATGTCTTCAACAACGGTCTACACGTCAATCTATCTGTTCTATGCGATTGCATTGAGGATATTTTTGCCTCTTTTGTTATAAATCACAGAATGGATCCCACTCTGGACGAACTTCCATTGAACGGTGCCGTTCTTCCATCCAACTGGTTGATCTTTCCCCACAAGTTTCTTGTGAAAAAAGATGTCAAACCGGAGTCAATAAGCTCGCTCTTGGATGTGATAGGAAATCTAATATGGAGATTGCGCATGGGTAGTGCCATGGGTAGGACTTTTGCACACTCCGCAGACCGTGTTTAATGCTCACGAATCAGCAGGTTCTTTGTGGCTTGCACATATGACAAATATCACACCGTTGCTTCGCGATGCTTTCATCTTCCGGCTGTGAGTCCAGTTGACTCCCTATATACAATGAGCCACTCATCCCTACACATCCACAGTTGCAGAACTCTTTGCCTTGGTGCGTTTGCTCTAGCTCGTCGTCATCCAACAACTTTTAATTCCTTGACAGTCGCTCACAATACACAGTACCCCATGGTCAAGCGCAAAGTGAATTCGATCGTGCTTCATCTGCACAGACTTGACACCAATAGACCTCGGTGCCCTGCATACTATCAAAAACTCGTGGACGACGTCGTCGATCATATGGCGCTTTTGCCCCATAGAGGAATGCCTCGCTTGGATGGCTATCTGCGAGCTATTCTCGATTGCGATACCAACAATGCTGCGAGCGATCTTGTCAAACTTATTCACAAGACGAGGCAATCTATTCAAATCTCGTCGGTGCGGCAACTGCTGTATGAAAAGGCTAGTGACATTCCCTATCTTCTTTCTTCGCATATGGTTGCTGCACAGTCTATGCTGAGGGCGGAGGCCGCTGCCTTCATCCCTCGCATGCAGCGTCCCAAAGATGGCGTAGAGATTCATCCGGCCGAGAAGAAGAAATTTGAGCCCCAGGAGGCGGGTAGAGAGGAAGTAAAGGAGAAAGAAGTTCTAATGGTTGTTGATTCTGAGGCCACTGATGACATGGAAGATATGGACGAGGCAGTCACATCCCTTGACCTTATGCCAGACGAGTCCCTTTGCCCCAACGGGCCATCGGAAGAGCAGGAATCGGCTGCTCGCACGATTCAGTATGCATATCGCTATCACGTTTGGCATCGTTCAGGCTCTGCTGTAGATGCAGAACTCCATGCGATATTCACGACATGCCTCAAGGAGACGCGGTTCTCTAAATGGCGTCCAAGTTACTACCGTCTTCTTTTCCTCGGACCATTTCCCCACCTTCTGGCGTGCCTGGAACAGGGCATTGCTCTAACTCACGCTGCCAAAGTAAAGACGAAAGACCTGTTCAACACCGAGTCTCATGAAAAGCTTGAGGAGTTGGGCAGGCAGAGAAGCGAGATCACGTCAGTCAAAAATTACCTCAGCGTCATGCAATGATTGACGTGCAGTCTTGTTTACAGATTGCTCCTCAAAAAAGGCATGCAATTGCGTGGTAAGCTAGAGCCTTCCTCACCAGATCATCGTACCCGGGACATCGACGCTCTCAAACGCGCGGTTTTAGAGGTCGGGAGAGTTCATTCAGAAAGTTCCTGGCAGCACGACGGATATGCAAGCTAAGTTCCAGATGGCTTATAAGGGAATCGTTGCAGAGAAGAAACTATTTCACGTGCGAAACGAGAGACCTGCTCTCAATGTCGAGGACCTAGATCCTATTGTTTGAAGACCGTAAACTGTGTACCAATTCCGTGACATGCTTAGTCTTAGTCTCCCGTAGTAGTCGTTCTTTCTTTATTATCTCCAACTTACGAGTAGGATCGATGGCACCACTGCATCTCGATCATTTACCGGTATGATACCTGGCCACCATACTGGTATGGATGAAGAACTCAGGCTTGAATTATTGATTTACTCAATTCCGGGATGAGATTGCGCACTCGCCGATTACTTTCGGGCATGCCTGTGTGTAGCTACTTAATCTCGCCCACGTCGACAAAATCGAGATAGAAAGTTTCGTAAACTTCTTCAAGTTTTCATGTCATTAAATTTCGCGCCAACGTTCAATATTTGACACATAGGCAATGTGAAAGAAAAATATCGACACGAGATAAACAATATCATGATACATTGTACAAGGGGAACTATGAAGGGCCGTATGAAGGGCCGCGCTGGTACGTGCGCAGCACTTGGCACGTGGTGCATTGACTTACTGACGTACCACAGGCTTGTAGGTTTCATCTTTCAGTATGTAATACGAAGGTTTGTTTCTCGTTTGGAAACCTCTGCAGCATCTCCTGATCAGCTGATGTAGTAGTCTGCAGGCGCAATTTTGCATGGTGGACGAAATACAATTGTAAGTGGATCAATGGCAGTATTCGCGCCGTATTTCACGAGAGCTACGCAGATGTCTTGTCGGCAGCCCTGGATGCTGGGCTAGCTGTTTCTATAATCTTCATATTTCTCGTGTAAGTCCGCTCAATCACAGTCTTAGCTGTCATTCATCGAGGTGCACAGATTGCAATATCCGGCAAATGGGTCGGTAAGTAAAAGGTTGTCACACTTACTGACAAGCGTTCATGTAATTCCACTAGATTGGGGAGGGCTTGCAACACTGGTGGGGCAACACGGTAGGCTCTCCATTGAACTACCAGCTCAAACGACTAATGCGTTTACCATCAAGGTATATTATAAAACTGCCGATGGTATGGGCACTCCAGTTCGCCAGCTACAGGGCTCAGAGACATTCGGGTACGTTGACTTACAAGCTGATCACTTCGGTTTTGTTGACGAGCCAACTCAGTCCTAGTATAGGATCTTGGTAGCCACTGTATATTCTGTGCTTTAAATGTAGATTTATATTGTTGTAATGATTTGTATAGTATGGACTTGTCCAGCGTTCCCGCATAATGATACACATCGTTGAATTTCGGTGGCGAATGGTTTATGCGAGGGTATCATGAACGTTCATCATTAATTTGTCATGAGATGCGTCAATGTAGATCGTCTGCGGCAAGTGACCGGAGTTCGGGCACATCTAGTCGGTCTTCACTTTGCAAACCGTCGCAGAGTCATTGGGCGTGCCACCGAGGCGGTTTCCAACCTTGACTTTCTGCCCAGCTTTGAGGGTGAACTCGAACGTCTTTGGGGCTTCGAAAACCAACACGATGGTGCTTCCCAAGCAGAATCCGCCCATCTCTTCACCGGCGGTCAACGGTTGACCGTTGAGGATAGGAGACGCCGCTGAGTAGACGGCCTCGTTATAAGTCCCGGGAGGAGGGGGTCTGCCTCGTACGTTGGTGCGAAGAGCCTCCAAAGACGACATCAGCATGAACTACACTTCTATACCAATGGAATGATACATACGGTATCAAAGTTGATATTGATGCTGCCTACGTTAGTGGCGCCAACGGGGATCATACCGAAGAACCCAAATTTCCATCGACCGAGAAGGGCGACTCTTTCATTCAGGACGAAGAGGTTTTGCAATCGATTTGCCATCCACGGGGAAACGGAGAAGAGTTGGCCTTAAAGCCACATACCGTCAGCAGCACGCGAAGCATGTGCATGAGGACTTACCAACGAAATGGCGCCGTTTCTCCACTACCCAAGCGGTGGGGCTGTGGAATCGGTGATAATCGCCCGGAGCGAGGTAGATAACGGTGAAATAAAGTGCGTTGCCTTCTTTAACGCTTGTGCCCGAGGTACTTCTCTTCCGCTCAAGCGACGGTCTGACGCCCATTTCACGAGCGACGGATGCGTCATGCGAAATTGTTTCTCGGAGGGATCCCGAACGCTCCACAGACGCTTGGTCTGGGAATTCGATGACCGTCGACGCTGGGCTTTCTGGATCTGAACGATCCACACCGAGGAGAGCATCTAATGAGTAGGTGATCCCCTTGACTTGCTCCACTCGAAGATTCTCGATAGTTCCGAGATGTAAAACGGTGCCATCGGCGGGGCTGACCTGTAATATAGTTAAGATAAAAAAAAATTCAATGAAAAAAAATTCTTACGAGGATAGCGTTGTCTATGGGCCTAGCACCAGGTTTGAGCTTCCGGCAGAAAAATTGACCCAGACTGGTATATTGCGTTAGATCGTCAGCGTCGATTTCCTCAAGGTTGCAGCCAAAAACGTATGCATAGAGCCGGAAGCCATAGGGCCGTATCCAAACAGGCAGTTCGAGTGAGTTCATGTAGCCCCAGACGCGCGACATGTTTCGGAGAGGAAGGGCGCATATTACATGGACCTGCACGAGATTAATTTAATAAACGTAGTACGATAACTAATCAGTGATACGCACATGCCACGGACCTTTGACCTTAATGACTTCCCGACCTTCATCATCTACGCCAACCTCATGCTCCACACGTGCGACTTTCTTGCGGTATTGGATGACGACGAGGAGAATGGCCCCGACGGCCAAGGGAAGCGGATACCATTTTGTGGGAGTCTTCGTCCATGCCAGCATAAGACGTCCTAAAGTAGGTGAGGTCAGATATACACATACACGAAAAGACATACTGTAGAGCGGAACGCCATGTGAGCTTGACAACGGTGGTGGCGGTGGTGTAGTCTCCGGAGGAATACCGCTTCTAGTTGAACCCGAACGCAATAGACTGATTCTACGCTTGACAAAGACGCGTGAGAAAAGAGCAGAAGAGCTGTTCGTGATAGCATGAGACGCCGCCTGAAGGGGCCTCTTCCCCTTCACGATGGCTTTGTAGAACATTAATATTGAGACTCGGCTTGACTCTACAACCAAGTGATGGAACTGCTACTGCTCCCCGGAACTCTACCTCTCTGCCTGCGCTCCAAACACCGTCAAACACCTCTGCCACCTAACCTCCTCCCTAGAGGTCCCCCACTCCAGCATCAACTCGAGCTAACTTGTCAGTGCGGAATATCAGACTGCTGTCGGGACTTCAACGGTGTTAATGGCTGCTGCACGTTTCCCACACGCGCAAGCCCGCGAGCTGGAAGCTGAGGTTGGCAAAGAGACTCGTATGCAGATGAAACTCATCGTAGTTTTAAACCCGACTGACCTTGTGCCACAGCTCCCACTTTCGAGGACTGGCCGCGGCTTATTCAGATTCAAGCCTTCATTCTGGAAGCTCTTCGATGAAGGCCTATCAACCCATCAGGTAAGGCAAGGAGGCATATTTATGATCATTTGGTTTATCAGAGTTCTGTATGGTCGAGGAGAATGCGAACCACTAGGAGGTTGTGCGGGAGGAACTTGGTGTTGGAAGTAGTCTTGGGCAAGTGGATTTGATGCGGGGTAGGTTTGGTAGGGATGCGGTGGCTTGTCCGTTGCCATGTAAGGTTCTTGAGGTACACCAGAATTTGGAATTGTGTTCAGATAGAATTGTTCTATGCGGGGGTAAGAACAGCATGTGAATGCGTCTTAGCATCATGTTGATCGTATCCTGGTCCGCCTATAGCGGTATCCAGAAGCAATTCAATTCTGCGACGTACAAAGGACCGCGGGCATCAGCCCTGGATGGGAAGTTTTTCGGAGGTTGGCAAGCCTCGCAACGACGACGACTAGTATGCTCTCTCAGCTCTTTATTCTGTTTACAGTCTTGCGGAAGCAGCAGGATGGACCACTTCTTGTGATTCTTGGCTTCTCGCAATCCATGCTTGGCTGGTATATGACACAACCATCGAGAGACACCTTCTCTGGTATGGGGGGTAGGTGAGCAATCGACGCTCTGTAGACTCGTCTGAGCCATGAATGCATGTAGTTTGGGCCGCGACCACCACCAATAATGATTATGTCACTCGCATGCGAGGTTTGAGGGTACTCGGTCTTGACTATTCACACCGCAAGGAGCTTATCGCAGGCAACCTCGGCGAATATATTGCTTCACGTATGTCGGCATACTGTCCAGCACAACCCTATTTGACGTACTTATCACGAGCCAGAATTTCGCGAATCCGCCGAGCGCGTCGGCGACGATGCGGTTGACTTTGACGAAGCGTATGAAGCTCATTCTATGAAAGCATTCCCGAGCATCAGCTCTTTCCTCTATGAAACAATGCACGAGCTGCCTCAGGTAGGCAAGATTGACAGGGCAGTTGATGAAACTGACTAAATGAACCAGATTGCTTTCATGCTGAGCGCCGTGCGAAAACCAACGACGGTCCCCCTCTCTTTTATATCACTCACGCTAATTGGACATACATCTAATTCATTCATTTCGACACGTCTCGCAGTCTGGATTGTTTCATCTTGCTGCAATATTTGCCGGCGTACACAATATATATGAGCTCAAGAACGTGCGGAACAAAGTGGTGGATGGCACAGAACAGTTCCCCGAGAACTAGCAGTCCCTCAGTAGTGGTGTTTCTGTTGAGTTCAGGTACCTCCACTATTTGCTACTTCATGTAGGCGTTTCTCGACGGACTGGTCTAAAAATATGAATTCCCGCGCGCCAGCCTCCTCCGGCTCAACTCCATCTCCTCAGCATCTATGTATAGCCACGAACCCTCCTGGTCATACATCCGTGCGTTGTTGAACATGAGCTTCCAGTCCTCTTTGTAGTGCGTGATGCTTTTGTAATATCCAGTGCTACCCCACTTTCGAAGTGTGGACAAGGCAATCGGATGTGCGATCAACTGATAATGATCGGGATAATCCTGATCGTATCATTAGTATATCGGTGCACCTGACCAATTTATCATGGGTGGAATTGACCTTGCCCTCGGCGCTCTCGAACATTAACAGATCTTGCGCAACTGCATAAACTCATTGCCCAAACCCTTCACACCTCCAGATTTGCTAGAAAACAAAAAACCAGCACTATGTCCCGCCCACTCCGCCGAAAGCAAAAACAATGTACCCCTTCGCATTCTTTCCATTGGCGATCATCTCGTGCCTCTTCATCTGCCTACACAGCTGACTCAGCAGGGCGCTCGTGCGGACTTCAATAATTTCCATCTTATTCGGAAGTTTGCTCTCCACGTCTTTCTTCAGCCTTCTCAACAATAACGGCCGTAACACCTTATGCAACTGCCGGATGGTGAGCAGTACCTCTTCTTCGTTCAACTCGATCTTGTTCCCTGTACCCGAGTTCGCGAATGATGTGTTGAACCATTTATCGAATGATTTTAGAGTTGAAAATTCCAGGAAGGACAAAGTTAAGAACGGGCTAAAGTTCGGGAATGTTGTTCTGAAGGGGTACCGGTGAGGATGAGACAGTAGTAGGAATGGTAGTATCGTGTGAGCGTCTGCGCAAACTTTGACTGGGTGTTCTTCATGTGATGGCGAGTCAGTCATGTCCCTCTTCTAAAAGAACCGACGAAATGCTCAAAACCCACTCAGCGATGATCATGTGAACGCTTTTGAGCTTGCTGAGAATAGGCCGGTTTTTGATGATGTACTCGTGTGTAGTGAGCAGAACCTGGCACTGGCCCATCCGCAGGTCACCTTGAAGGTTGCGACGTTGCGCAGGGTTGCCCTTGTACGAAATCGTTTTCATCGTCGGCGCCCACTTTGCGAATACAGCAGACCAGTTCGTCATTGTCGTCAGAGGCACGATGACAAGATAAGGGCCCCGTTGTCTCTTCACCTCGATGAGGAAGGTAACTAGCGAGATGGTCTGGATGGTTTTATCGAGACCCTACGATCGTGTGAGATGTGAAATAAAGAATCAAAATGTCGTTGCTCACCATCTCTTCTGCAAGGATACCATTGAGCTTGACCATCCATTGCAGGCCCTTGAGCTGACTTCCGCCAATGCCAGGCTGTTTCATGGCCTTCTCTGAAATGCGATGTGCAACAGCTGGTGATGCACTTGCGTCAATTCGGTGGAAGAAACTTTCGGTGGACGCTTCGCGAGTATCAACAACTCGCGGGGTGGTGTGAATGGAGTTTTAATGTCTTTCCGTTACTCAAGCCTGGACTCTCAGCTATCTACGAGAAGATACGAGGGAAGGACCAACCACACGCACGTCTACATGTCAACAACGCCATCATCTTCGAATTGAACTGGATGGCGGATCATTTGGAGAGGCTGCCCGGGCTACTATTCTACAAAGCCTTGGACTTTAACCCACTGTCTGAGGACGTGGTAGTAGTCTACACAGACGCATCAGGATTAGGAATGGGTCTATGGTTTCCTCACGAGAACTTCGCCGGTCAGTCGCCGTTGCCCGTTGAAGCTCCAAAAGACACCATCTTCTTCTTCGAGGCCCTCGCAGTGTGTTCGGCTATTCATGCCATACCAAACATGACGGAAAGCCCACCTAGGATGCTCATTTACACCGACAATTCCAACACAGTAGCGATGTTTAACTCGCTTCGTGCTCATCCCCCTTATAACTCCATCATACTAGCAGCAGTGGACGTCCTGCTGGAGTATCAAGTAGACCTACGTGTCGAATTCATCCCTGGTTCGGAGAACAGGGTAGCCGATGCACTTTCGCGATTCCAGAACGAACGTGTATTGGAGATAGCTCCCGCTGCGAGCTTCTTCGATTTCGAACCCCCTCGAGACGCGCTGGGGGCAGCGAAAAAATGATGAATGTATCCTCATCGTCCAGGCAACCTGTGAGGGAAGCCTGGACACCTGAGCGCCTCTTGTATGAGCGCTCAGTAGCACTTGGTTTCGCTATTGACGCAACAACAGCATCGGTGTACAACTCGCATCTCAACTCTTACATCACCTTCTGTCGACTGCATCATCTGCCAATCGATCCAACAATTGATACATTATCTTTTTACGTGGTTTGGTTATCGCATCACATCGAACCACGCTCCGTCGACTCTTACCTTTCAGGAATCTCGAGTCGACTCGAAGACACATATCCTGACGTCCGTGCGGCTCGTCGTTCATCGCTCGTCGTACGGACACTTCGTGGTTGCAAACGCCATTTGTCAAAACCGGTACAAAGGAAGTTACCTTTGAGTATCGACGACTTACAGCAGGTCCAAATGAAGCTCGGTTCGGAGTTAGAGCACGACGATAGTCTGTTCTTAGCTCTACTTTTCACTGGCTTTCTGACTCTGCAGCGACTGGGAGAGCTCACTTGGCCTGATGCAGTGAAGCATCAATCTTACAGAAAGGTCCCTCTTCGACACACTCTGTCGATCACGGCAAGAAGCATCTCCTACACGCTACCTTATCAGAAGAACGATGGCTTGGGGACTGGAAGCACCATCCTCTTGTTATCGGATTCGGTACTCGACAACGACCCACTGCCGGTGTTGCGTCGATACTTGACATTCAGAGACCGTTCATTTCCCTCTCGGCCAGCGCTGTGGTTGACAAGCGCTGGTTCGATTCCCACACGCTCTTGGTTTCTTCGGCGTTTGCGCCAACATTGTGGCTCGGCCATGTCAGGTCACTCGATGAGAGCAGCAGGAGCCACGGCACTGGCTATAGCAGGTATGACTCCCGATCTCATTCAAGCTGCTGGGCGGTGGTCATCGGACTGAATTCAAAAAATATATACGGCAACATGCATTCTTGCTCAACGCGCTGTTACACGGGTCCGCACGGATCACCCAAGTGACGTAGCGACAACTCAGACATCTTCTCAAACAAGACAATGATCTGCTTCAAATAAGAAAACGGCACCAAGACCAGAAAACAGAATACAACACCGCATATCAAAATAAAAATAAAAAAATAGGCCCTTTAGCATGTCCTTCGCGCCTCCGTCGCTCACATCTTCTCTTTTGCACTTCTCCTTCGCACCTCCGGCTCTCACTTTCGTCTTTTCTCCTACCGGAGCTTTTCTATTGCTCAGTTGAGCATGTTTTTTCCTCGAGACTCGCATCTTTTACACTCTATGCAATCATGTATAGTACTTCGTCTCTCGGTTTCGCAATAAAATTCAACGAGTCCCCCGAGCATGGAGCTGGGGGACTCCGCTTGCCTAATCACCGCGAGACCTTAGCGTAAAAGTTGATTCAACTAAATACTACAGCGAAAACGTTAATGTACCGACGTCTCTTTACAATTTGGGACACCATATAATCTTAATCAGCACCATCGCAAAAGTGGGAATCAATAAAGTAAATTGCCCTGCTCCTTGCAGAGCACCAGACAACCGTTACATTGCTTCACCGAGCATCACACACTATGTTTTGTTTTCGGATTCCTTGTCCTGCGGGGTAACCGTTGAAACGTTGAACGTTGAAGCCCTAGTATAGCAGACGCTACCTAGCGATCGAGTGATTCTCGTATCGCATATTTTCACTCTATAATATGCATGTGATCAATGCTTCACAATGGTCCAGGCTAAATGCGAGAGTGATAGCACCATCGTAAAGCATTTGAATGATTTGTTACAAGGTGTCCGTTCTACCCTCACTCATACACTACTGCCAGTCATATGTACATGCTCTTGAAAAGCAATTGAGGTCATGCTGGTTGCTGTGTCGGAGTCGGTCACGAGTTTAGCGTGAAATTCTCGAATGCCAAGAATCAGGCGGGGTCCCAGCATACACAACTGCACAACGTCCAAAATCTGAAAAAACCCAACATAAAACTGAATGCCCAGGAAATATTCCTATAGAAATGATAAACTGTGGTAGTGTGTAGAGGCAAGTGAAAGATTGACATACTGCCGTTGAGAATGTCGGAGAGAAAGCAATCAGCCGGAAGCAAGAAACAGCAACGACACGGTCATATCCAATCCTTCAATGGAAGAAAGGAACAACAATCATAATATGAGCTCACCTTGCAAAGTAAACCACGTGCACTTTCATCAGCACCGTAAAACGGTCCTCGATAATCCCTCCTGCCGAATATCGTCGCAGTTCACGGGAGTGTTTTACGGTAGTCCAGACTGCAAGACATAGTGCGAGGACATCCGACACAGTGATGAGTATCCAAGTAGCAGAAGCCATAAGTGAGACATCTTCCGTATAGTCAATCGAGCACTGATAGATGCCGGAGAGAATGAGTTCCTCTGGTATTCATCATTGAGCTACATGCACATTTTTTCATCCACAAACAAACGTACCTCCTGAAACATGTAGGGTCATCATTACGCCGACCACTCCGTCAAAAATGTTGTCAGCCAGGAAGGTGACAATGAGAAAAATCAAGATCTTTCTAGATCGTTGATGCATGGCATATAACCAAATGATGATAATAACTTGTAGCATGTTTCAGTCCAATCAATATCACCGAGGTCTTGCAAGTGCTAAGCTCACCTAACAGCATCGCAAATACCAAAAAATCCGTCCAACTCTGTATGACGTACATAATAAAGCCTGACAAATCCGGTCAGTGATCGGCCTCGCACTGCACACTCCAGACTCACATCTGTGGCAGTATAGTGCGGCAGTCATTAGTGAACTAAGAAGTCAGTAAAGAACCATTACCCACCCTTACAGGGCACCACGGTTAATTGGAGGGGAATAGTAGGCATCTGTGCAGAAGACTCACTGTATCTGTCAGCGAGATAGTCGGAACACTGCCTGTATGTACTTGGTCAGAAGAAGCAACGACAGTGAATATACTAAGGAGGCATACTCAGCATGATCAGGCTGATTTTGAGAGATAGACGATCAGCACAACACTGGATGTTTAACCTTCCGAACTTACGTAGCCAATAAGATTCCAAGGTAGCGCACCTAGGATACTTTTAAGTTAGTATAACATAGCAACCACAACAAACAAGATACATACACCGAGATACAGAACTGTCATTAGGGACCAGCGTTGCATCTGTAATCGAACGTATTTCATTGTGTTCGTCTGACACGAGACATCTCTACTCACCCAGACCAATTTAACCTACAAAAGTATTTTTAGCGAGATGGCTGCTCCGGTCATAGCATTGACATACCTCTTGTCCGAATGTAAGTACTAGAAATACTTGTAAGATGTCAGTAGTCCTTTAATATTATCATGCTCACCCCAATCATACGTCACTCCAACAAAGGCAGCAATTGCGAAACCGCAGCCAAGGTTAGATCGAGTCAGCTTGAACATCCGACTGTTCTCTACAAACCCGAAAAATAGCTTGAAAGACGGTATGCATTGATGATCGGCCACCAAGAGATATCATTTGATACTAGGGTCATATCGGTAGATAATAGGTGTGGGTGGGAGGCAAACTTGGTGGGCGTATGACGATAGCATTTGTGCTAGTTATCCCGTCGCCATCCAGTGCTTGGATCGCTGAAATAAGATCAAGGGACGATGGCTATTCCCGTTATATGTAATTGGCTGAAGTAGATATTTTTGCATGAAGAAAGGTCAATCAATCCAGGGGCTCAAGCTCAAGTAGTAGATGCACAGTACCACTTCATTTACGCACTGATCATGGGACGACCATCAAAAAATTTGTCATCTTGTCCAGCACAGCCCTGGGGAGCAGCTCATCCAAGGTCACTCAACAAATGCACATTGCGTCAGCCTGACGCCAGACCAGAAAATTCAGCCCTCAGAAATAGGTGAGATCTACATGAAGCAAACAAACTCACGTCCTAGCCTGGCTACTGGCGATACCTCCCTACGAGCACATCTCATTAATCTCTCATCACCATCTGTCACTTCATGTGTATCCTGTCGGCTTTGCCTCGGAAATTGGGGTTCTAGAAATAGTTAGCGCAAAATATTTGATGTGCATCATGGAGTTGGTGCGGGGACGAGAGGCCCATCATATTTCACCAGAGATGTCCTGGTTGAGATTTCATCATTGATGTGACGAAGATGCAACATCAACCCTAGAGATGCATCAGTGAACCGACAGAAAAAGTAGAAGGATAGATCTAACATTACATATTTCAAGTGACCCGGATTGCGGCTGCGCAGCTCGTCTTGTCAGAGGGAGTTTCTGTGCAGATCCAATTCCTTCAACATAGATACATCAATATGCGTGATTATCGTCCATCTTATCACGCGAAAACAGCATCTGCGTGAATGGTATGTTGTAAATGTGAATGAGCTATATTGCAACAAATGCTAGTTCAAGTGACTGCTGGGGCGCTGGCTGCATGGAGCGGAAATCGGAACTCGCTCACAGGTGCAGTGGACGTGAAATTTTGAAAACTCGAACTATATTGAAGAAAGCTAAGCGCTGAGCAGTACCGTAGGCCCAGTTGTGCCAGTGCGTGTGAGGTGTTGCCTATTCGTGAAAGCGATCAGTTATGTAATCAGTTCGTTGTGCTAACGAAAGCCACGATTTCGGCAGGGGTTGCTGCACGGAAAGGAGTTTAACTTTGTCATCATATCATTGAGCGAGTGATCATTCTGTCAGTCTGCTGACTCTGCTCAACTACCGCATCACGCATGTGTCGAAGATAGATCGAGAGTTCGGAGGAGTCAGCAAACTAGCTAGGTAGGGGAGAAGGGGAGAAGGGGCGGGCGGCGCCCCACTCAACCTTCGCAACAATTCAACATGACAATTTCTGAAAATACACAAGCGACGTGAAAGAGAACTATTAACGCGAAATAACAAGACAGCATGACATCCAGTACATAAAATCAACAATTTCAGACCCGGGACTGAGATGACCCTGTAGCTTCAATGAGACGTTCCTTTGTGCGCAGGTCAGGTGCTGAATACACAAAAATCATTAACACACCTGTGCAAGTTTCTCTCCTTCGGATAACACATGGAGGCAGGACTGCAAGCCCTTCAAGCACCACTGCCTTTCAAGCCAGGAGAGGAGGTGGCGATCCCAGAAGACTTTGAATGCACAGTTGAGCGTGTCGTCCGTTATACTAAGAGCTCGCGAGAGATGGAAGACCCAGTTTTGACATGCATACTTCAGGGCGTCAGAAGATGATCGACTTCGATCACGTGCTTTGTTTGCAAAAATTGTGAACGCAGTCATAGCGTGGATAACGTCGATGTCTGGACAATCTTGTAGGGATGCGGAAGTGGAGTGATCCTGGGGCCTTAATGCCAGGAACGCCGGAAACATCAAGAAATCTGGTAAGCTCTGGAACTCCTGGATTGCTTGAAAAGCTGGTGATAAAGGTAATCGTGGGGTGATTGTGCACTCGCGGATTGCTTCCAACGTGCTCGAGAAGTCTTCCATTGTCACCCAGACAGACGCCGCAGGGGTCCACTGCCATGCTTGACCACGGGGGGTCTGTAGCCACTTTCGTCCTCTCTCTGTCTGCAGCCACTCTCGTCCGCCCATGGCCTGCAGCCACTCTCGTCCGCTCAGGGTCAGCAGCCACTCTTGTCCATTCTTCGTCTGTAGCCATTCTCGGCCATGTTCAGTCTGCAGCCCACCTGGGGTGCGCAGCCACTCTTGTCCACCCGGAGTATTGTGCAGCCATTCTCGCCCTCCTGGGCGCAGGAGCCACTCTTGCGCCCTCTGGATCAGTAACCACTCTCTCCCACTCTGGGTCAGGAGCCACTCTCGCCCGTGGAAGGTGTGTAGCCATGAATATCCGATTGTATCTTGCAGGTTAGTTGGGGTCTGCAGGCGGTTGCGCTCACTCTGGGTCTCAAGCCACTCAATCCCGCTTGGTGTTTTCAGCCACTCCATCCCGCTCGGTGTCTTCAGCGACTCTATCCCGCTCGGTGTCTTCAGCCACTCCCGTGCGCTCGGTGTTATCAGCCACTCCCTCGCGCCTGGTGCTTTCAACCACAACCTTGCGCTCTGTGTCTCCAGCCACTCCCTCCCGTTCAGTGTCTCCAGCCACTCCGTCCCGTTCGGTGTCTCCAGCCACTCCCTCCCGTTCGGTGTCTCCAGCCACTCCGTCCCGCTCGGTGTCTCCAGCCACTCCCTTACGCTCGGTGTCTTCAGCCACTCCCTCCCGTTCGGTGTCTCCAGCCACTCCCTCCCGTTCGGTGTCTCCAGCCACACCCTCCCGTACAGTGTCTTCAGCCACTCCTTCCCGTTCGGTGTCTCCAACTCCCGTTCGTTCGGTGTCTCCGGCCACTCCGTCCCGCTCGGTGTCTTCAGCCACTCCGTCCCGTTCGGTGTCTCCAGCCACTCCTTCCCGTTCGGTGTCTCCAGCCACTCCTTCCCGTTCGGTGTCTCCAGCCACTCCTTCCCGTTCGGTGTCTCCAACCACTCCCTCCCGCTCGGTGTGTCCAGCTGCTTCGTCTGCGCCATCTTGCTCTGTGATTTCAGCCACTCCCTCCTGCTCCGTGCCTCCAGCCACTCGCTCGGCAACACGCTTCCGCTCGATGTATGTAGCCACTCCACCTCGCACGGTGCTTCTAGCCACTCCTCCTCGCTCGATGTGTCCAGCCACTTCCCCCCGCTCGATGTCTCTATCGACTCCATCCCGGTCGGTGTCTGTGACCACTCTTGCCCGTACTTGGTGTCCAGGCATTGTAGCCCGCTCTCGGTGTCGAGCCACTCTCGCCCCTGAGTTTCCAGCCATTCTCGGCCACTCGGGGTTTGTTGCAGCCAGACTTGGCCGGTCAGGGTCTGAAGCCACTCTCCCCCATCCCGGGTCTGCAGCGAGCGTTGCTCGCTGAAGGTCTCCAAAGAGGCTTTCCCGGTCCATGTCTCCAATGGCATATCCCCGCCAGAGTCTCCAGCGACTTGTCCGCGTCTTTGAGTCCACAGCCACTCTCGCCCTCTCTCTGTCTGCAACCAAGTGCGTCCCGTGTGGGTCTGCAACCAATCCCTCCCGGCCCAGGTATGAAGCCAGTCTTCCCCCTTCTGTGTCCGCAAATAGTCTTCCCCACATTGGGTCCGCAGCCACGCACGTCCATCCAAGGTCCCTAGCCAGGACCGCAAACCCGACCCGCGAGCTCCCCGAAGCCATAACAGTCCCATCAGAACCTGCAGCGGCTCCGGTGGCTCAACGATGAAGGCTAACGACTGTTGCAAGTTCCGGGGGTCATGGGGTTCCATAGCCTGATTCTGCGACTTCAATTCTAGGAGTGCATCCATGAGAGTAGTGCGTGATGGAATGTCATGAATCATCAAGCGGAAAGACGAAGAGGCAAGCAGGGAATGTGGTAGGATGGGTTGTAATCCAGGGAGGCTGCAGTTCGAGGAGTCTGATGCATAGTCTCGAATGGACGAGTGGTAGATATTCACGGGACGGCTGCTGTCAGTAGGGATATCCATGAAAGAACGTAGCTGTTTCAGCGTGGTCTCGACATCGTTGCCTTGACCGTGACCAAGGAGCTTCGAGATCTGTGAGATCGGCAAAGGGTCTGCGAGGGCAGCAACAATGGACAAGTGCTGGTATGCCCGATTGGGGTTCGAACAGGTGGAGAGGATGCGGTTGTACAGCTCGTACACTTCTGTCCCAGGTAGCAGTTTGGTAGTTAGATCGAGCATGAGCTCAAGGCGATCCCGGGGGTCATTGTATCCGTCATCAACAAACTTCATCATTGTAGATGCCACGATGAAACGTCTGCCAGCTCGGTTCGCCAGCCGCATAATGATATCCGCAGTGGGCTGAGGGAAATCAGAATGGCGATTTCGCAATTCCGTGAAGGAATGCTGGAAGAATGTCCAGATGTCATTGTCCACATCTTCGCCGTCTAATGAAATGATGCCACCAACGCCCTCCCCAGAAGTGTTCACCGATATCTCATGCACCAGCGTGCGCATCTCATCTTTTTGAATGGCTTTACGTATGTGCTCTTCAAAACGACTGGTGAGCAGAATGTGGAACACGGGAAGTTCAGGATCGCGAAGAGCTTCCCCGAGGAGGGAGATCAGATCGGCGACCGTTTCAGGTTGGCATTCATCAAGGGCGTCAACAACAAACACCGGAGGCGGACACTTGCGCAGCCTGTATTGCTGGTGCCAGAGAGGTCGACGAAATAACGCCATCATCTGGTCGCGAAGAGACTTGCTGGAGTCTAGAACCGCAGGATTCTCATAGATAGCTTTGTTCACGTCGTTCTTGACGCTCGGGAAATTGTTCGCAAGCTGGTAAGCAAGGGTCGCAAAGAAATGACCGGTCGTGGTGCGTTCCGTGTGCTTGCGCGAGAAAAAGAATGTTCCCGCGAGCCTTGTTTCAATTTTCGTCTCCTCTGTCATCTTCAAACCTTTCATCCTCTCGGCCACAGCGAACGCCACGGCAGACTTTCCGACGCCCGCGGTGCCATGCAACCAAATGAGCTGACGCTTCTCTCGCTTGTCCAACAATCCGTAGATCGATTCGAGAAGCTTCGCTCGGGTCTCTTTCAGACATTTCGGGTGGGGGTGGCGTTCAGGGGAGTCATATTCAGCACCCAGGACAGCGACCTGGGACAGCTTCTCCCAAGTTCCTTCGTCCATTGCTAGAAGCTCGCCAGGAACTGTCAGTCGGGTCAGAGAGCGAGAGAGGCGATAAGGGAAGGAGATATTTACATCGATCTTAGGCGCTTATCGACAGAGGTTGATGTTAGAATGCGACACAAAATGGGAGTTAGAATAGGTCAAGTCGGGGAAGCACTAATTTAGTTCAACGGTGTAATTAGAAATCACGATGGGGATGGATGTCTCAGAGGGGACGACATACGGTGCTAATTGAGGAGTCGATGTCTGAGCTGTAACTTCGTTTGAAATCAAAAGGGTTTTAGTGGTGATGGTGAAATAATCAAGCAACAGAGGTATCAAAGGATGCTCGAGATAGAATGGACGGTTGATTATATTCAAAGTCGATAGATGGCTCGTGGTTGAACGTTGAACGTTGAGTAGCCGAGCCCAAGAGGGGTGCAAATGGCAAATCCCGGATATGTGGCTCACTTTTACCTAAGCTTTTTACCTTAATATCACCTGAGACACGGCCCAATAAGAGATCCTATTCAAATTGAGCAACAAATTTTTAACATGTAAAAGGATATAAATTGCCTCAAGAGTCTTGATCAAAGTCCGATAATGTCCTTACTGGCCCCAGACTGGCCGTTTCCTGGATGTCCTCGGTTTGTCGAGCTTTAGTCGTGAGATTATCTTGAATAGCCGCATCTATTATATGGATTTCGATGTTGGAGTGCCGTTTTTCGGGGTCGTTTCCGAACTTAATTGTTCTTTCACACTAGGGGTCGGCGCTGCCGACACAGACCTTGCGGAGCTTCCTTTTTTTTTAACCAGGGTCATGTGTAGCTACCAAAGTGCTATTACCAATTTTTGCGCAGAACACAGTATAGACAATCGTAGAGATACATCGAGGTAAGTGATATTATGACGTGGGATAGACTGGATGGCTCAGCAGTTATTGTGATGTAGTCTCATTATCCCGTCTTTCTGGTTTCTGAGGCCTTGTATTGGTAAAATACTGTGATGTAGTCTCCCCATCTCGTTTATCTGGTTACTATAGTCTGCCTCTGTATCGATATGTCAGGGAAGCGATGTATCTCTACGGTTGAGGGAAATGACGTTGTTGTTTGGTCTCGCTTGCCATTACACATTTCGCTCAACTCCGATAGACCTTGCTCCGCAAGGTAATCTCAATTTCCAGATGAGGTGAGCAGATTTGGTAACAACAGTGTAAAAGTTCCAGTCTGTTCTTTCCTCTCATGGTTTTTCCTTTTTGATTCTTAAAACAGGCTAGGGCCCGGCACTGCCAAGGATGGTTCCATATTTTATCTCCGGCCAGTTTTGTTCGCGTTTCCGCCATGGGTCTTCGGCTAGTTTCCAGATAACTTTGATAGCTAGCGAGTCTTCAAAGCTTCACATTTGAGTAGAATGTGTTCCATGGATTCAATTTCCCCACATAGGCCGCATTTTCCTCTCTGTTCATAATTCGGGATTAGGTTCCAGAGTCTCCGATTTTGTATCCGCCATGTAGGTTCTTCCATAGGAAGCCTCTTATTATGCGAGGTAAGTCTTTGCTTCTTATGGCCTTCCAGACTTTCTGGGGTGATGGTGTTGATCCGCTTATGTCTCTTGTTGCGTGTTGTGTCATTGCTAGATTCGCTATGGTTTGTCGCCCAGTGGCTGGTCTACAACGCTGAGCGCTGAGGTACAGTTCATATTTCTCTACTGGCCGGCTCTTACTTATGACTAGACTCGTGTCATAGTTTCTCTATCAACAATGTCATGTCACCCTCGTTGTTTTGAATGAAATTTTGACTGGATGCGCGGCTGTAGTGCGGCTTCATGTATCCAACTAGGCTCGTGACCAGCCTGGCTTATAACCACAGACAAGTCGAGTGGTTTCTCAGACGTAGTAAAGACTGGTTACGAGTCTAGTATCCAACTTGCATATGTACTTCACAGGCTCGCCCAGCCTTGTGTAGTTCTCTAACAGAGGCTCAACCTCGCCTTAGCCTTGCAGCTCGCCTTTAAATTCTAGGGATCGCTGAGCACTCGCGAGTCGCCATATCATTTCCCTTGCACTGGCAGGCCTTCGGTGTATAAGTACTGCAGCTTCAGCTCCCTAAGTGTGTATGAAAATTGTTTAAAACACCTGTTTATAAATGGTCTGAGGCGGTCTGTTTATAAACAGCTGTTGAAAAGTCGAGGCGATTTTTCAACCGTACCCTAGTGTTGACTGCGATCTCCCTCCATTTTGCGCTCATACAAGACCTTTTACAGTGAGATTAGCAGTGGTTATCTTGCATTCACTAACCGAGGCGAGCTGCATTACTCTTCCGTCCTCCCGGTCATTTAGATATCTCGCAAAAGCCTTCGAAACACATTCCAGCCGCGGGACATCATGTCTGGTCTTGACGAGGCTATCGAGCGCTATCGCTCTGCATTATCCCTCCATCCCCCCGGTCATTCACAACGACCCATGTATCTGAACAATCTTGCAATCAGCCTCCGAAACAGATACCTGCAGCGGCGCGTGATGTCTGACCTTGAAGAGGCCATCATGCACCATCGCGAGGCTACATCACTCATTCCGCCCGATGATTCACATCGATTCACGTGTCTGAACAATCTTGCAATCAGCCTTGGAGAGAGATTCCGGCAACGGGGCAAAATGTTGGACCTTGACGAGGCTATCTATTTCCGTCGCGTTGCATTACCCCTCCCTCCCCCCAGCGATTTACATCTATGCATGTCTCTGAACAATCTTGCAAACAGCCTTCGAGACAGATTCCAGCTACAGGGAATAATTTCTGACCTTGACGAGGCTATCATACACCATCGCACAGCATTACTCCTCACCGATGATTCAAATCGACCCATGTGTCTGAACAATCTTGCAATCAGTCTTCGAGACAGATCCCGGCAACAGGGCATTATGTCTGAGCATGATGATGCTATCAAACTCCATCGCGAGGCATTATCCCTCTGTCCCATCGGTCATTCACATCAATCCACGTCTATGAACAATCTTGCAAACAGCCTTCGAGAAAGATACCAGCAAGAGGGCATGGTGTCTGACCTCAATGATGCTATCGAGCTCCATCGCAAAGCATTACACCTCCGTCTCGTCGATGATCCAGAACGATTGTCGTCTCTGAACGATCTTGCACTTAGCCTTCGAGACAGATTCCTGCAACAGGGCCAAATGTCGGACCTTGAGGAGGCTATTGATCGCCAAAACGCTGCATTACTCCTCATTCCCCCTGGTCATTCACATCGATTATCGTCTCTGAACAATCTTGCACTCAGCCTTCAAGACAGATTCCGAAGACAAAACGACCGGTCTGACCTCGAAAGAGCATTCATGTTGTACTCACAACTCTCCGACCCGCCACATGCAGTATCTCGCACACATCTTAGTACTGCTAAGACATGGGCGGCCTCCGCCGACATATTCAATCACTCATCTGCATTGCGTGCTTATAAGGTTGCCCTGAAATTCTTAGACCAGCAAGTTGCTCTCCTGTCGTCTTCTTCGCATCACTTCGACGTCATCAGGGAGGTTGTTTCTTCTCTCTCCACAGATGCTTTTTCGTGCAGTGTTCGTCGTGGTGCGTTGATAACTGCGGTGGAGTTGATGGAGCAAGGTCGTGCAGTGCTCTGGACCCAGTTGGCACGGTTCAACATACCACTCGATGAACTTTTCATTTCAGGTGACGCCCGCACGGCCAATCTGGCAGAAGATTTCAAACGGTTGAGTATTCGCCTTCGTAACGCGTTCGATCAGTCTGAAGACCAGTCTCCGCAAATACGACAACTGACGATGCAATGGGATGAAGTTGTCTCGCGCATTCGCCTGCTCCCCAACTTTTCACGTTTTCTCCTACCTCCACTGTTTTCCGACCTCCAGAAGGCGGCTGAAGATGGCCCAGTGATAATCGTCAATGCTAGTCAGCACAGCTGCGATGCCTTGATCATCCATAGTGCGAGAGATCCTGTCCATGTTCCGCTTGACATTACACAAGCCAAAGTGTTCGAACTCTCTTCACAGTTGGATCCTTCCGATGAACTCGAGCTTGTCGGCATCCTTCGCAAGCTTTGGAATGATGTCGTTAACCCCATAGTTCAAGCTCTTAGGGAGTCTGAAGTTCGCCCTGGTTCGCGTATCTGGTGGTGTCCCACTGCTGGGTTCACGCCGCTTCCCCTCCATGCAGCAGGTCCATACGAGGAGAGGAAAGACAATTTGTCAGACATTTATATATCCTCTTACACCCCCACTTTGGGAACTCTTGTTCGTGCAAGACAGCAGGTTTCTGGAGATGTGTCCTCGCAACATTTCGTTGCCATCGGCCAAGGCAACCCGTATCAAGGGGAGAAGCTCGAATGTGTCGCTCGTGAGCTAGTCGCCGTCGCTGACCACGTTGATGCCGCCATCTCCTTCACATCCCTCGAGGACGACAATGCAACAGTCGAGGGTGCGCTCGATGCATTCAGCCGTAATCAATGGCTCCATCTTGCCTGCCATGGAACACCGAATCGGACACAGCCGTTCGAGTCTTCCTTCGCCATGCGCGACGGGCCTTTAATGATCAAGGATATCATCCAATCCAACTGCAAGAACCCACAGTTTGCATTCCTATCGGCCTGCCACACTACCGTTGGCGATAAAACGAGCCCCGATGAGTCGATCCATCTTGCTGCGGCTATGCAATTCTGCGGATTTCGCAGTGTGATCGGTTCCATGTGGTCTGTTAACGACGAGGTTGCATCCAAAGTCGTGTCTACTTTTTACCGCAAGTTAATTGGTGATTCAGAAAGATTGGCCTGCACAGGCGCTGCGGTAGCGCTACACGAGGCTGTGAGATCGTTGCGCGAGGAGATTCCGTTAGAACAGCAGATTGTATTTATCCACATAGGTGTGTAGTTAGAGACTCGATTCGCTATATTATTCCACTTTCTTTATTTCTAGTTGTTTTCATCCCCTCGCTCTCCTGGTGTTTACTTATTTCTGCATGATACTTTGTTGTTCTGTACTGTACTAGTGCCACGCACTGCGTCCCGCCGTCAGCATATTCTAACCTCGCTATACCCGTTCCAGTTACTTACATAAGCTACGTACATTTTTCACTCGCGCTCGACGTAGAACTTCCTCAGGCTTCATGCATCATCAACTAGATCCTAGATGTCAAGAGCAGGCTTCGTCTTTCCCACTTAGTGGTGGTGGTACCATTCTGTAGATCTCATACATACGTGATATTGTGTACCAATACAAATACTCCACAAAAGGATGCTGTCATAAAAATGGAGGCAAGAACAAAACGAAAAAAAAGACAAAGGATGGTGTATCTAATCATCATCGCTCGGCGTCAGGTATTCATCATCGCTGATCACCTGTTTCCGACCAGCACTCCGAGCCCTGCCCCGCTGCGGCCGCTCATCCTCATCCATGGGCGTAAGCGCAGAGTCGTATGCTGCGGAACTTGACGGTCCACCTAGAGCTGGTGAGGCGCCAGGTAGCCCCGTCCCTGCAGTGACTCTCTCCAAAGTGCTGTAGAACACCTTTTCCATCTCCTCAGCGTCTATGTATACCCACGAACCCTCCTGGTTATACGTCCGTGCGTTGTTGAACATGAGCTTCCAATCCTCTTTGTAGTGCGTGATGCTTTTGTAGTATCCAGTGTTACCCCGCTTTCGAAGTGTGGACAAGGCAATCGGATGTGTGATTAACTGATAATAATCGGGATAATCCTGATTGTATCGTCAGTTGTCGCTGCAGCATGAAACCGGACACCTTCTACTCACTCTCTTGTCGGGAAGCTCCCGGAAAAGATCGCAACGTTTCCGGCCATCTTTGTCTTCACAAGCCTGAACCGCTTTGAGAACCTCGTTGAAAGCCTTCTTCATTTTATCCCTTATTGCAGGCGATAGGTCGCCCGCCTTCGTTTTGCGTCGTTTCTATATGCCCGCGCCATCATGAGATTTTCTTTTGGAAAAACACTCAGGATCAGCTCACCATATCACGCTCTTCCTCCTCATCATCGATTACCGAAGGCGTCACGGACATGGACTTCATCCCACGTTTCCGCTTGCCAGACGCACCAGGTGTATCGTAGTCGTTGGCAGTCATCTTCCCCTTGCCCTTCTTCCCCTTGCGCCCGACACCCACGTCTGACGCTGGAGTATTACGACCAGGTGTATCGGTATCCTTGAGAAGTTTGTTGGCAGCTCGTCGTTCTTTCTTGCCACGGGCGCGGTCAACGAGTTCTTGCAAATCCTCGCCGTCCTCCACGGCCTAAATTCCCAGTCAGCATGCGTACCTCGCAACATCCTAAAAGACGTACCATCGCCCACTGCTCATCACTCAAACCATCGTTATAATTGACGACATTACGACGGCGCTGACCACGGCCCTCGATGGCATCATCAATTTCCTTCGGCTCGAACGGTTCATCCGTCTGATAGCACTCTGGTAGCTCTTCAAGCTGCATGAGCGGCAATGGCGGTTTCCCCCTGTTTCCGACCGCACGCCACGCGTCTAACGCATCCCGCTCTCGCTGGAGATCCATCTTGCGGAAAATCTCAACCTCCTCGTCGTTTCTCGCTAACATCTCGTTAAGTTCATCGTCGTTCATGTCACCAGCTTCTTCGTTCTCCTCCTCTTGGTCTGCTTCGAGGATGGACCGCTGCATACCACCTATTTAGTCATCCGTTACAACGTGTAAGAGAACTGGAACACCCACCAAGAATTCTTCCTGCTCTTCCTGCGTCGACTTGTTGTCGAAACGACCGGCTTGAATAACCTTGTCGTCGATATCGAGTTTGTACCGCGCGCGAGCATACATGGCTTCTTCGACACTCTTCTCCGTGATGAAACGGAGGATTCGGACAGCCTTGGTCTGGCCGATACGGTGAGCACGATCTTGAGCCTGAAGATCAGCATGAGGATTCCTAGAGCATTATCATCAGTACTCCTGTCCAAACAATAGCCAGAAGCTCATTCACCAGTCACTATCGAAGCTGCAAACCTACGCGTCAGCATAGAGAACGATGCAACCACAAGGAATCACGCACATGATGACCGTATCTGCAGTCTGCAAATTGAGACCCAAACCACCAGCTCGTGTTGACAAGATGAAGACTTTGATCTCCGAATCCTTTGCATTGAACTGCTGTACATGCAAGGCACGCTCGTCCGTCTTCGTGCCACCGTCAAGACGAAGATACTTCCAGCCCATCATCTTCAAGAAATCTTCCATGATATCCATGACCTTTGTCATTTGGAAGAAAATAAGGACCTGATAGACATAGTGATCAGTACAGCGCGGGGGATTATAGAGTGCGACGCACCCTGTGACCCGTTGAAAAGAACTTGGGAAGGATACGCGACAAGAGCTCGAGTTTGCCGGCCGACCTTATCAATTTATCATCGATAAGTCCGGTGGGATTGACCTTGTCCTCGACGCTCTCGAACAAAAACGGATGTTGACAAATCTTGCGCAACTGCATAAGCTCATTGCTCAAACCCTTCACACCTCCAGATTTGCTAGAAAACAAAGAAATCAGCACTACGGCCCGCCGTTCCGCCTAAAGCAAAAACAACGTACCCCTTCGCGTCCTTTCCATTGGCGATCATCTTGTGCTTCTTCATCTGCCTATACAGCTGACTCTGCAGGGCACTCATGCGGACTTTGATCACCTTCTCCACTTTATCTGGAAGTTCGCTCTCCACGTCTTTCTTCAACCTTCTCAACAAGAACGGCCGCAACACTTTATGCAACCGCCGGATGATGAGCAGTGCTTCTTCTTCGTTCAACTCGATCTTGTCCCCTGTACCCGAGTTCGCGAACGGCGTGTTGAACCATTCATCAAATGATTTGACAGAGTTGAAGATCTTGGGAAGGACAAAATTAAGGAGGGCCCAAAGTTCGGGAAGGTTGTTCTGCAGGGGGGTACCAGTGAGAATGAGGCGGTAGCGGGAATGATAGTATTGCGTGAGCGTCTGCGCAAGCTTCGACTGGGTGTTCTTCATGCGATGTCCCTCGTCTGACACCAAGGTGAGCAGCCAAGAACCGACAAAATGCCCAAACCCACTCACCGATGATCATGTGAACCCATTTGAGCTTGCTGAGAATAGGCCGGTCCTTGATAATGTACTCGTATGTAGTGAGCAAAACCTGGAACTGGCCCATCCGCAGGTCGCCTTGAAGGTTGCGACGTTGCGCAGGGTTGCCCTTGTACGAGATCATTTTCACCGCTGGCGCCCACTTTGCAAATTCGCCAGACCAGTTCGTCATCGTTGACAGAGGCACGATGACAAGATAAGGGCCGCGTTGTCTCTTCACCTCAATGAGGAAGGTAACTAGCGAGATGGTTTGGATGGTTTTACCGAGACCCTAAGATCCTGTGAGATATAATATAAAGAACCTGGATGACATTGCTCACCATCTCGTCTGCAAGGATGCCATTGAGCTTGTTGTTATAAAGACTGACCATCCATTGCAGGCCCTTGAGCTGGTAGTCCTTGAGCTGACCGCCGACAAGAATGTTAGGCTGCTTCATGACCTTCTCTGAAATGCGATGTGCGACAGCATAGTAGTCCACCTTGCCCTTGTCGTCCTGGGCATCAGCACTGACCTGGGCACCGAACGTGGCCTCGTTTGCGGGGCCTTCCTCTTGGTCAAAGTTCGTATCCAAGGGACCAGACTCATTCTGCTGCGCCACGACAGCCTGTGCGAGCGAATCAAGATAGGTGTCCGTCTGCCGCAGCAAGTGGGTGATGCGCGTATCCTTCGCCGTGTCGATAAGCTTCATATATGCCTCTTCATCATCCGCCTTAAGCGCCTTCAAACGCTCCTTCGATATCCTCTCGATACGCTTCTGCTCCTCTTTCTCAGTGAACGCATGGAATGACAACACAGCGCGCCCAAGCTTCACGACACGGTCCTGCGCAGAACGGTTCACACCGATGAGATCCCTTCCATGTTGACAGATGACGCCGAGCTGCTCGACATGCTTGTGTTTTGCACGCCTCTCACGATCGATACGTTGCTTGCGTTCCGCCTGCTCGGTCATGCGTGCATCTCTAAGTGTGGGCTTGCGAGCCCGTCTGAAGTCCACACGGTTGAGTGGGAGCAGGGTACCTTGGATCAGGCGCTCTGCAACGACTGCACGCATGGCGCGTTGCTTCTCAAGCACCTTGAGGGACTTGAGCTCGATCATTGCGCGTAGCTTGCCGTGTGGGGACAACGTTGAGAGCTGCTGGTTGTCATTAGCGGGCTCCTGCTTGTGCGAGCCTAGGATGACGTCCGCCAGAGAATCAAAGTTGCCATCGCCGATGGTGGCTGGGATCTCCTCGAGCTCTTTAATGCGCTGTTGTACGCGTGCTTCGATGAAGCGATCGCGCTCGTTGATGATCTGATGTACGTCAAGGCCTGCGGGCATTATGGAGGGGATGAGGAGCCGCTGGAGGCGCGTTGCGACCATAGTGGGGTCGACGTTGGGTGGGCGCTCGAGGTGGGAGAAGGGAAGTTTGAATGCGTTGTACGGGTACACGCCCGAGTTGACAGCTTCTTCAAGAAAAGGGCCTTTGGGCAGATCAGCAGGGTCGATAGGAGGACCATGCTCTTCTTCTTTTATGACTTCAACTGGGACAGGTGTTTCGGTGGGTGGAGGCGGAGCAATGTGGCCTTTTTGTATTTTAGCAGCACTGTCGACTATACGGGAGGGCGCGTCTGGGCCCTGGAGAAGCTTCTCGAGATCTGGGATAGCAGTGTTGGGAACGCGAATTGCATGCTGTAGGTGATCTGGAATGGGGGAACCACGGGTAACGAGCCTAAAGGCCATTATCTGAGCACGTAGAGCAGATATTTGATCTGGAGTAAATGAAACGGGGGTAATGGAGGGCGCTGGAACGGATTGTGGGGCAGAATGACCATTGACAACAGCACCATTAATGAGACCATCAGTGGATGGTTGTTGTGGGGGTTGGTGGCCATTTGATTGTGACTGGTCTGGGTGTGATTGTTTAGCTAAAGATCATAAGTTTTCAGCCTCATTTAAACATTTCAAAAGACTGACTCATTTGTTGTTGACTTCCTGGTGCATAGACATTGACTTGCTTGACAAGCTGTGCAAGTTCAGGGGAGGTCTCCACTGTGGCGCCTGATTGCCTGAGTTCTTTAATGCGCTAAAAGCCGGTAAAGACATGTCAATCTTTGTAGTAGATAAAGACTCACCTGAATAAACGTATTATAACGCATATATGCCTGACGCTGCTGAGCGGGCGATAACTGCTGCTGCTGCTGTTGGTTCATTGCAGACTGTATCTGTTGATTATTAGCGAATGAATTTTGTTGATGAACTACCGGCTGTATTGGGAGTTGGCCTTGCATGGCCATGGGGTGGCTTGTCCGGCCTACTAGTACGGTGCCTCTCGGCTCCTCCTCAAGAGTCAAAACAAAAGAAGGAATACCGTGGGAAGTATTTTTGCGCAGCCCGTTGTCAGCAAGTCACGACGGTCACGTGATTTATCCCTAATTGACGCGTTTCTCAATGCCGACGTGCTTGCTTTTTACCACCACCATGCCAGCTGAACGTGCAGGAGTATGCTTCTTTTTTTCATTGTAATTTATTTTTAAAATGTCTTGCAGTACACCGTTACAATGTTCCTCATCGACGTCTCTCCGTCGATGGGTGCAACAAGATCCGTAGAATTACCCCCTACGCCCAACGGGGAGCAACGCACCACAGAGATGACCAATCTTGAATGGTCATTGCAATTCGTAAAGCTCAAGATCCAAGAAATGGTACGTTGAATAAACAGAGACTTACTCTCATCAACTCACGTCGGTACAGATTTTCAATGGCCGTAAAACGGACCAATGCGGCGTCATCCTATTTGGCTCCGAAGGTGCGCCACCATTTCTTGTACGCGTCACGAGTGTGCTGACTATATTTAAGAGACGGAAAACATCATTCACGAAAAAAACGGCGGATACCAACACGTATCAGAATACATCCCCATCGCTCAGCCCAACTCAGCCACCCTTGCCAAGCTTGACGCCCTCCAGCCTTCAGAATACTCAGGAGATCGTGTGTACTCACTAATTCCTTGGAGTTATGATATCTCATTTTCTGTAGCTATCGATGCTCTCATCGTCGGTATCGAAACACAAGATATTTACCTCAACAAGAAGCGCACATGGACGCGTAAAATCGTCATCGTGACAGATGGCCAGAGTCCCATGGAAATCGAGGACTGGGAGGCGACTGTCAAGAAAATGAACTCTCTTGAAATCTCTCTCACTATCATGTAAGTAACTCGTTCAATTTCTGTTTGTGTCCTGATTTGTACTTCATCAGCGGTATCGACTTTGATGATGACGAATTCCCTTTCTACGAGGAGGACAAGTCTACCATAAAGGTACATTTCCTCACTTTCATACTCTCAGATTTAATCTTCTTTCTTGTCAGGTTGAAAACGAAGCATTTTACCACAAGCTCACCTCAGCCCTTGACAATGGCCTTGTTGGAACATGTATCTTTGCTCTCCAAGAAATCTCCAGACCAGACATGAAGGAAACCAAATCTGCACTTATGGGCACCGTTCTCCGCCTCGGCGATGTCGACGTGCGACCCGAGGAGGCCATCGAAATTCTCGTCAAAGCCAGTAAATGTACAGCCCTCGCACGCCCCAAGAGCTGGAAGAAATTCTGCCGACGCGAAAAAACTGATGATGAAATGCAAGTCGATGAGGAAGAAATGACGGTGTTTGCGCAGCTGAAGATGCGCAGCGAGTACTACATCGATCGGTCAACTCAGGAGGGAGAAGAACAGGATAAGATGGATACAGGCAGTGATGACGAGGAAGATAAGGACAAGAACCTTGAAAAGGTGGAGAAGGAACAGCTTATCAGGGGCTTCAAATACGGCTCCACGTACGCCCCGTGCCCTGATGGACAGTTCCGGCGCTTGAATACAAGAAAGGGCATCGATATTTGCGGATTTTTCCATGCAAAGAACGTATGTGCACTCTTTACTTTCATGTGCGTAGCTCACAGACACAGTTCCGCCGGGAGCTGGCGATGGGTGAAGTTCAATATATATGGGCAGACCCCGGTGCACCACAACAGCAGGTCGCGCTCTCGTCCATCGTACAAGCCATGTTTGAGAAAGGTGTCCTCGCTATTGCGCGCTGGGTCTCTAAGGATGGCATGGACCCTAAGATGGGTGTTTTAGAGGCACATGTTGATACAAACATCGATTATCTGCTGTGGGTGCAAGTGCGTCTCCCTCCGTTTTTCCCTACTCTCGACCTTAAACTTCTTGTTGGATGTGATAGATGCCCTTCGCAGACGACGCCCGGAAATACACCTTCGCCTCCCTCGAAAACCTTGTATCAAAAAACGGCGAATCAGTCACAAAGCACCCTTACCTACCCACAGAAGATCAACTCGAAGTCATGGGCAAGTTTATCGACTCCATGGATATCATGGATTCAGGGGAGAAAGACGATAAAGGGTCCGCTTTTCATCCACCAGAAACTCGCTTCATTGTTCTGAGCCAGTTCTTAAACAGGAAACCAGTTCCATGGTATGACACCCGAAAGTCCTATAACCCCGCTATCCATCGCACGAAACAGGCGCTCTTTCACAGTGCAGTTGTGAATGATATCACCAGTAACCCCCTTCCACCACCCCATCCAGAACTCCTCAAATACATCAACCCTCTTCGGCAGGCCCTCGAAGCTAGCAAAGATGTAATCGCAGAATGCAAGGCAGTGTTCAAAGTCAAGGAAGGTACGCGCTCAATTATTTCCCATTTCATGATTCACTACTCGTACTTATCACATTCACCCAGTACCTAAGAAAGCCACAAAAGTCCGCAAAGATGGCCACGTCCGCGCCGTGGACGAAGACGAAGACATGCTTCTCCTCGACAAAAAACCTGCCGCATTGCGCAAAGGAAAAGAACCTGCCGCGTCTCAAGTACCCGTCTCCCCAAAACCCGCTCGCCCAGCCAAGAAATCCGCCGCTTCAGACTCTGAGACGGAAGAAGAATCAGATCAGGAACCACTCCTGCTCACAAAGCGGCCCTTCAACGCGCTGCCCACCCCGGAACGCTCTATGTCGCCTGATGTGGACCCCGGTCGTGCGCCGGGCCGTATCATCGGCTCGACGTATCCTCTGCGCGATTTCAAAACAAACCTTGCACAAGGGGACGTGGTGACGAAGGCTGTGGAAGATATCGGCGTCATCATCAAAGAGGTGGTGTTGAGGCCGTTTGCGTCGAGGCGGCATAAGGAGATGATTGAGTGTATGATCGCTATGCGGGATACATCTTTGAAGGAGGATGAGATTGATGCGTGGAATGCGTAAGTATTTGAATCGCCTCGGCACTCAAATGCTCATTGTTACCAGTTTCCTGAAGGACCTGAAGGAATCGTGTCTCAGGGAGGCTGGAAACTCCGAGCTCTGGCAGGAGGTGCAAAAGCTTGGCCGCAGCCTCAGTCTCATCAGTGAGCCCGAGGCAAGGAAACTAGGGGGTCATTCTCAGTTTTCCGAATCTGCATCTGAAGCAGTAAGTTGACTCTAAAGTACTGTTGATGAACATCACCTGATTAAGCTCTTTGCGTCTTAGTTCATCGCTCAATGATCGTGGAGCTTCTTTTTTGAGGTAGTTGCCCAACTATATGCTATCCATTTGCTTTGTGTATGTTTTACTGTACTTGACTATTCGCCTAAATGTCGATAAAAATTTACCTTGTCGTACCTCACTTCCGTCCCCACCACCCCTCGAGCAAACTACTAAGTCCACCCTTCGCAGGCGCCTGTGGTTCTGGTGTTTTTGGTCTAGCCACTTCCTCCAAACGTGATTTCGCAGGCACGGCTTGCACGGGAACAAGTGGAGGTGCAGATGCCTTTCCAGCCCTCTCCAGTAATCTATCCATATCCAGCTGCACATAGTTCAACGCGATGTCGAAAAACAATGGTTTCTTGTACGTCTTGTTGTCCGCATCGATAGAACCGCCGTTGTACGCGAACCATTCATTTTTGATCGTCAGTCCGTCTTGAGTGATGACGGATTCTAGAGCGTCTAGATCAGAAGACGTGAGTGGATAGTAGGCAGGTGATGCGGATGAGATAGGGTCTTCTGAGAATATGGACAACGTAGAACGCGTTTCACGGAGATAGATGGTTGCGTGTTGGATCAACGAGAGCGCTTCGGCGTATTTTTTCACGGCTACATAGCAATGTGCGAGATAAGAACATCTTGAAATATCATCAGCGAGTGGAAATAATACAGAAGTTGTTGATCTTTACCTGCGGGCTTTGGTAAATGTAAGACGGGCTTCGACAGCAGCAGCCAAGTCAGGGCTCTCATCCACGATGCTCAAGTTGCGCATCTGAGCAAGACCTTGGATGACAGTATCCAGGAGCTTGACTACTGCAGGATAAAGACGGGCGTCGACATGCTCTTTCTTTGGTTTTGCAGAGGCCTGTGGTCGATGCGAGGTGAGCAGAGCAGATACTAGGAGGAGATCACGCTGGATCCGGCGAGAGAGCAATTGATAGACGATGTAAGCGTGAACAAAATGGATATCACGCGTACCGGCCGCAGAGGTGGATGAACTTCCAGAATTCTGTCGAGCTGATTAGTGATAAATACGAATCAACGAAGGTGACCGCACACCTGTTGTGCTTCAACCAATTTCCTGCCCACCTCTTCCGCATCGCTAAGAGCAAGGAGAATAGCATCATATGCGGCAACACCCTTCTTGGACCCATGACCACCCGACTTGCCTTTCCTCCCCTTATCGCTGGCACCCTCTGCCCGAGCAGGCTCACGCGACTGCGTAATCTTCGCCTCGGCCTCCTGCACCCGCAGCAATACATCCACCAACTCTGGATTGCGCACCGGCACTGGCTGTCCTTCCCACATCAAAGTCGCCAACTTTTTCTTCCCCACACCTTTCCCAGCCACTTCTCCCTCCTGCCTAAATTTCTGAATAAGAGCATCACATCCCTCAACAATCTCCCCTCGATGCTTTTCCGACAACTCAGCAGCGATCGCATCCACATCGTACGCCCTCTCCCTTCCAAGCTCATGTGCGCAATACCTGATTTCAGGGCCAATTTCATCTGTAAACACCGTTGCGAGAGCCTGGTCTCTGCTTGTCGCAGCACATTCAACGAGTTCGTCGAGAAGGCGCCTTGCAACGCTAAGCTGGATCAACGCATCCTCAAAGCTGTCTCGGTATCGCAGGAAGCGACCGTTGAGGATGAGAGTGTAGATGGTGATCTGCATGAGCCCTTCTGCGGAGAGGTGTGAGGACGCATATAGAGATTGACAGTGCGATAGAAGTTGCGTCGACCAGTGTACTGCACGGCGAAAGCGTCCTGTGGCGCTATGCCGCAGGGTTCCAGCCTGGTCTTCATTAGCCGGCTGAAGGGATTGAGTGATGAGATCCTGAGAGTAAGCCCAGGCACGTTCTGACTCGAAGAGTAAAAGCTCCAAGCTATCCGAGATTCAGTAATTCTTGATATGTGAGATGTGATATAGCACGCACTTTCCATCCTTGATGTTATCTGTGCTTAACGGAGGCAGTTTCTTGAATTCTCGGCCCTTGCCATGGGTCATTTTGAGGGTGGACCGGAGACGATGCGTTCTATTGGCACAATGCTTCCTGTATCGCGTGAAATCATTGTACCGGAGACCATAGGCAGTCCGTTGTTCGTTGGCTAGTTGTAAAGCTGTTGGGGGATGTGAGTCCGTCTCCCACCGACGAGTCCTGTGTAACTAACCTCTGAATGATAATTTGTTTTCTGACATAGTGCCCAGAGTGAAAGCTGGACGACGTAATCTGCAATTTTATTCTACTGATGTGTAGAATGTCACAGTAGGATATAGAAGCTGAAAGAGGCTACTCGTCCAAACGCGGCTTGATCAGTACTTGAAGAAGTGCAATATAGCTTTATCTTCTTTACGACTTTCGAGTATCTCAAATGGCAGAAGAAACCTTACCGCCAACTCTGCAAAATGTTCTGGATCAAAAGTCCTTGAAATGGATATTCTGTGGTGTGTGCTTCATTATTCAACTGCTCACGCAGTTCATTGACATTCTGGGGTCAACTCGGATGCGATGCAGGTGGTAAGGGTGGTGTCGGTACGTGGCCCCTTGAATCTGAACTATCAGAAACCTGATCCATACGCACAGGGAAAACAACTACCTCGTGTTCGCTAGCCATCCAACTTGCTCAGTGCCGAGAATCGGTACTGCTCATCGTACGTGGTCACATCTACGGTCTCAGAGGCCGATGTCCACCCTCAGCTATAGTCCACCGACCCAGCACATAATCTGTCGGATGCTTTTGGACAGAAGTTCTCCAAAGACGCGACAAAGGTCAATGGATTCGATAACCTGTCCGCTATGGAAATCGATCCTACAAGTGCAATCCAGGAGATGGTCGAGCAATGTACGTGTTGACATCTCCCAAACCCACTCTTGTCCTGCTGACGCTTCACAACCCCAGCTGATTCAAACGGCATGATGGGCTCGATGATGCAGGATCTTGCATTCGCTATTCCTGGTGTTGACGAGGCAATGAGTTTCGCTGAGATCATGAAGTTCGTTATCTAACTCTCGACTCCCATGGATTGACGAGACAATGTCTTCACAGACACGTCAAGTCGATGGAATATTCGGTCATCGTGTTTGACACCGCACCGACAGGTCATACCTTGCGTTTCCTTTCCTTTCCTACTGTACTGGAGAAGGCCCTGGGCAAACTCAGCACGCTCAGTGGTCAATTTGGGCCCATGATTAGACAAATGTCGAGTATGATGGGCGGTCAGCAGGACTCTCAAGAGGACATGTTTGCAAAGTTAGAATCTATGCGTGCTGTAATCAACGAAGTCAACACGCAATTCAAGGACCCTGTACGTCTCGTCATTGAACACACCAGAACTATAACTATCTCATATTATTTGCAGGAAAAGACCACTTTCGTTTGCGTTTGCATCTCCGAGTTCTTGTCCCTGTACGAGACGGAGCGCCTCGTTCAGGAACTGACGGCTTATGAGATCGACACGCATAACATCGTCGTCAACCAGCTGCTCTTCCCAAAGACATGCAAGTACTTCCTACTGCTCCACGTAATGCAATTCTAATCTTAATTTAGCATCCAACTGCGAGCATTGTCAAGTACGAAGAAAGATGCAGCAAAAGTATCTTTCCGAGGCCCACGAGCTCTACGACGAATTCTTCCACATCGTTCAGCTACCATTACTAACGGAAGAAGTCCGCGGTCCAGAGAAGTTGAAGGAATTTAGCAAGATGCTGGTAGAACCATACGTTCCTAACGTTGACTGATGAGCTGAGGGAGATTGACCGGTAATTCACGGAGCGCGTATAATACACCTTACTTCTCGGGCACTGAGCTGCTTTATACCTGTGATCCAATGGCAAGCATCTCCTGACATTACTGGTGCACGTCAATGGTGTGCCGGAGTTTCCTTTCGTGAAGGATCAGTAAGCCTGTGTAGATTTCCTCCAAGGTGAGCCAGCCTGCGGGCATCTGATCCACCTATCCATCCATCCAGCACATGTTACCAAGCTATCTTTCTCACCAATGCCGGAGATAAGCGGGTGAATCAAAATCGTGCGGGACTTGTGGAAATGAAGCATGCAATCATGGAGTCTACAAATGTCATCTGTGAGGTCTAAGCTCCGTCATAGCAAAATTCCTATGAATAGCCTGAGACCTAAAGAACTGGAATATGACTCCTCGCATTGCCTCGATGATCTCCTTGGTAGTACAACATCTGCCTTTAGGCCCAAGATACATTCAATAACTATCAATACTCCTACACCCTGGTTATGATTAGAAATATTAGCAATTGAACATGAATGATTGAGAACGAAAACATACGTATCATCTAATCGTGTGATGAAGCAGTCACGCAGGATAGACGCCATAAGCTGACGGACATATGTAGTGCATCGGTCACTTACCGTCGTAGTGGAAACGAGTCTGCACATTGAAAAAGTTCAGAGATTCCTGGATAACGTCTAACAGAGCGCTAAGACGTACCTTCTTTGGATTATCGGGTGCGTACCGAACGTACCTGTCATTGTCTACAGGCCTTCAGAGTTCACGTTATAAATGGAAGATGCCGTTAGATGGAAATGTGAGCTCACCGTTCCTTTGACTGTAACATGTTCCGTGTTACTAAAACGACTGTATCGTGGATACTAAGGAAAAACTCACCTTGCATGATGCAAGCATACTTTGCAGGGTTACACACACAGCAGAAACACTCAGAACTGGTGACCATTCAGTTCCAAGGATAGAGGCGCAAATCTACGGCACATCAGACATATTACCGTGACAGCACGCTAAATTCGGCATGTAGCGAACTCACATGTCCATTTGAGTATACATGCTAATCAACGGTCAGTTATCACCGTAAACTCCAACTATAGGTATAACACACCGGATGCACAGGTGCTGTTGATTCCTGGTTGACGACGAACTGGACTGCAGGCGCCGAGATAGGGTAGCTTGAGTCAAAGCGAAACATGAGCTTGAATACCTCCCCCTAACCGTATTTTTGTAAGGACCCATGAATGATGAAAGTGAGCTCCCATCAGACCTGGTATAAACTTTCGCCCAGAATTTCTATGGAGAAGTACCACGTCTCAAAGTTATCAGCGCTGAGCAGTGTGATGCCTGTAATCGACAACAGGTCAGTCAGCTGCACGTATAACAGGTGAGAGGACGTACCTGTGGGACATCCTTCTGTCTGTATTTCAGTGAGCTCTTTGCGTAAACGGCGAGACGAGATTGAGGTCATGCCAGTTGGAGTCCAAGCCTTAGGATGTGTCCTTAACCGGTTAACTGAGAGGTTAGCAGTGGTCCAAATTAGGGAATATGTAAACAGGCGCAAATAAAGGCTTCCCATAAGAACGCTCTCCGATTTTTTTTCGTTCTTCAATGTCTTTGACTCCTTCCTGCTTTAGAGTCACCTGCTGCTCGAAATTGTCCAGGGACTTGCAGGCGCTCGCGGGAAGGTAGATAATTCTTCTTGCTCTTCAGGATTGCTGGTTCATCGTCTTCATGATCTTGCGTACTTGAACTGCAAGAGACAACGCGTATTCGACAAGTACATAAGATATGATTTTGTATATGAAATGTAAATCAACTTGCAATACCAGCAATTGCAAATTTTTGTTCATTCTGCTGTCTCTGCTTCACTGGCCCTCTTCCGTCTATCTCGAGTGATGTCGTCCAATATCACCTTCGCACCGTTCGCCATCAATTTTGTTGCAAGATTTTTACCCAGCTCCTCTGCGCCCTGTATGCTTTCGACTTCCTGCGAAAGAGTATCTTGGACATGTACGGAACCATCAAGTGATGTGACGCAACCCGTTATCTCGAGGGTTGCACGCGTCAGTTTCCCAGCGCTTTTATCAATCTGCGATAGCGATGTAGAAACACCAACAGGAACACTACATCCACCTTCCAGTTCTCTCAATAATGCCCTCTCTGCGAGGCACTTCCACTGTGTTTCCTGGTGGGTTAGGGCTTTGCACAATTCCCGTGCTTCCTGATCGTATGCGCGGATCTCAATTGCCAAAGCACCTTGAGAGACAGCGTGGAAGAGTATTGGCGCGGCGAGATCTGCTGTGATGCGATCCCCCATGCCTAGTCGTACAAGACCGGCCTTGGCTAGTATAAGCGCCGTATAAGGACCATCGGGGGCGTCGAGTTTTGCAAGACGGGTGTTTCTGGAATTGATATTAAGTTTAGCTTGAAAATAAACACACGGCCTTACAAATTTCCTCGCTGTAAATATGTTAGAGTGTACGATATACTCGTGGGCTGCGAAAACTTACGACGTCCAGAAATACCAAGCCAGGGAAAGACCTCCGCAACTGCGCTACTCTCCGAACGCTGCTCGTACCCACGACACTGCCATCTGGTAAATCTTCCAGTGTCCTGTAAGGCAAGCCCTGCTTCACCACCAGGCTATCGACAGGATTCTCTCTCTCCAATATCGCTCCGATTTCGCAGCCGTGCGGTAGGGTCGTGGGGACATCCTTCAAACTATGTATCAGCATATCAACCACATCCTCCTTCAATGCAACCTCGAGTTCTTTTGTCCATAGCGCCTTTCCTCCGAGTAGATATAACGCTTGAGATTGGTTCTTATCGCCCTCGGTCGTCATAAATGACGTGCTGAATGAAAGGGTCGGAAATGTAGTCTCGAGGCCATCTCTGACGATATTCGTTTGGATCTGTGCGAGTTTGGATGCCCGGGAAGCTAGTACGAATGATGTTCTTGAACTCGAAGCCATGGTGCGTGTATAGATTATCACAAATGAAATTCTGTGTGATACCGTTACATGGGTTCCTTATCGGGCAATCAGGATTTTTCGGGGTCCAAGCCAAGCCAAACTATCTTTTGAGAGCGGCGACAAGTTTACCAGTCTTTGCATCCCATATTTTGACTGTGGACTCGGAATCAGTAATCGAGAAGGTGCCTTCAGCAGTCGCGAACACGTTTTCGTGCCTAGTCTCTCCCTTCTCCACGTCCCACTCCCTTGCAATCCCGTCGTAGGATCCGCTCATCACTCGCTGACCGTCTCGACTCCAGCACACAGACCGCACCGCCTTTGCATGTTTCGTCCATTTTGCAATGACTTTGTTTCTGTCAATGTCCCACAACCTCACTCCCGCTAGCCACCTTCTTCCCGTTAGGAGACAGTGCTAGCGTCCGTACTTCGCTATCTCTGTCCCGCCAGTCTTCTCCTATCTGTTTCATACTCCTTAAGTTCCACACCTGCAGGGAGCCGTCAAATGAACAAGCTGTCATCCGCTGTCCGTCTGACAGATGCATGGCGCCATTGACCAAGCTGGTGTGTTCTTCAAATTTCTGGCAGTGTTTTATCGTTGATGTCTCCTGCCTTCCAACAATAGGCGAAGCCATAATCAACTATATAGCGTAGCTCAGTCCAACAAAGTCTCAACCATCACTCACGACCATGTTTTTAGCAGCTCTCGACACCAAGTCACAATGGGCGTCAAGAGTATACTGGAAGCCTGAGCTGGTACGTTTAGCATGTGACATCCTCGTGAGTACTCCACAGCTTGTATCATAGGCTGCGCAGCTGAAGCGCCCAAGCCTCATTTGTGGGCACGAGTTCTCATTCCATCATTCACTGTTTTCATCCCCGTTTTTACTGCCCGGCTAATCGTAATTATAACGCATCAGATCATACATCCATATTTTCCCAGCCAATTTATCCTCGAACGCGCTCGTCATCTCCGATTCGTCAATGCTCGACCACATCTCATGCGCAAGGCATACATTTTACCGTGTCTCAATACACGGGAAATTATCCAGAATCTTTACAGTCACTGATACCAACCACCGCAATTTCCACGCCTCTTCTGTTGGTGATTCATCCAACACCGACCCATACACTGTGATCCATCGTAGTGATGCACATCACTATGCCCCTACTATAGGGTAGTATCTACATTACCAGACTGGTTGGAGGCGGAAATATATATGATTCTGACACTATCCTCGCGAGGCTCGAAATCGCCTGACACGACTTCACTCCGCTGTCCTCGTTAATATGGAACCAACGCAGTATAAACCTGTCTCTTCCCACTCAACTGCTTCTCGAAGGTGGTCGTCATCTCGCCGGTGATCGTACGCATCAGGTGCGTAAGACATGCATTATTGTGTCTCTCGGTTGACGAAAAATCACCATGAACTCCCAATACTTCTTCCAGTCATGCGTTTTTATCTCACTAGGGGCTGATGTCCAGAGTCCTAGAGACAACCCCCTCAGTTGAAGGATGTGATATCTTAGAGCTGCTGAAGTTGGTCCTTTAGTTGAATCACAACAAAGGTGAGTCCTCAATGGGATGGACAATCCAACGATGAACTCATTCTTGTAACATGCACAGTGGTCGAGTCGTCACCGATCACTTGTCGTTGCGATATCTGCGCAACTGAAATACATCGTCGCTCGCGGGAAACGATATACTGTGAAGCATATACCCTTCCAGTCCCATCCGATCCTCGTCTCGTCGTTATCCATTCTTTCGATGTCAACAAGTGCTGAAGTCGATGACTTCAAAGGCGGCGTCACAGGCAATTCTATTACCATCGTGTCCTACGTCCAGGGCACGAAGTCGAGAACCGCCCGAGAAATGAAACTATGCAGGCCTACCGTTCTGTTTCTTCCAACTCAGGATCGACAACCGATGGGATGCACCTCTTGTGAGCAATGATGTCAAGGCTCGTCATTGTGAATGATTGCGCCAGATCAGCAGATATGTGCGCCCAATGTTTCAGCTTAAAGCCATTCTTCATGTATAGGGCACGACGCTTGTATGATGTATGTTACAATTGTATCTGTCGAATGCGAGCTCAAGTCTGTACACTTTGTCCCGGAGTCTTGCAGCACCGGTCATCCTTGTCAAGGTGGTTGCTCACAATCACATCCCATTGGTCCTTGTGGGACATTTTCAGCCTACCGAATCTTACTGTAAGGACTTCTTGTGTATGATGACACACTCCTTTCGAGCTTGTATAAAAATTTGGTGCAGTGGAGGTTTAAGATATTCCTAACAGCCTACAAGCCGTTCAAGTACTAAGGCAACCAAAAGGCAAAGGAGGCCGTAAAATGGTTCACGGACAGACGAAAATACTTATACTGTTGGCGCGAAGGTGCTCGGAAATATCTAACCTCCAGCCTGAGCTGAATGGGATTCCAAGTAGAAATTGTGTTATTGAGTGTGGATGATACTTTGAAGGTATTCTCATCATGTAAACGGCTATTCAATAGACATGCCTATCAGCGACTCGACGCTGACGAGCTGTAGTATTGATACGACTAACACGGAACATTGTGAGTCATTACTACTCTAACGTTAATATTGCAAGCGAGGAGTCACTAGCCTTACTACTAGTGGTAGTGAGTCACTACGAAGAGTCATGCACTCGGATCCACTGGCAGCGGGATGACATAAGCATGGCTGAAATCATCCGGCAAACAGTGATTGAGTTGCCTTCGTGTTTCCAAATTCGTGTTTAGAAGACATGCATGTATCGGATGGACTTCAAGCTTCAAGCAAGACAGTCCGATAGAATGCTCCGATGCGTTCAGAAAGAAGACTTGATACAGTAAAATCCAGCTTTAGCCACGTCGTTCCGACATGCGTGTACGATGTGATAGATACATACTGTGACTCGTGTACTAGGAAGAAGGAGCAACTAAGTGCTAACTTGGCTGCAGTTACGTGAGGTAAGTACATGTTCCCCATCAATTAATTCTTCCACAGGCTCCTCACTTCTCACGCAAGGCACCATGGCAGTCTTAATAGTATGCCGAATTTGACTCGTTGACGCCGCACCGATGCATCGGAACCGCTTCAGTGACCTACATAAACTCATGGATTCCTTGCAGATGGGTCAACTCAAACTCAAAGCACGCTCAAAAGCATGGGCACAGAACCCACTTTACTTGTGTCCCATACGTCGGAGGGCCTTCCAGCCACTGCTGACGAAAAGAAACTTGCCGTTTCAAAGGAGCTCACACCCCCAGAGCACGTTACTCTGGACATGAAAAAGGATTCAAAGGGCATCCGAGGTTTTCTCCCTTGGGCCAAGAAAGCATCTAAGGAGATGGAGAGCGAGGCCGATAACGCAATGGCAGCGGACAGATCCGTTTCTGCGCCATTCCTATCGTTATTCCGGTGAGATCATCCCACTTTTTTGACCGAACACCATAATTTACCGACGCAGGTATTCAACTCGCTTTGAAATAATGTTGGACTTTCTTGGCATGATCTTTGCTGTTGCTGCTGGCGCTTCGCAGGTGAGTTTTTCAGATTTGCGAGTGACATCTTCTTATTTCCTATCTTAGCCTCTGATGACTTTAGTATTCGGCGACATGACCCAAGATTTCGTCACGTTTAATTCAGCAGAGAACGAGTACTATCAATCGCTGCAGTCTAATGATACGAACGTAATTGAGCAGGCGCAGGCCGCACTAGATGCTGCTGCATCCACGTTCGTTCATAGCGCTAGCCTGGATGCTTCTTATCTCGTTTATCTCGGTAAGTTCTTGATTAGATAAGAATCAGATTTAGTACTGACCTGAATTCGTACCAGGTATCGCGATGTTTGTTTCCACGTATATATACATGTACACCTGGGTTTATACCTCAGAGGCTAATGGGAAAAGAATACGCGAGAGATATCTTCAGGCCATCCTTAGACAGGAAATCGCCTACTTTGATGATGTGGGGGCTGGAGAGGTTGCGACACGCATCCAAACCGACACTCGTAAGTCATTCTGTACTTTTCAAAGGCGGATGGTCGAAGTTACCGTGCTCTGAAATAGATCTGGTACAACTGGGGATATCCGAAAAAGTCACTGTTGCAGTCACTTGCATCAGCTCATTCGTCGTTGGCTTTATCATTGCGTTTGTCCGGTCATGGCGTCTCGCTCTTGCATTGTCGTCCATGATTGTGTGCATCATAATCATAGGCGGTGTCATGAAAAAGTGTCTCTCCAAATACACACAGTGAGTGTACTTGCTCTTGAGTTCGTCCTGAAGCTTTATGATCTCCGTTCAACACCAGATTGTCCTTGAAGCATGTTGCTGAGGCAGGTAGTCTTGCTGAAGAAGTCATATCCACGATTCGCACCGCACAGGCTTTCGGGACACAAAAAGTATTGTCTGGAATATACGATAAGAACATCGACGTTACTCGCGTCGTTAATGCCAAAGCGAGCATTTCGCAAGGTGTGGGATTAGGCTGCCTCTTCTTCGTGAACTACGCTGGATATGCGCTCGCGTTCGAGTTCGGAACTACCCTCATAAATGAGGGTCAAGGTCTGTTCCTGTTTCTGTATCGTGAAACTGCATTTGACATTGGTTGGCAGCTAACGCCGGACAGGTTGTAAATGTCTTCTTTGCCATCTTAACCGGATCATTATCTCTTGCTATACTCGCGCCTGAATTACAAGGTAATCGCAGTCCTACTTTTTGGTTCGGAATTCTCACCATGCTTTACTAAAGCCATTACACGTGCCTGTGGTGCTGCCGTCAAACTATTCGCTACGATCGAGCGTGTCCCTGATATCGACTCTGCAAACCCAGGAGGACTAAAGCCTTCAAAAGTCACTGGGGAGATTACGTTCAAGGAAGTCAAATTCAGCTATCCGTCTCGCGCAGATGTTCCAATTCTTAAAGGCATCGACATCACCTTCCCGGCTGGCAAGACCACTGCTTTGGTTGGCGCATCTGGATCTGGTAAATCTACGATCGTATCTCTCACGGAACGCTTCTACGATCCGCTGAGTGGTTCCGTTACGCTTGACGGAATTGACTTGCGAGAGTTGAATACCAAATGGTTACGCTCTCAGATCGGTCTGGTCTCACAAGAGCCTGTGCTTTTCGCGACGACTATCAGGGGGAACATCGCACACGGTCTCATTGGCACGCAATACGAGGATGCATCTGATGAGGAGAAGTTTCAACTCATCAAAGCAGCCTGCATCAAGTCTAATGCAGATAGCTTTATTAGCCACCTGCCACAAGGATATGGCACTATGGTTGGTGAGCGAGGCTTTCTTTTGTCGGGAGGGCAAAAACAGCGCATCGCAATTGCGCGAGCTATTGTGTCGGACCCGCGGATCTTGCTCCTTGATGAAGCCACAAGTGCCCTCGATACTCGCTCAGAAGTAATCGTACAAGATGCTTTGGACAAGGCAGCTGCCGGTCGAACTACCATCACCATTGCTCATCGCTTGTCCACGGTTAAAGATGCCGACTGCATACTTGTCATGGGCGAGGGACTCGTACTGGAGCGAGGGACTCATGCGGAACTTCTGGCAGATGAGAATGGCGCATACTCTCGTCTTGTCGCAGCTCAATCTCTCCGCGAGAGTGACAAAGATGATCTGGATGCAGGGGTATCAGGCGACGAGTCAGATTTGGAAAGGTCAGAAGAAGTCCTCGAACGGAAGAGCACTATTCGCTCTGTCAGAAGCGACGTCGCCAGTCAATTAAAGGAGAATGTAGAGGACCAGGCTCCAGAGGAAGCCTACGGTCTGTTTTATTTGATGAGACGAATTGCTAGTCTTCACCCTGAAGGGCTTCGCCGATACTTCATTGGATCTTTCTTTGCCATATGTAAGTCCGCAAAGCATGTATCATCAATTACGCTCATGCGTTTCCGCAGGCAATGGTGCCGCTTATCCTGTCTCTGGCATAATCTATGGTAAGTCCTGTCGTCAATCCAAATGGATGCCATTTATCCTGATATCCATTGGCAGGGCACGCAGTTTCCGGCTTTAGCGCAACCACAAATTCTGAGCGAAGCTACCAAGGCGACCGGAATGCTCTCTGGTTGAGTTCATATTTTCCGGAGATCACGCTGGTGCTTATCCCGAGCCAGGTTTTTCATCCTTGCCATTCTATGCGCATTGTGTATGGGTTTCCAGAACTACTTCTTTGCTTCTGCTGCCGCTGTCTTGACTGCCAAGCTCCGTTCAATGAGCTTCAAAGCTATCCTCCGACAAGACAGTGAGTGCTCAATCGCTACATTATTTTTCTTGCTCATGGAGGCAGTCGAGTACTTTGACAACGACAAGAACAGTGTGAGTCCTATAACTCCTCCAGTTCGTACAGGCTCCTCATTAGACTCCACATAAGACTGGCACTCTGACGTCAAACTTGAGCGAAAACCCCCAGAGGATCAATGGTCTTGCTGGTATAACTCTGGGAACGTGAGTATCACCATTCATTCCAAAGTGGCGTGATGACTGACTTTGGTTAGAATCATCCAATCTATCGCAACTCTAGTTGTCGGCTTGGTGATTGGCTTTGCATACGCTTGGAAGGCAGCTATTGTTGGCATGGGTGTGTCCCGTTTTTCCATTTTACGCATTTCTCTTACAAAATTTGTTGTTACTTAGCATGTATTCCTGTCCTGGTGTGCGGTGGCTATATACGTTTGGTACGTGACCTGCTTAATAAGCTCCCAACGTGCTAAACGTCTTCTAGCAAGTAGTTGTTCTGAAGGATCAGAGGAACAAGAAAGCGCAAGAAAGCTCTGCTCAGATTGCCTGCGAAGCTGCTGCAGCCATTCGCACCGTTGCATCATTGACCCGGGAGGAGCACTGCCTTGATATGTACAGACGGAGCTTGGAAGGACCCATCAGAAAATCCACTAGGACAGCGCTCTGGAGTCACTTGCTGTATGCACTCGCTCAGGCCATGGGTTTCTGGGTGATTTCTCTAGTCGTCTGGTATGGCGCGACACTCGTTTCGCAGCTGGAGATATCCACACAATCATTCTTCATTACTTTAGTGGTAAGGTTATTTTGTCGACCTCCGGACATTATTGAAGTGAACAATGCATTGGCAGAGCACGGTGTTTTCCTCAATGCAGGCTGGTAATATCTTTGCCTTTGTGCCTGACATTTCATCGGCCAAAGGGGCTGCCGACGCAACTATCAGGCTCCTCGATTCGACTCCTGCGATTGATGCAGAGTCAACTGAAGGCAAAAGTATTCCGAGCAAGACTATCAAGGGTCACATACAGCTGGAGAACGTTCATTTCAGTTATCCTACCCGTCCCAGAACCCGAGTTCTTCGTGGCCTCACGCTTACCGTCGAACCCGGAACCTATGTTGCCTTAGTCGGCTCTAGCGGTTGCGGTAAAAGCACGGTGTAAGTCCCGCCATCGTACTGTATTCAGACAGACTGCTAAGAGTCCATTTAGCATCCAATTACTAGAGCGTTTTTACGATCCGCTTTCCGGACAGATCTCGCTCGATGGAGAGCTTATTGATGAATATAACATCCAAGCATATCGGCAGCAGATTTCACTTGTGTCACAAGAACCTGTAAATACGGTCGTGGTATTGATCTCTTGGTAGAGAGAGCTGACTGCTTGCCTTGCAGACTTTGTACGCAGGAACTATTCGCTTCAATATCTTGCTCGGTGCCACCAGACCAGAATCTGAGGTCACACAAGAAGAGATCGAGGCTGCCTGCCGTGATGCCAATATACTGGAGTTTGTTCAATCACTTCCAGAGTAAGACATTAATACCACGAAAATCTGAGGCTTACTGACATGATAATGTTAGCGGGTTCAATACCGAAGTCGGTGGCAAGGGATCCCAGCTGTCTGGAGGTCAGAAACGTGTGTATCATTCATGGCAAAACATCTTTCTTTGTGCGCTGAAAGCATGATGCAGAACGTATAGCAATCGCTCGCGCACTGCTTCGGAACCCGAAAGTTCTTCTGCTCGATGAAGCTACATCAGCCCTTGATTCGAACTCGGAGAAGGTAGTGCAAGAAGCTCTTGACAAAGCTGCCAAAGGTCGCACCACAATTGCTATCGCCCACCGCCTTTCGACTATCCAAAACGCTGATTGCATGTGAGTCAATCGAGACCATCGTCACTCCGGAACATTTTCTCACTACTTCACAGACATTTTGTCAAGGAAGGCAGAGTCAGCGAATCCGGATCCCATGACGAACTTCTTGCGCGGAGAGGAGATTATTACGAGTTCGTCCAGCTTCAAGCACTTAGCAAGAAGTAGTGAAAATTTAGAATAATACTCGATATCTAACTCATCATATTATCACAATCTCGTCTATCTCCCGACTATACTATTCTACTTGTACCAGACTTAGACTATTGGGCTTAGAAGTTGCATGCTCACGCATGATTTCTCGATAATGTGATCCCTTATGTATCTTGGTTCTGTGGATTGCTTTTCTATAGATAACTTCCCACGTCATGTCAACATCATTCCTCCACGATTGCGCTGCTGCTCAGGCGAACCAGACGAAGAACAAAAATTACAGACCTTCCGTGGCGATCCCTCTTCAACAGGATCCTCTCTACATGCACGCTGAGAGTATCAGCTGCAGTCTGTGGTTCTGTGAGGGCTGATTAATGATTGATATCGGGACAACATTATGCACTGCAGAGTGAATCGTTTTGTTGGTCAAGCGCTATGTCCGCCGTTAATCTTCCCGCGAAGGGCTATATCTACATCTACATATTGGAAGAACGGAGCGACTTCCAATTGGTGTTAGCTTGACTAGACCCTAACCCTGATAGTTTCAGTTTAGACCGCCAATGCCGACCGCTACGACAACGATGGCAACGGCGACTGTCTCGACGTCGGACAAACTACTTCATAAACCGACCAGCAAAAGTTCGTCGACGACGGAGGCAACGCTACAATCACTGTACAACCGTGCGGCGAGAGCATTCCTTCACCGAGACGTCGCAATCACGTTCACACTATCAAGCGCTGCATTCGCGCTCCTCCCACCTCCCCTCGTGCCCTCGCCTGATCCCCTAGATGTCCACCGGAGAAAGTGGGACATCCTTCGCATCACCCTTGAGACCACCGTCTTCTCTTCTACTCCAGACCTCGTTGATTTACCACAGCCACTCCGAGAATCCCTACTCTTGTCTCCCCAATCATTTATTTCCAATTTGTATGCTCGATCTCTCGCTTTGTTTACTCCTTCATCACTGTATCGAAAGCCTAGCTCCGCATTCCTTCCGCACTAAGTCGTCATCACACTCATAGCATCCAGCATCAAGATAGATTGTCCAAATATTGGCCGCGAGATCACAGTGGACTGGCTGTAGAAACGCGGGTAATACGATTTCGTACCTTCCACAGGTGAATCGTATCACAAAGTTCTGGAACTCTACTGCTTGCATGTCTTGCCTCGTTTGGGCGAGTGGGAATATGTCAAAGAATTTCTGTCATACGAGAATGAGCTCTCGTCTGACAAAAGACGCGTGAGTTTAAGTTCATGATTCTTGTGTTATACTGAACACGATATTTTCAGGAACTTCATTTGGCTCTTGAGGCTCAACATACTCAAGCGCTAGAGAGTACAAAGCGGGAGACGCCAAAACACGAGCCTCCTCCCTCCCCTATACCAATACCTCCACTCCGTTCTCTATCCTCAGCATCTTCCTCCTCCTCTCTATCCACCACATCCACCCGCACCGCAGTTCCAGCATCCCATCGTCCAAAACTTACCCGCCAACAATCCGCATCTTCCACCTCTGCAGTTTCAGACGTCACGGTAACTAGATCCCCTCGCCACCACCACAACCAAAGCATGCCACAAGGGAGTTCAAGTGCCAGTGCTGTTCACATCTCCCACCTCCCTCCAGTCGACCACAATCTCGCGACTGCACAGCCCCCAACCTCCCTAGTATTCATTCGGTCTTATTTCAACCACTATTTCACCGCAAACAGAATAGCCACTCTATCGGTTTTGTTCTTCCTAGTTCCCCTACTGTCTTTGGTCCTTCGGAGACGGCGGCGCTTAGAGACACCTGCGGACTGGTACGGAGGAGATTATTCGAAACACGTGGCGATTCGATTGTGAGACAGTTATGGAATGAGCTGGTGAGGGCCGTTTTGGATACTGTTAGGATGGGTGGCGGGGGACTTGTATACTGATAATTTGAAATTTTGAAAAAGACATTTCCTACCATCAGAACCCTTTCCCACCAGTGGAAGGCGGGCATTGGAAGATAGACAGAAGAAAATGCCGGTGGGTTGCAAGCACCTCAGTGTCGAGCAGCGTCTGCATCTCTGATACCAATGCGATGTAACTCACTGGCTTAGCACGACTCTTACACACTTCAAGGCTGTATCACTTTTTCGACAGGAGGCATCAAAAGGTTCAGATAAGCATGATTAGAACCATTAGTTCTGGGACGCTTCAAGATGTTCCTCTACTTGCAGTAGTCTCTGGTGACAATCTCGAAGGTCCCGAGATCCGAATCGATGCCACTTGATGAGATTCAATGATGCTAAGTTCGCTCGACTGAAAGATATTTGCAGGACAGTATGAGTGCGGAAACCTCGCGGGTTATAACAGCGGCAATGCATTTTTGTTTCACTGTTCCGAAGACCGCACTGTGGAGATCATTCAAAATTGCCACTGTGCAAATTGCTGTATAGTCGAGAATGGAGGTATTGATGGTGGGTTGATTAGCTGCAAATAAGAGGAAAGGGTGAGCCCGCCTCTTGCTCGCCGTGTCCATGGTACGATCATCGTTACAGGTCTAAAACTTATCTGATCACGTGATGATTTCCTAGACTGTATAACTAACGCCTAGCCTTTGATATTGTACTACGCACCCAAATATTAATCTGATCATGACATTCAATGTGATATCGCATCAAATGAGTCTATACATATGATGCTTACTCGCGCGCCTCACGAACAAGCTGCTGAGAACAAAGCTCATGCCCTAGGAGTTTTCGCTTATATAAGCGTCACGCGTTTTTTTACAGGCTTCGCCCACTTCCTCGATTTGAAAATGCCTGCCCAATCGACAGCAACTGTCCTATCTTCCTCAGACGCCGTCGCCCATCTAGCATCTTACCAATGCTTAGACGGTCTCTCCGTCAAGGATCTCATGGATTCCCGCATCCATGGCGGTCTCACTTATAACGACTTTCTTATGCTTCCCGGGAAGATCGATTTCCCTGCTTCTGATGTGATCACTGATACCAAAATCACTCGTAATGTCGTTCTCAGAACCCCATTCATGAGTAGTCCTATGGATACCGTTACAGAGACTGACATGGCCATCAGTCTCGCGCTGCTGGGTGGCATCGGTGTCATTCATCACAATCAGTCTCCCGAATCTCAAGCGGCTATGGTTCGAGCCGTCAAAAGGCATGAGAATGGTTTCATCGCGGATCCTGTCGTCTTCTCTCCAAATCACACGGTTGCAGATGTCCTTGATATCAAGGCACGTCTTGGTTTCTGTGGTATTCCTATTACAGGTGCGTTATGTGTTTCACCTGCGTCTCCTTGATGAATACATCTACCAATAACCTTCGTTCTTCCGAGTAACGGGTTTTACCTGTGATCTGCGGATATCATTTTCTTTGGCCATCTGACCTTTTATTTTGTTTATCGTGCTCGTGTGATCAAAAACTAATGCGAATTCTTTAGAAACTGGACACCTGGGAGCTATACTTGTTGGTATCGTGACCTCACGCGACGTACAATTTGAGTCGCCTCAGACACTCCTCAGTGAGGTCATGACCAAGTCTCTTGTCACTGCTCCCCAGGGTGTCACGCTCGCAGAGGCCAACCAGATCCTCCGTTCTTCCAAAAAGGGCAAACTCCCCATTGTCGATGACCAAGGCCGTCTTACCTCTCTCCTTGCCCGCTCTGACCTACTTAAAAACCAAAACTACCCACTTGCTAAGTAAGAATCCTAACAGCAAGCAGCTGTATGCTGCAGCTGCAGTCGGCACACGACCCAGCGACAAAGGGCGCCTCAAGCTTCTCGTTGAGGCTGGTCTTGATATCGTCGTACTTGACTCATCGCAGGGCAACTCCATCTTTCAGATTGACATGATTCAATGGATCAAGCAGACGTTCCCGAAGCTCGAGGTCATCGCAGGCAACGTCGTCACTCGTGAGCAAGCTGCCAGCCTCATCGCTGCTGGGGCAGACGCTCTCCGCGTCGGTATGGGTAGCGGCTCCATTTGTATCACACAGGAGGTCATGGCTGTTGGTCGTCCACAGGCCACAGCTGTGTTTGCTGTTGCCGAGTTTGCATCCAAGTTCGGTATCCCGGTGATTGCAGATGGTGGTATCAGCAATATCGGGCACATTGTCAAGGCACTCTCGCTTGGTGCGAGCGCTGTGATGATGGGAGGGCTTCTTGCAGGCACCACAGAAGCTCCGGGAGAGTACTTCTACCACGATGGGAAGCGTGTGAAGTCCTACCGAGGCATGGGTAGTCTTGAGGCTATGGAGCAGGGTAGACCTGGCGCGTCTGGTCAGGTCAATAGCAAGCCTGGTTCCACGAAACACACTCCACACCTTTCGAGCAAGCCACACGAGAATGCCGCCACGTCACGCTATTTCTCCGAGTCCTCCGCTGTCAAAGTCGCTCAGGGTGTGTCAGGTGACGTCCAAGACAAGGGCAGCGTCGAGGCATTTGTTCCATACCTACACGTCGGTGTTCAGCACAGTCTCCAGGATATCGGCGTTCGCAGTGTTTCAGAGTTGCAGGCAGGTGTGAAAGAGGGTCGTGTTAGATTCGAAGTAAGGACGCCTAGTGCTCAGGTGGAGGGGGGTGTTCATGGTTTGCATTCGTGAGTAATGATGACATCCCATTGCAATGTGTCGCTGATTTTTTCTGCAGGTACACGAAGAGATTGTATGCCTGATACGACGGTTCGCGTATTACCCAACGTGACCAGTATCATACACGTAGGCTCCTGCGTTGTTGCAAAATAAGGGAAAATTGTATATTCATCATTGTTGATTGGAGGAAGCTGTGATCATAGCTGGGCTGTGCATGATCAAGTTCAATGATTCACTCATGGACTACTCCCGCCATCTCCGAGTCGCCAATGCTCGCTACTCATTTGGTGCGCAAGACGTATATTTTACCGTCTCTTACCACCAGAACTTTCGCAATCAATGATAATAGTCACCTCGATGTTCCATCTTTCTTTACAAACTTTGGTATAACATCACCGCGCGTGAATATTGCTACATGGCTTTAGCGGTGGTTCGCAATGAAGGCAGTGTGGCTTCCAAACAGTCCGGGTCGCGGGGGTGTCTTGAAGATGGCCAGGCCTGACATCCGTTGAGATAATGAATGTGGCATTTTTGGATTACAGCTAGTCGGCGCCCACGCACGTAGACGTTATCGATGTTGAACATCACGCATAACGATTATTGAAGTGTCGGATTGAACTTTGTAAGTGGTGCTTTAGCTAACATTACATTAACCCGTTCACGAGCCTGAGGCCCAAAAGCGAACTGTCATGTCGACAGGTAATTAAATGTGAATTGAGGTCAAATAAAATATCGGACAAGTTTTGAACTGCATGACATGTGTAAGTATCTCATTCATCGACATAAGTACTTGTATGTGCCTAGATGTATGGCTGGTAAAAGTGCGCACTGTATCAGCGCTAGCTCAATCGAGAACCACGGTTACGTCTATTGTATTCATATTTACGGGTGGTGAGTGAGCCCGCAAACAGATGTGTCATGAGGATGGTATTATTAAATCCATTAACCGCTTCGTTACTGGACACGACTCTCATTCACTGGCGCCTCGGTGCTGACATCTGAGGCTTACTCAAGGGGTACTCATCTTGATACGAACCTGCAGACTTGTAATCTTCGTTGAGGGGAAGCACGATGCCTGCAACAGAATAGATGATCACAATGGCATACTCCATGAGCATGTCCATTACGAGGTAGATTTGCCATTCGCCCGTCAAAATATTGAATTTTGCCAGGTCGCTAGTGTTGGGCTCGCTAGTTTCGGTTATCGAGAACGAACTCGAAGAGAACGTGGACAGGACGCTGTAGAGCGTCCGAATGGCCAGGAATGGCAGTGCGATGGAGACAGCCTTCAAGAGCTAAAGATAAGGCGTCAGAAAATAAGTCGAATAGATGACGATGCTGCGGAAAACTCACCTGCTTGCGATATCTCAAAACAAAGTGGATTCGTGTCCATAGAAAGATGCAAATGCCGACAAGGATAATGTATAAGACACAAAAGAGGATGGCACCAGCCCTGCGCATGGTGTTTGCACTCGAGCTTGAGCTGGAACTTGACGCTTCGGAGATACCGACGATGACAAGGATGAGAGCGACCGTGCCAAGGAGTTGAAGAAGGCGGAATTGTCTGTTATATCTCGAAAAGCCATCAGGAGTTTGGAACCTATGATAGTGTTCAGCGCATTCCATCTATGATGACAACTGGATCAACTTACATCGAGTGCAACAGACCCAGCGTGCAAAGCAACAGTGGGGATAGGCCAGATGACTCTAAGGCATAGCCGCCGATGTAAAGCGAAGTGTTTGCGGGCGTGATATCCTCAGCTGCGACAAGCAAAGAACCACCCAATACCCGGACTGAAGGTGTAACAAGGTTAAAACTATGACTGCAATAAATTAAACAACTTACTGATGCTGAACACCAACAACAAGACCCAACCATCACCTCGCGACATTCCGTACTTCATCACCAACCTGAGAGAAACGAACAGGAAGGGAATATACATTGCGATGGTCACCGCTGCAAGGATTCCCTGAGAGTTGAGAGCCATGTTTGCTGGAGTCAAAGAAGGAGGAGGGATAAAAGTATGGGAAAAGATGGGATGTTTGCCTGCCTTTTGTAGGAGATCATGGCGGAAAAGAGGCAGTGAGTGATGACCTCTGTGGTGCCCGAGGCGTTGCGTTTAGAAAGGCGCACCTTCTGAATTTGACAGAATGCTGGTATTTCCCTTCCGGCGCAATCGGCACTCCACAAATGAAGTTGCTGATGCTCCAATTCATGAACCGTCTGGACCGGGTTCGGACACTAAACTAACTACTGGGCCCGGTTCATATTTCGTTTGGTTCAACCTATGTTCTCTGTAGTTAGGTTCAATGTTCATAGTTCTCTGACTTTCGTATGAACCGTTTGAACTTGTTTGGACTGTGTTCGAATTGTAAGCCTTGACCTCCGAGAATGAGAGCTGGCTGAGATGTTCCGAATGTAAGATATAATTTTAAAAACTGTACAGTTGTTCAGCCGGACATAATCGCCAGATCAGTATGATTATCACACCTAAATTTGCCATCATGGATGTTCATGAAACATCGCTGAAGATCAATGTGCGCTCAATGCGGATCGCTCGCTCAAGGCGAAATTGATTGCGGTTGAAGGAGGTTATTATCACCCCCTCCACAGTTGAAATGTCGGTTTCGCCTGCTAAATAGGTGTTTAAGCACCTTCGAGAAATACAGTGCCTGCAGGAAGTATGGTAGCGTTACAATAACAGAAGACGATGATTCTGATTCGCCGTAGTGTTGCTCTCAGCCGCAACACTAACACCTGAGGCAGGACGGAATCTGTCTGAAGCACAGATTGGTATCATATCCGCAGAAATATTTTGCATTGGTGATAGGATCTGTACTGCAGTAGTATTGGATATCAAATTTTACATATGTTCGTGATATGACATATAGCCAAATTGGGGAGACAATATCCTAAATCTGATGACATCACATATCTAAACTTTGAAATAAAATCTGTTTTGCTCTAAGATACGTGTCATATATAGAATTTAAGTATGAATATGGTGGCTGATCAATTTTAATTACAAATTTTAAATATGAACCCTATACATATTTGGTATAACAATTTCTTATTGGTCAGTCATCGAACAAATTCAGAATAATACAAACCAGATCTGCACATACAAAATATTATTGTCATAATTTCAATATGAGCATGGATCTGGTGCACAAACAAAGCCTTCCTTTCAAATTCTCAATATTGTGGTCTATATATTCTTCATTTGGAGATAAATCTGGTAGGGAATCAATTTCAACCACAATTTTTACATTTGTGCTCTATTTGTTTAGGTTCAACATCGAACAATAGATGTAAAATATTAGCTTCCAGCCAATCCGGCAATGTCTCTGGTGTAAAGCCTAAGAGCTAGTTCGGTAACCCAAGGTAAAGTAAATTTGCCAACTTCAAGGATGATGTAAGGTCGGCACAGTAGCTTCCGGTTTGGAGACCGACATCGGAGCTTGAACTTCCTTTGATCCCATGTCTAGCTATCACACACCCCAGCATACGACTCAAGATCTATGCAATCGGAACAACATCTGGGCTAGTGTCATATCGATAGTGTTATCAGCTCAAGTCCACATCCTCTCCATGGCTCAGGAGTCATCTCATACTACTACAGAGAGGGCTGTTTGGACCGACACAGAGGTTGATCAGTTTCTCCTCTACCTATCCAACAATCGGGACAAGATCGGTGATGCTGGCAACTTCAAAGATGTGACGTACAATGGCGCTGCAGAGGCTATTGCTGAGTACCTGGAGCATGGTCCAGCGAAGAGTGGGGCAATGTGTAAGACAAAATGGGCGTCAGTAAGTCCTATCAATATATAATTTATTTATAGACTTGATAATAGATTGTGTAGTTAAAGCAGACTTTCAATGCTATTCAGAAGTATCGCCAGCAGTCTGGTGTCCACTGGGACAATATTAGAGGGGCAAATGTCGAGGGTGAGGCTTCAACCTCAGTATGGAATGAATATGTTTCCAAGAAGGTACGTCAAGTTCACTAATGCTATTTCATGCGTCTCACTGTTTGATAATAGGGAAATTCAGTCATGCGCCCTTTTCGTGCATCGGGATGGAGACACTACGAGCAAATGGACGGCATAATACCACGAGGCAGTGGCGCCCGAGGGCGCACAGGGTACCAACCCAATATAGCTCTCCCCCCTCCCTTAAGCTCAAGCTCCAGTCCTAGCGTACCCGCAGGTGAACACAATACCATGATTGGTCCCATTATTGCCACATCTAGTGCTGGTGTTGCTGGTCCTAGCACCGCCCCTGCAGCAGCTGCCCTCACTTCTACACCTGCTTCTCCATCCTTCATGCCTCCTCCTACTTCTCCGTCCTTCATGCCTCCTCCTGCTTCTCCGTCCTTCATGCCTCCTCCTGGCAAACGTTCTCACACCGACATGGAGCTGACCGCCTCATCTGCATCTACCTCAGTTTCTCAAATGCAAATGCCGCCTCCCTCCGAGTCGAGCTCTATCAAAAGAGCGAAGACAGTATCAGGCCGCGCATCAGGCCGTGGATCAGGAGGCCATGCACAGACTCAGGGCGGTTCCACCAAGAACACTAACACGTTGGACACCAAGATATCGAAGGCCACCACAGCTGTAGCCGTGATGGGATTCCAGAGCTCTGTCAATCGCTTGACAGATGTAATTGCTGAGCGCATGGTCTATCCTGAGGATCGGGTAATGGACCAGCGCTCGAGGGCCATGCAGATGTTGCAGGTTGAGGATGCAGAGTTGCCGTTCGCAGAGCGGCTTATAATACAACAGGTTTTTTCTATGGACCCTGCAGCTACTGACATATACACACAGACTGCTGACAAGGAGATGCGCCGTGCTTTTATTCTTTCCACAGCCCAGCGGTTGGGACTTCAACTTCCTGCGCCTGGTAGTTAGTATACTCATGTAAAATGCGCTATTGACACAACATATGATGATAATGCAGTAGTTGAAGCATGGTAATGCAAACATCTTGTGCTTTGATGGCGGCGGATACATGAGAGTCGTGCTACAGTGCTACATATCATTGTCAGAATCTTCAAAGGAGTCATCTAGCAGGCCCCGCTGCTGCAAAACAGTCTGATAATCTTCCCACATGCAGCGCGCAATACGATTGCGCACTTCCTTCATGCCTCCCGCTCCGTCAAACTCCTCCTCATCATCGGGGATCCCTTGGTGCTCCGGGTTGTCGTAATCGAAGTGTTCATTGTCGTCGTCCGGGAGCACGTTGTCGTCAGGGTTGTGAGTCGATATGAAATTGTGAATCGCGCATAGCGCAGCAGGTATACGTGCCTGGATGGTCATAGGATATTCAGGTGAGAGCAACAGAATACGAAAACGGCGTTTTAACACGCCAAAGATCCGCTCAATCACATTTCGAGCGGATGAGTGTCGCAGATTGAAGAGCTCTTCTTTGGTTGTTGGTCTGCAAACATAGAATAGTTATTAAAAAACCTAAAATATAAAATAAATAAAACATACCTAAGATTAGCACGTCCCCATTCAGCCAAATGATAACGGACACTGCGGTAGGGGACTAAGAGCTCGTCACACAAAGGGAATCCCGCATCCGCTAAGAAATATTTGCCGGGAGGGATATACAAACTGCCTGAACGAGCCTCGTCATAGAGGCGTGCGTCTGTGGCGGATCCCTCCCAGCCAGTGAGAGCGTAGGAGAATTTGAGGTTGAAGGTGCAGGCGAATAGACAGTTTTGAGAAATAAAACCTTTGCGATTACGATACGAGGGGCGATCAGATGATGAGGGGCGAGCATGGATGTGGCTGCCGTCGATCGCACCGATAGCGTCCTTGAAGTAAGGCCAGAATTTTGGATTGTTACGGATGTTGCTGGAGATGTCATCGGTGTCGTTGGGAGAACATACGTATGTTGTGTAGAACGGGGGGGACGCAAAGATAAACAAGATCTTCCGGAAATACCTGGAATTATTTGTGAGCTCATCATAAATAACATTAAAAACAAACTTACTTTGAGATGGTGTCGTTTGACCGTTGAAAACGCTCCCCGACATGACGGATCGTTAGCCCTGTAACGCACGTATATAGAAAGATGGCAAGTTGCTCTTCGAGCGAAACGTGGCGTGAGCTAGCATAACCCAAAACACGAAGTTCGGCTATGAGCGCGTGAAAGACATCTGCATGCATGCCAAGTTCGCATCGCATACGATCCGGGTGACCAGTGATGAGTTCCATGACCCATTCTTCACCTGAGAGGGCCGATGTGTGGTATGCCTCAGGTACAGAGTCCTGAAGCAATGAGTGCGTAGCAGTCAGAAGGACACTGACGAGTAGTGCAATGTGACGTAGGATTCGCATATGATTCTGCCGACGGCCTGCAGCTGGCGGCTGAACAGCCTGGGCTTGAGCGAGTTGTTGGAGCAAGGGGTCAATGGTATCCATAATCTATCCCTAAAGCAATGAGCGCGATGGATAACAAGTCCTACTAATATTGATATCATAAGGTTGAAACTCAGCTATCGGCACCTACTGTGCCGGCCTTACATCATCCTTGAAGTTGGCAAATTTACTTTACCTTGGGTTACCGAACTAGCTCTAACAGTGCATTACGTCAATGCAACATGTTTGCATATGTTTGTGCTCACAAAAATGTTTTTTCCATCTTGGCTCGTGCGCATAATCAGACTGGTCACGAGTCTAACAACCAGCAGCATAAGTTTGAGAGTGGCCTTGCCAGTCTTTACATCCCAGATTTTGTCCGGGTGCACCCTGGTATCAGCAATCGTGAAGGTGCTTCCAGCAGTCGCGAACATGGTCATGTCCGGTGAGTAGACAACTGCCTCTACCTCGTGCCCAGTCTCGATTGGACACCGTTTTCCGGCCGCATCTCGACCCCAACATCACTGCTTTTGTATGCCCCGCCTGTCTCGCGATGACTTTGCATGTCCCAACCTCATTTTACTATCATCACTTCCGCTAAGCACTTGCTTCCCGTCCGGATATAACGCTATGGTCTGTACTTCACTATTCCCGTCCCGCAAGTCGTCTCCTATCTTTTCCCCACTCTTCATGTTTCATACCCGAAGTGAGCCATCTCTTGAACGGGTCATCATTCGTTATCCACGTGGCAAATTTATAGCGTCCTGGACCCATTCAGTGTGTCCTTCAAATTTCTGGCGGGGCTTTATCATAATTGTTTCCTGCCTTCCTTCGATGGGTGAAGACACAATCAACTATTGGGCGCAGCTCCGTCTCAGCTTTCATCTCATAACAAAGTTCAACTCATCACTTACGACTGATGTTTCTGAGGAGATCTCAGTGTTGGTGTACCAAGACACAATGAGCGTTTGCCAAAGGTGGAGTCAGAGTTAAGTACACTGGAGGTTCGAGCTACGTTTTGCATGTGACATCCTCATGATCGTGTTTACTGCCTGGCCAATCATATCATATTCCAAAATTGGGCCTCAGATCATCCATATCTGCCTCTCACCAGCCAACTGCTCCACGAGCTCGTCATCTCCGAGTCGCGAATGCTCGTGCGTAAGATGTACATTCTACTGTATGAGGAGATGTGCTGAACCCTATTTAGCTACATGCTACTTCACGGATTTAGCCCATGTTGGTATCTCCTGTAACGGATCATGGCACAACGATCAAACCGATAATGCGTTCGCACTCCGCATCAAGCCTTCAACGTTGTCAACTCGAAATAACCTGCAGAATTCCGAACTAGCCGCAACCAGAATGGGCCAGAATCTCGCTCATGCGCATCTGACCTCCTTCTATTGGGCACACCCAACAACACCCAATGGGAAGCTGGCTCCGTGCAATGTCTATCAAACCTCATAATCCTTGATCACCACGACCAACTGTCAGTTCAATTGACATCGTTACGCTCAAACGCCCTATCATTGATGCATCCATACATAGACTCGGATACAGACCCATACACAGAGATCCGCAATACCCACACATAAGCTATGTTTACTTGCGGGAACATCAGAGGAACTTCTCACTAATTGACATCGACATGTAAAATGCAAGATACGCTTGTGGTTGTTTGATAGGCTGGGTTCCCACGCACTTAACTGACATGGGCGTTGGCTGATATGACTGGCTGTCGCGGGTGCAGGCGAGGACGACGCTCAAAGCTCGTTGAGTCAATGAACTGATGAGTTCTCGCTATCAATCATGCTAATTACGGTGCTTTCACATGGTCATATGTTGTTTTCATTCGTTACCTATCTTCGGCTGATGAATCGATGATGGAGCAGTGACCGGGTCAGTCTCTAAGCTGTCTTCGGTCGGTCGAACTTGAGTGGGATCAAGGTTTTCGTTAGAAAGTCATATAAAGCCATGTATAACGTCGAAAAACCACCGCAATCAACGTAAAGCACCCTGAGGAGACTCACGAGTTCTCTGACGGAAGCTTTGAAGGGGAGCAGTATATCCAACGAGTTAGTACATGATCGAGCAGGCGTAGTGACCTGGCTCGTGTCCGAGTCTCCGACCACATCGCCCATAGCCTAGTAGCTTGTCGAGCCACTGCTGCTGAATGACGTGTGTGGCGTCATCTCGTCCCTGCCGAAAAACATGTGCCCTACAGGGTACCGTATACAGTTCGTCTGCATCTCCAAAAGCCTAGTAAAGTCCGCAGTGACTCGGAAGCTGAACGAGATGCGAGGAAGTAGGCTCGGAAACTGTGCCGAACATTGTTTGGATTACCTAGCGTCATAGGAGCCTAAAAACCGACGACTTGTCTGTGCCAGTTGTTTGCACTGCCAACTTGGAGGCTGTTCAGCCACTGTACAGTTATTTTGGTTGTGTGTCGGTGCATTTACGATCAGATATAAGGAACTATGTTGCAATCCAATCCAGCTAACATCATATCGATAGCCAGAATCCATTTTTGTTCATTCACCGCTTTTGTTTAGTTGTGGAGCTGGCCAAAAAAAAGGGTCCTGCCTTAGGCTGCCTATTACGATACTTCGTCGGAGCAAGGGAGCAGAGTGTCGAAATTTGAAGGAGCATCAATGAGTATTAATACCAATGTCTAACACTAGCTGTACAGTAGATGTCAAGTAACAATTATTGTAGCTGTATTCTGACTGTGAGACGAGAGAGCCGAAGAACTCCGTTGATAGTTTGGCGGTTTGTATTGTACTTGGATTACATTTGCGCAGAAATAGTGACCCATTATTGCTTCATGGCTGCTGGAATGTGACGGCGGTTTCCAACGCACGGTGAGAATGGTGTCCAAAGACAGTGTCGAATGAGAGCGCAGTCCAGTATTCTGGCCTAAGGCAGGACCCTTAAAGTTGTTTGGCCAGCTCCACAACTAAACAAAAGACAAAAATGGATTCTGGCCTATCGATATGATGCTAGCTGTCATATTGTGCGCGCCGCAACTCATGGATCATGGACCGTACAATGTAGTGCTATTCCTGTGCAATCGGCACTTTAACAAAACTCGTTTTTCTACCTACTTGCACAAAAGTTTTTGACAGAGGTTATAACGTTAAACGTTAAACAATCACAATTGAAGGAGGTGCCAAAGTCACGCAGAAATGTGACTTGGTGCCGTGACGGAGTTTCAATACTTGGGAAGTGTTGCGCACGGCCTGGCAGCACTCGCTATCAGTTCTGCACTACTAATAGGCCTCCATCACAATCTATTTTGATCATCGAACTTACATGCGTGCGGACAACATACATACAATGTACGTGCTCCGGGTCTCAGCATCCGAGTCACCTACAGCACCAATGGTCACCCTCGTACTTGTAGACATGTCTACTAGTGAACACCGTACGTACTGAATGTTGAATCCGTTCTTGCGTCGTCGGTCGAGCTCAGTGACCTTATATCATGTGACATGCTGTACAGTGACATTGTCGACCTCAGAAGGGATAGTACCCGGTTGTCCTGCCAGCCACATCACGGTTAACCTAATGATCGGCTGTGATTAAGGACCGACAATACTGGATACGGTGCGCAGTATTACTCCAACTTTCCGTGCAGTACGAAGTTCGGAATCTGCATCCGCTTCAACTTTGCTTCCGATATCACAGCCTCTCGCAGCCGCTAGCCTTCTGTCAAATCCAAGGAAGTTTACCTTTTTGGAGATGAATACAACGAGGCAGCATAGGGAGCGCCCACTGCCCGCTGTCCAACTGATTCCGCTATGATTTCATACAAAAGGCAGACAAGTCTGACAACTACTATCCCATCATTTTCCATATTCAATTTCTTCTTCCTCCTTCCTCAATTTCAGTTTCTCAGGAGAAATGGCTCTCGACACTCAGGGCATCCTTGCAGCGGTGACCATCGCAATGTATATTCCCTTCCTATTCGTTTCCATCAGGTTGGTGATGAAATACGGAATGTCGCGAGGTGATGGTTGGGTCTTGTTGTTGGTATTTAGCATCAGTAAGTTGTTTAATTTATCGCAGTTATAGTTTTAACCCTGTTATACCTTCAGTCCGAGTATTGGGAGGTGCTTTGCTTGTTGCAGCTGAGGATATCACACCCGCAAACATTGGACTTTACATCGGCGGCTATGCCCTAGAGTCATCTGGCCTATCTCCACTGTTGCTCTGCACGCTGGGTCTGTTGCACTCGATGTAAGTTCATCCAGTTGTCATCGTAGATGGAATGCGTCGAACACTATTATAGGTACCAAACCCCCGATGGCTTTTCGAGATATAACAGACAATTTCGCCTTCTTCAGATCCTCGGCATGATCGCTCTCATCCTTACCATCACCGGCATCTCCAATGAGACAAGTTCCAGTTCAAGCTCGACTTGGAATACCATGCGCAGGGTTGGTGTCATCCTCTTTTGCGCCCTATACATCATCCTTGTCGGCATTTGCGTCCACGTATGGACCCAAGTTGGCTTTGTCATGAGATACCGCAAGCAGGTGAGCTTTCCGGAGCGCCATCATCTGTTCGACTTATTTTCTTACGCCTTATCTTTAGCTCTTGAAGGCCATCTCTATCGCACTTCCATTCCTGGCCATTCGGACGCTCTACAGCGTCTTGTCCACGTTCTCTTCGGATTCGTTCTCGATAACCGGAACCACCGAGTCCAACACCAGCGATCTGGCAAAATTCAATGTTTTGACGGGCGAATGGCAAATTTACCTCGTAATGGACATGCTCATGGAGTACGCCGTTGTGATCATCTATGCTGTTGCAGGCATCATGCTTCCCCTCAACGAAGATTACAAGCCTGCAGATTCGTATCAAGATGAGTACCTTTTGAGTAGGCCTCAGATGTGAGCACCGAGACGCCAGTGAATGAGAGTCATGTCCGGTTACGAAGCGGAATGTCAGTTTAATGGACCTAATGATACCATTTCCATAATTCGTCTGTCTACAAGGTTACCTACCGCTCGTAGATATATTTATAAGTCTTTTATTTAACGGTGTAGTGGTGTAGTGTTGATTCATATCATGATCTGGATCTATGATGATGTCATTGCCTCTGAGGGAGTAGGGACACTGAAAACAAAGAGCGAAGATCCTCAAGACATCAATGCATCATTACCAAGTTGACTGACATTGGCCTGGCAAATAACTCACTGACAGAAATGGATGTCCGAGTCCGATCGAAATCTGACGGTGCGCATCATGTCCTTATAAAACACGTTACACAGTAAATAACCATGTCGATAATGAAGCTGGAGCCCAGACATCTACCATCTTCCATATGTAAGAACTAAACGTTCCATGAAAGCAATTCGTGTGATTATTATGTGCGGGTTCCACATGAGGTCGCCATACTTGCATCAAGAGATAACACATAGGAAGTCAGAAAATTGTGCTAAAAATTAATGACCACTCGTCAGTATACTTAGGAGAGGCACGACAGGTAAAAAGCCAGAAGCAAATCTAGCGTGCAGGGTATTTTATCGTAACACATATGAGGAGTAGCGCTCGAAGTTGTATCACCGACGACGGGAGGCGCCATAGAGACAGCAGCATGCGATTGCGAAGACGACTGCGTTTGAGCTGTGCCTTTAGATTGCTGGGTGGCAGTGTTATTGGAAGGGCGTGAACTACCTGCAGTAGCGTTTGTCCGGAAATTGGCTTCCATCTCTCTCTTGTTGAAATATTCCTCTGTGAGGTGAGATATAGTTCAAAGGAGACGATGATACAAGGATGAATGGAACATTCGATGTCAATGCCTCTGAGCCCTGAGGGAGTAGGAGGGAGACTGAAAACAAATGCCGAAGGCCTTCAGGACATCAATCCTAGGTTGAGTGGGGGGACGGAGTAGCTCAATGACAGAAATATACATCTGAGTCCGACCGAAATTCGACGTCGCACATCATGTCCTTGTAAACATGTAACAAGTAAGCATGCCGATAATGAAGTTTAGAAACCAGATCTACCATGTGTAAGGACGAAACGTTCCGTGGAAGCAAATCGCGTGACTCCACCACCTACTATTTATATGAACGGACGAAACGTTTCGTAGAAGCAATCCTATGTGCGAGGCTCCACGTGAGATCCCGATAATTACATCAAACATGCGATAAATAACGGTATACCTCTATTGTATATGTTCGAGGAATAAGATAACATATGGGACGTGAGAGATCGTGGTAAAAGATTAATGATGGCCGTGGGTATACTCAGGGCAGGTGCAACAGATAGAGTGCCAGAACCGAGTCCAACACCCTATGCTTTTTATCTTTGCATGAGGATTAATGTTCGAAGTTGTACTAGCAACGACGGGAGGTGCGGTAGAGGTAGAGACGGCAAGATGGGGTTGCGAAGATGACTGGATTTGAGCTGCGCTGCTGGATTTCTGCGTGGAACCTTGAGGTACTCCAGTGGAGACTCCGTCAATTGTTTGACAGACAGGAGTCACAGGACGTTGTGTAGCTTCAGCCTAGAATATATGAGCTTGCTTTTTTTAGGTGCAATGAGAACAATTTCGTACAGAGAGCACCGACTCGTCGTGTTGGTCCAAAGGAAGGTCGTTGAGACCAGCATCTCTTACTATTGCAGAAATATCCCATGTATATGCGTTATGGTTATCGCAGCCAGTGGCTAGTAGCTTTCCATCTGCTGAAAAGGACACGCGGTTCACGAAATTCGCATGGTGGAAGGGTGAACTGATGGACTGGCCGTTGTTGAGATTCCACAATCGTGCTGTGTTATCGTATGACGCGCTTGCGAGGATGCGGCCATTTGGAGATATTGCAATGCCATAGACAGCGTTGCTGTGCCCATCGAGCACAGCGAGCTGCGTCCAGGTTGTTGTATTCCATGTCCTAATCGAGGAATCGACTGACCCGGAAATAAGCGTTTTTCCATCCGGGGTCCAAGCCAGGCAAAACACCCAATCTGTATGTCCGTTGAGAGTTGCGACAAGCGAGCTTGTCTTCGCATCCCAGATTTTCACTGGGTGTTCGGTATCAGAAACCGAGAAGGTGCCTCCTCCAGTCGCGAACATGCTCATGTCTGGTGAGTAGACAACTGCCTCTACGTGTTCGTGCCCAGTTTCAATTGGACCGAGGATCGTCTCTCCGTTCTCCACGTCCCACTGCCTTGCAGTCCCATCATAGGATCCGCTCACCATTCGCTGACCATCTCGACTCCAGCACACAGACCACACCGCCTTTGTATGTCCCATCCATTTCGCGATGACTTTACCTGTGTCGATATCCCACAACTTCACTGCGCCATCTACACTCCCGCCGCTAACCACTCTCATCCCATCCGGAGACAACGCTATCGTTCGCACTTCACTATCTCCATCCCGCCAGTCGTCTCCTATCTGTTTCCCACTCTTCAGGTTCCATACCCGCAGCGAGCCGTCGCTTGAACAAGTCAGCATCCGCTGTCCGTCTGGTAGATGTATGGCCCCAGTCACCCAACCCGTGTGTCCTTCGAATTTCTGGCTGGGCGTCATATTCGATGCCTCCTGTATTCCAATGATGGATGAAGACATGATCTTCAGGATCGACTACCGAGTGCATCGCTATTTCAGCTTTCATCCTACAAAGTCCAAAATCACCACTTACTATGATATGTTTGGACACCCAGACACGATGGGAGTTTGGGTCAGGTCAGCTGGTACATTCACATGTGACATCCCTGTGATTATTTCACAGCTAGTATTATAGGCTGTGCAGCTGAAGCGCCCAAACTCCATTTATGACCCTGACTCTTATTTAGGTTTTTCACTCAAACTCGGTTTCACCTTCACTAAGCGGTCCTGCGTGACGTCTTTCACTAATCTGCTTTGCACCTTTGCGACATCTGACCCCTCGTACGACGCTAGACGATTTCGCGGTCTCTGTTTACCGAGCTGATTGTAGTGTTCATATTTCACAACTGCTGTATCTGTGTCCTCGATGAGTGGGTTTACGTAACTTTCACAAAGCCTTCGTCACTAGTAAACCCTCGGTATTCTACATCACCGCCATCCTCCGTAATCGCTAGATGGACACGAGTTTCGAGTCACTCTTTGATCATTGCCACCGTCTCAGAGTCCATGTCAAGAATCCGAGTATGTCCTGAGGGCTGGCAGCTCTTCCGACCGGAAAAGTGGCAAGCTGACAGAAAAATGCTCCACAAATATTGACAAGATCTCTGGCTCGAGGATTGCCCATGGGTTTTCGCTATCCTTCGACACAATAACGAAATCTGGTCTATAAAAATAGCTTTGACACCCTCAATGCCCATAAGATGGATGGCAAGTAGAGATTTCACTCGGACGCACTGTAAGAGTCGGAGAGCACCTTCGCCAATCACATGAGGTGGCGATTCACGACGATCTTTAACTCTGCGGGATCGAACGGCGAGTGATGGGTATGGAACAACAAACAGGATTTGGAGACCGCTCCGTTGGTGATCTCTTGCAGGCTCGCGGTTATATAGACCAACATGGGCAGCTCGTAATCAGATTCATTCAGTATGGATGATGCAATGTAGGAAGAGTATATCCATTTCGGTTGCCTTCGCCTTTGAAGGGCTTCCGTTCGAACTGTTCTAACAAGTAAAGATATAAGTTAGCCATTCGAGTCAGCAGTATATGACACGGATAAGTAGAATGAAAATTTGTGTGAAAGAGCAGTTGGTGGCTTGGTGCGTGAGCGCCGTCATCAGGGAAAACCTCCTTCACGAAATCAAGGTAATTTCAGAGAATTCCTCTGAATTCCGCTGAAATAAAAGTAAACGAGATTATTCAACTCCAGTCGAAATTCCTTTGAATTCCTTTGAAATCCTTTGAATTTGCTGATTGATTATCTTGAATTATCTTGAATTCAAACAATGTGAAGACACACGAACATCAAATATATTAGAATTAAACGAGAATATCACAACCGAAAGACGGCAAAAAGATCAGCAGACTCGAAAAAGCACCAGTATGTACAAATGACTCGGAAGGTTGATTAATCTTCACCCATTGCATCAAGATCAAGGTAATCACAAGCGGCGTCCAATGAACCAGCGGGCTCTGAGCTTTCTACTGCACTAATGTTGAATTAGTTAGAGTACACGACGATAACAAATAGCGCGTGAGCAAGACATACCTGACTGCCTTGTAGAGACGCGCCATCAGTACATGGTACTTCTTTCGACTACCGTTAAAGATGCGTGTGAGAGTCGCTTGGTGAGCATTGTAAACACTGATGTGGAAGGAGGAATTGAATGATTTGACTTGTGCGCCTGAGGGTGGGTTCCCGCTGCTCCAATCCTTCAATATCGAGTAAATCTGCAGAGAACATTATGTAGTGAGCAAACAGAGTAAACATTATCAAGAGCGGCACCTACAAGCGTTGCAATCAAACACACCATAGCAACAGGTAGCTCGGGCTCGTTGTTTCCATCCAAGACCGAGACAAAATCGTCACAGGACTGGACACCAATTGAGTTCTCACCATCGAAAAAAGATAAACGGATGGAGTCAACCATAGACTCGTCACAAAACGGTTGGTCCCCAAGGACCTTACCCTGGGTGGTGGATAAGAATAAGATAAATGAAGAGATAGATAACGAAAAAATGAACAGACCTTGGCGTCGGTTGGGAAAATATACTTGTGACCCTTGATGAGGTCGTCTACCTCGTCACCGCAGCCTTTCTTGAGTCCAAAACGAGAGACCACAATTTGATGCGCGAGTTTCTTGAGATTAGTACGGAAGGAACTAAGCCGTCCCTCCGGCTTGTGAGGATGTCAGTGATGTCCAGTAACATACAAGAAGTGTACATACCACTCCAGCGAGAGCCACCGCATAATCAAAGTCATGCTTGATCCTCTTTGCTATCGCATATTCCTTATGCTTCCCGGCAGCATTATAAACTGCATCGAGAGCCATCTTGCGCTTCTGAGTGATGTTGGGAAATGCGTTGTCGAAGATAGAGGCTTTCTTGAGTTCAAAGACGGCAGTCTTCAACACCTGCTGAATCCGAGTATTCTGAGCCTTGAGGTTGATCGAGCTATCGGCTGAGTAGACTAGATCTGTGAATATAGGCCATGTAAAGGAGTGTTCAGACAACTCCTTATCGGCGGAGGCTGGCAGTGCCTCGTCTGTTAGCTGCCGCGACTCTGCGAATTTGGGCCTCTAGAAAACAGTATATTCATTAGTAAGACAGAGTGATGGGAGCGTAGTAGAGTAGAACACATCACCTCAATTTCTTGACGTGCTTCTGCTACTTTGCTCCTTTTCTTCTTCTTCTTCTTGCTTGGCTGTGGTTTCGAGTTGGTGAGTGATGAAGGCTCGCGGTAATCATAACTTGCCTTGGAACGTTGACTGTCACTGCGGTCACTGGCAGACTCCGTGTCTTTGTCAGCAAACTGCAACTCTGACTCAGACTCGTCAGAAACCCCGCTAGATGTCATCCGAACACTATTCGACAATGTTTTGCTGGTTTGCGATAGTGCGCTGGCAGATCTAGCTGCACGAGGAGGCATCATGTAGGGAATCTTAAATAAAAGGTGCGTCATTTTTTTCATCATTCTCAACTTTGGGTAGCTAAGTGACGACTCACCTCTTTAATCAGTTCCTTCTGGGAGGGTACTAAGTCCTCATCATCGTCTTCTGGAACCTCCGCATTATCGTCCGATTTGTCGGTGTCATGATCACTCTCTCCGTATTCACTGACAGAGTCGTTATCTTCGATTGACACTGCGACTGACTTTGGCAGCTTGCTGTTTTTCTTATCGCGGCCTTGACTTTGACCATGACCGTTGACTTGATCCGCTGTTGAGTATCTCTCATACTGATCTGTTAAGCAACTACTAACCATTGTCTAACTTTTCTGCAGGTGTCTTTCGCGCTAACTTGGCGGCTGGTACTGATTGTAGCGCAGTTACTGTGGGTGCGCGCTTACGAGTATTGGTCGTTGTCTCATTCTTTCGCGCTAACTTGGCGGCTGGTACTGATTGTAGCGCAGTTACTGTGGGTGCGCGCTTACGAGTATTGGTCGTTGTCTCATTCCAGACTGAAACAAGGTGTGTCAATGACTGCTTTCTCCAATTGCCTGTACTAACTTTTTCGCTCTAAGGCCTTTACTTTGGATGACCGCTGCAGTGGTTCTTGGTGATGACTGTGAGTCCATCGCATTTTTCTTGGCCTATGGATGTACTCACTCTCTTCTGTATTGCCGGTTTTTTTGCCAGTGGAATCTTGACTTGCCACCTGGGCCTTTCTTTGGGCGTTCCGCTTGTGGGCGGCTATATCTGACGGCGTTGAAGACAGATGGGGACTCGGAGGCATACTACTAGTAGTGTTTGCTTCAGCTGAAGTTGGGAAGGGAAAGGTTGAGACGGTTATGAAAACTTATTGGTGGCCACTCTCATTTTCAGGTCTGTTTTTTTACTGTGCTGTGCCAGCGCTAGGGTCGTTGGTTTTTTTTTCATCTAACGTGTGGTTACAGAAATGGCTAAAACAAGCAGAGCGTCTACTAGCAGAATTTCAAGCTGCAACCGTCAACTTGAATGGTGCTCCCTCTCCTCCCCTCTCAGGTTCAGCTCGCCGCATCATCAAAGAAGCTGAGGCACGTGTAGCCCATGCTGATGGACAGAGAGTCCAGGCAGAAGCATGTACTGCCAGGCAACAAATCCAACTCGGTTCACAGTGTGCCACCATCATTTTAGTACGTTTGTTTGTTGCCGTGCTGTCACCGTAATCTAACCTGTTCTGAAATATCAAGTAAATTCGTGTTGTGTGGCCGCGTCTTCGTACCCTTCCATGCTAAGGAAGGGAGCCTGTACCTTTTTGAAACAACCGCGTCTTCGTACCCTTCCATGCTAAGGAAGGGAGCCTATACCTTTTTGAAACAACCGCGTCTTTGGCCGCGTCTTCGTACCCTTCCATGCTAAGGAAGGGAGCCTGTACCTTTTTGAAACCTGTACTGCCAGGCAACAAATCAAACTCGGTTCACAGTGTGTGAATCTTCACACTGGATAGCACGCTGTAAGGTTTGCACCGTCTCTCTACTACCCATCACTACCTACCTACCTACCACCACTACCTACCGCCTGTTTTGTTGCCAACAAAATGATCACTTGCCCAGGTTGCACCAAAAACTTCGAGCACGCTGGATACTCCCATCACCTAGCCAAGACCACGAATCCATCATGCGCAGCCCTATTACAACATTCTGGTCTTTTTCCTCAGTCAGAGCCTGAGGTTGAGAATTCTGACGGTCTTGATGATGGAGATGACAATGTTGATCCTCGTCATCTAACGGAATTTACAGGAGACTATTTTGGCCACTACAACGAACAAGATCTGGAATGGCCAGATGATAATGACGAAGTTGCAGCGGCGGAGCCTCCTTTGGATTCTGATGGCGAGGAAGAGGATCACAATGCAGAGGTTGAGGTTGAGAATGGGTGGGAACGCCCTGCAGATCCTGTACCGCAGGATATCGACGTTGATGTTTTTGAGGAGTCAGATATGTTGCCACAATCACATGCAGCCGAACGACAAGAAGCGGAGAAAGCCCTTGGTCGCCAGCCCACTATTGAGAAATTTCCGCGGCGCCATGCAGGTGCTCCAATACTTAACTCTGGCACTACCGCTTTCGAGTCTTATAACAATGCTCTGCAAGGCGCAGACAATGTTTGGGCTCCCTTCGCATCTCGCATAGACTACGAGGTTGCAAAGTGGGCAAAACTTCGTGGATCGGGCTCAACTGCTTTTTCAGAGCTGCTTGCAGTCGAAGGGGTGAGTCTTCATTTTCTTGGGTCATGAATGGGCCAACTTTTTAACTACGTTTCTATAGCTTCATGATGCCTTAGGTCTTTCGTATCGAAACACCCGTGAACTCAATCAAATCATTGACCGACACTTACCATGCCGACGACCTCGTTTCAAACGTGAAGAAATCATTGTTGCAGACGAAGCATTTGACGTGTACTCGCGTGACGTCATGGAGTGCGTCAAAGCCCTTTATTCAGATCCGGATTTCTCGCAACACCTCAACTACACTCCCGAACGCCATTATGTCGATGCTGACAAAACAATCCGAATGTATCATGATATGCATACAGGAAAGTGGTGGTGGTCCACGCAGGCGAGTCTTTTGAAAAACGTTCTGATTCATATTGAACTTACCACAATATCATTTAGAAAGAACTCGAAGCAGAGAAACCTGGCGCAACAGTCATACCCATCATCCTTTCCTCCGACAAGACGCAGGTCACCATGTTTAGGAACAAATCTGCCTATCCTGTCTATATGACAATAGGCAACATTCCGAAGGAGATCCGTCGAAAGCCATCTCGACGGGCGTGGATTCTCCTGGCCTATCTACCAACCTCAAAACTCGAACATATCACAAACAAGGCTGCGAGGCGCCGAACGGCCACAAATTTATTTCATGCTTGTGTGCGTCACATTCTGGAGCCTCTGAGAGTCCCCGGCAAGGATGGTGTTGCTATGGCTAGTGGGGATGGAGTTGTGCGTCGAGGACATCCGATTGTCGCATGTTATTCCGCCGATTACCCGGAACAGTTGTTGACAACTGGGATAAAATCTGGAGAATGCCCAAAATGCGATGTCCCGCATGAGGAGTTGGGAAGTCCTGATGTTCCTGTCAAGCTGCGAGACCTCGAGGCAATTGTCGCTGCATTGTCGCTCGTTGATGAGGACTATGACTTGTGGAGACAAGCATGCCAGGAGCGCGGCATTAAGCCCATCTACAAACCATTCTGGCTGGATCTCCCGCATGCTAATATATTCCAATCCATCACGCCGGACGTGTTACATCAACTCTACCAGGGTATTGTAAAGCACCTCATCGAGTGGATCAAGGAGGCATATAGCGAAGCCGAAATTGATGCTCGTTGTCGTAGACTTCCCCCAAACCATAATATCCGATTGTTTCTCAAGGGTATCAGTAATCTCTCGCGTGTTAGTGGAACGGAGCACAATCAAATCTGTCGCTTCCTGCTCGGCATTGTCATTGGCATACGGTTGCCTGGAAATCTCAACAATGCTCGCCTTACTCGTGCTGTTCGTGCCATCCTTGATTTCCTGTACCTTGCGCAATACCCTTGTCATACGGACGAAACACTGGCACTTCTCGATGATGCCTTAACACGCTTTCACGACAATAAGGACATCTTCCTTGATCTTGGAATCCGCTCGAATTTCAACCTTCCGAAGCTTCACGGCTTCCGTCACTATGTACATATGATAAAAACGTATGGTACAACTGACAACTACAACACCGAGTACACAGAACGTTTACACATCGACCTCACGAAGGATGCCTATAGGGCTACCAACCATAAAGACGAGTACACTCAAATGACACTCTGGCTCGAAAGACGGGAGAAGATTCTATGGCACGACAACTTTGTCCAATGGCGTCTCGTTGGTGATATTGCCCCGCAAGAAATCATACCTCCAGACATGGATTATCGTCGCGCAATCAAGATGACTAAACACCCGACCATCAAGCGTGTCCAGTTGGACCGCATTGTGCGGGAGTATGGCGCCACATTTTTCACTGAAGCTTTGGCTCGTTACGTCGTCGGGAGAAATCAACCTGGTTTGTCTGCAGCACAACTCGAACGCGAGGCCGCTCACATCATTATTCCCTTTGATACTGTGGCTACGTTCCACAGGATCAAATTCAACTCAATCAATGCTCGGGGGATCCAGGACTCGAGTGTCACCGTGGATTCTGTCCATTGTCAACCATCACAAGAGGACAAGCGAGGGCATATGATCCCCGCGCGTTTTGACACAGTTTTGGTCAACGAAGGGGACGGCGGGACAACAGGCGTGGATGGTGCGTTTTGTATGGTGCATTGAACATGTTAGTCACTAATCTCACTCGATCACTGAAGGTTACCGTGTTGCGCAAGTCCGTGTCGTCTTTACGCTAACAAATCAAGCTTCAAATGTGTTATTCCGCGCTGGACCTGCACAACCACCCACCCACCTTGCCTATGTGGAATGGTTCACTCCATTCCAGCAACCGGAATCACACCATGGGTTGTACAAAGTTGCCCGCTTGATTCGTCATGGAGAACGTCTGGCAAGCATCATTGAGATATCAGATATCTGTAGGAGCATTCATCTTATACCTAATTTCGGCGTAGCGGCACCTCGTGAGTGGACGAGTAGCACTGTTCTGGAGTGCTGTTCCACCTTCTTTGTAAACCCCTTCAGTGACCGACATGCTTATTTAACACTTGTCTGAGCATTACAATGAAATTTGTTGAAATACCTTTGAATACAAATAATTTACCGAATTCTCAGTATTTTCATGCGAGTTTGTGAAATTACCTTGATTTTGTGAAGGAGGTTTTCCCTGATGCGTTACGATTGTCGAGAAAAGACAAATCTACAACATCAACCTAAGTAGAACTAGGTTGATGACATACAAGGCCTAGTCTTGAATGAGTGCAAGACATCACTTACCTTTCACGTATCATGTAAAACTGCTGTTTGACATTGCAATGTAATAGGCCAGGAAGCTTATTGCTTCATTCTTATCGTTCCTGATACAATTGTCCAACGGGAAGGTCGAGTTTATGAACTGTTCGCAGAGAACGCACGGCGTTGTTGTAAGTTTCAGACTGATTGTTGAATATGGCCAGTGACATCATACGACAGTCCATCTCGCGCGGGACATCACAGGCCACAACTAAGTACATCGTAGAGTCACAGTCATTGAAAGCCCCCCTCCAACCATGGCCAAGCTTGGCCGAAAGTTCCGAAGAGTCTGGAATTTAGATAGGAAGCAAAGCGCAAAGAAATTATTCTGTAAACAAAAGCTGTAGTCGGTGACCGACGGCGCTGTAACACCCCTTACGGACCACCTTTATCGTACAGCTGAAAAGTGATAAGTCATGTATCAGAAAAAGGTAGAAAGAAACAACAGTACCTTTCTTCTACCTTCTCTATTCAACGTCCTCACACCGCTCATCAGTCAAAGTAATTAGGTTCGTCAGGGTCGTCAGGATCGTCAGGACCTTTGAACTTAGGAGGGTTACTAATGTCGTCAGGCGTCCTAGCGTTCAAATAGTGAGTGAGGTCAAAGTCAAGCCCCTCGCGTCTAGCCAAAGCTGCCAAGCATATCAGTATCACTCTCACTAATTAGATTGACGCATGAATCTCACAAGTACGTTTCGTCCCTAAGTTTGGTGTGGGATATGCCGCAACAATAGCGACAAAGGACACAAGTGTCGTGAAAATGAATGAGAGCTGCATGATCGTAATCGAAGGGGGTGACCACTTGTCGATGTGTCAAATTCGCGAGGGTTTTTATACTTGCGCGGCCCTCGAATCGTCCGATGAAATAATGGGGCCACCGCAGTTTAATAATACCGACATACCGTAAGAACTTTAGTAAGTCAGGATATCTGAGGCCATAATCATCATCTAAAAAACCGACTCGGTGGAAATATAGTTTGAAACTCTTGTAAGACTCTCGCGAGAGTTGCCGTTTTGGTTAGCACGAAATCTACTAGATTTCGTTCGTAAATACCTGGTTTTGGTTATGTTTGAACCCTGAGCCAAGTTTCACACATTTAGATGTGGGATTTGAAGATTATCAATGCGATGTGAGATTATCAGTACAATAAATGCGTTATCCAGTATTACTAGTACAATCGAAAACTACTATCTGATAGAATCTACGAGGGTGCCTGCGATGGTCAATCACTAACACGTACCGCAAAAAGTTGTGAAACTGTACTCGCTCGTCCCCGGAAAGGTTGTTCATCGCACTGAGGATATATAGGAACTTGCGATTGGATCCCATTCCTCCAAAACTATCCACTTTCACCTGGACTTCGAACTGTTCGTTGAGGCTGCAGAACGTCGCTGCGCCGGCGAGTGCCCACATGAACTTCAGATTTTCGATTTGCTGTTCCTCAGTCTCGCCGAGGAACTCTTGGTGCAACCCCTGCCAAACAAAACGGATAACGTTGCACATGATGAACACATTCTGGAATTTAGCTTTGATTTCGACCTGTCCGTTCTGAAAAGATTGAGCTGCCCCCGACAACACACACGAACGAAAACTTACTTGATCGAAGCTATAAACGTGCATGAAAGCGAGACCATCTCCATCTTGTGTGATCTTTTCGATCAAGCGTTTGCGATAGGTGATAGCGGGTACGGCAATGTGCAGTGGAGGGAAAAGCCGATACGCATGGAACACGCCCTTGCGCGCGTATTCAGCAAATTTGCCGCGAGTTGACGACAACGCATTCGCAACATCCTTACGATGTTTATTTGAGATAAAATCCTCAAATGTTGCTAATAAAACAAGTCAGTATGATGTTAATGGACATATGATACTCACCATTGGGCGCAAAGCAGCGTGGTACCGAGTCCCAGATGACCTTGTTCAGCATGATTTTCTTGGTGGCTTTGTCAATCGCCATCGCCTGTTCTCCAAATAACTCGCGCGTGACCAAATGCGTTGCCGTTTTCATGGACTGGCCAATGATATCATCCGATAGTTTGATGCGCGTGGGTTGAGGTGTTGACGACGTTACAGATTGCGAAGTTGAATCTTCGACTGCCGATGGTAGAGATTGGGTGTTGCCCTGCGGGCGTATGGCAGGGTACGGAACCATCCGTGGCGTAGGTGGCATTGCACGTCGGGCTCGCCTCGTTGTTTCCCTTGGCGGGCCCATCGTCTAAGTGAGTGGTAAGCAGGAAACGAATTGAAGAAGAAAAAGAACTTACGTGCATCACATCGGTTGGCGGAATCTCACCTCGCTGGATCAGCGTCATCTCCGACGCGCTCATGCTGGTACCGGTACCTTGAAGGGGGGTACTTGAAGGGAAGTCGTGGTTGGAGCCTTGAGGTAAGGGTCCGTAAGAAGAGCCCTGGGAGGGGCCCTCCGAGGACGAAGCGCCGTAGTATTGGCCGTGAGGGAAGCGGCCGTCGAAGTCAGTGTTCTGCATACTCCAGCCATATGATGCTGCGAAATCGTCAGAGTCATCAGTGAACGAAAGTGTGATTGACTCACATGTGCTCCCACTTGATATGGGGGTAGGAACTCCTCCACTGGCCGCATGCGCATCGAAGTTGAACTGAGACATACGCGGCTGCTCAGTAGGAATGTGAAGTTGGCCACTTGCTGGTTCGCCGGATGGATTGAGGCCAGAACCGCGTGGCGGTTTGGGGACTTTAGCTTTAGTTTTTCGCTGAGGGCCACGCTCACTAGGCATTCAAGTTGGAGGGGATGTAAGAGCGCATGCGTACATTTAAGTTGCGAAACAATGTAACGGTACATAGGGGGAAAAGAAACACAAACTTTACACGATCTTTACAAACCGGGAACGCGTGACGAGCTGATAAGATGATTTGACAACAAAAAGCAAGGCCATTTACTAATGAAGCGTAAAAAGAAGGGGGGGGCGTGGTCCGATAAGACGACTTATGAACGGGAGAAAAAGATATATGAACGGCCGGAGCAGGCGAAGCGCTTTATTGAACGGTCGAAGCGTGTATATGAACGGTCGAAGCATGTTACGGACGGGCGAAGTAAGGCGATAACAATCTATGAACAGTGACATGAGTGTCACTGATATTGATCAGTGAGTGGCGTGAACAACTTGGCAGTCACATAACATTGATAGTCACATACCATCGATAGTCACAACTGCGCACGCTGCTGGCCCGGCCACCCGCTGCGACGATCCTCCTCTTCGCCGAAATCGATATCGGAGTCGGTATCGGTATCGGTACCGGCATCCGTGAAACCACCACGCAGCGCACATGTGATGTTGTCCCTGTTTTGTGAGGCGCCAACGAAACGAGGGAGGTAGGGAACTTCGCCGGTAGACGCTAATAATTCACGTTTGGCACGTGATCCCAGGCGTTTTGAGATTATCTCTGCTTGGGTGGTGATGGCGCGAAGCATCTCGCATTCATCGTTGTAGACAGCTTGAATGTAATTCGTGTCATCATCGATTTCTGTGCGTTCACGCTCAGAAAAAATGTTCCTAATCTTCTTCAGCTGTTCGTCCCTCAAATTGAGGCGGTTTTTGTTCTCCTCGTGGAGCGCCTGATTAAACACTGTCATGCGCTCCGAGTATTCGACCTGCCATAACGATGTCGCCACCTCATGGCGAGCAGCCTCGCGACTAGCGAGTACTGCCTTGAACGCTTTGTACAAGGTGTCAAAGCTCATCCGTGAGAGACCGCTGGATATTGCGTCCTCATGCTTTTGGACATAGATCATGTGAGAATTTGCGAATTTCTGGAACAAAGAAAAGAAAAACAAATACCTCTTGCAGTTGTTCAGATGTGAAGTCTGGTTCCCGTACTCGCCCTGTCACGCGGTTGGCAAACCGAAGTTCTAGTGGAGATGGCCTGGGGGGGTATGGAATATGCCTCTTGGTCGACCTCTCACGCAGGTAAGCTACTCGAGAAGGTGACTTTGGGGACTGTAAAATGTCAGGCTTATACAACAGACTCTCCTTTACATCAGGAAGGTACGGAATTTCTTCCACCGGGGAGAAGTGAATTATTGGAGAACCTGAGGGGTAGGGGGACAGCTTGGGAGAAAGTGAACAGTCAGAGCCAGATAAGAGCTCAGTAGCCATGGTATTGATATGGGGTGACTCAGGGTGGTCAACCTTCTTAAAGAACTCTGAGGAAGTTAGTTCTACGTGAGTTGCACTACTTGATGTAGTGCTGGTGAAAGCAGGGCTACTTGGACGAGCAGGAGATGAGACTGGTGATGAGGACACAGGCTCCATTACTTAGCCTGGCGTGATGACTGTGCGCTGTGAAACGTGAGGTCTTCGGACTTTGAAAGACTTGTTACTTCCTGTAAACACTCACCGGCTTAAGTCTAAGCCAAGTCTACGGTACAATGTAAGTACTTCCATTGTTCACTTTACGATACCATACATACCATTGACAGGCTATGTCCCAACTGCAAATTGGGGGAATATACATCCATCGAGGCGCTTATCTCACATCTCAATTCTCCATCTACTTGCTGGCCATCCGACGCATGACCACGAACATTACCCGTCCCTTCAGTATTCAATCAAAGTGGTCAGATACCCGTCACTGGTACTTGTCACCCGCAATCTGGATACGTCTATGGTGTCGGTAGAAATATGCTGGATAAACTGGAAGACGATCAATATGCGCATCGACGGAAGATAAATCATTATTACCCTTTCCATGATGAAGGCGAATGGGAATTAGGGAAGTTTTTGGTGGAAAACCTCACTCAAACTCAAATAACCAAGTTCTTAAAGTTGAAATGGGTAAATGACGGATATCGATCTAAGCTGTATTCCTCAATCTGATCCTACCTTCACAGTTTGACGCTCCGAATTGCGCAAGACCCTCTTTCACCACGAAAGACCACCTCCTGGATTGGATGGATTCACTACCTTCTTTTGCCCTGTGGAAAGTCTCCAAACTAGCATTTAAGGGCTATAAGACTGTCCGTCCTGTGGAGCTCGTTTGGCGTGATGCGCTAGAGGTCGTGAAGCAACTATTCAGTGACCCAACGTTTGCGAACCACATGACCTTCAACCCCTACGTCGCTAATGTCAAAAATCAACGTGAATACGGAGACTATATGAGTGCTGACATGGCATGGAAAATTCAGGTTTGTTCGCCCTCCCATTCATATACTCCTCGCTGAGTAACAGATTGATTTTTACTTCTAGGACCATCTCCCGTTGGGTGTGACTCAAGTCCCAATAATCTTGGGATCTGATAAAACACCCGTGACGCGACTTGCTGGAGGAATTGAGATGCATCCGGTCTTCGTCACAATCGGTAACATTGATTCTGAGGTTCGCTCCAAGGCAACATTGCAAGCTTGGCGCTGCGTAGCCTACATTCCCGTAATCAAGTTCCACGTTCACACAGATTACCAGTCTATTCTCCAGGCCAGACTGTGGCACAAATGTTTGGACCTTGTTTTCGCCAACCTCAAGGTCGCAGCAAAGGATGGCTGCTTCATGCCCGATCCTTCCCGCTATATTCGCCATGTGTTTACGCCACTCGTCGCTCATGTGTGCGACCTACCGGAGGCTACTATGATCGCCGCAGTCAGTAAAAACTCATCCCCACTAACTATGGCAACACAAGCGGATTTTGGGGATGGAATTCTCCACCCGCCCCGTACCGGGAAGTATACATTGCAGCTCATTGTGGAGATATCTCGACAGGTTGATCCCTGGGACCTCGACAAATTCCAGAAAGCGGCCAAAGCCGTTAATCTATCTGGAGTTCACATGCCATACTGGCGTGATTGGATGTTTGCGTGTCCATCCGTTTTCCTCGCTGGTGAGGTGCTGCACACCTGCCATAAGTTTTTCGCGGACCATCCGCTGAAATGGATCAAAGAAGCTCTAGGAGATTATGAGCTCGATACCCGCTTCATGGTCCAGCACAAGCGAGTTGGAACGCGCCACTTCGCAAAAGGCATCACACACATTAATCAAATGACAGGTCGCGAGCATAGAGACATTCAACGCACTATCGTTGCATCGATCGCAGGGGCCGTTCCACCCAGATTCGTTCGTACAATCTGTGCCCTTGTAGACTTCTTTTACCTCGCACAAAATCCGGTTCACTCCCCTGAATCACTTCAGTTGATGGTTCAAGCACTTTCGGATTTCCACGCTTGCAAGGACGCTATCATCCAGGCCGAGGCAAGGAAGGGGAAGAAGGGCGTCAAAGAAGATTTTTTCATTCCAAAACTCAAGCTTCTGCAGAGCTTCAATGGTACGATTCAGAAATTAGGCACTTTGATGCAGTTCTCCGCTGATGTGACGGAGCGGTTACTCATCACACACTGTAAGGACCTTTTCCCGCGGACGTCCCGGCAAATCAAAGACTTCACGGAGCAGTGCGTACAGATTCTTAACCGCCAAGAGTCTATGGAAATGTTTGGCCTGTACACGCTGTTAACTTCTCGCGGGGCATCACTAGTTAATGCAATATACGCCGAAGATGAAGATGTCACAATTGCCAATCCCGCACTCTCCTGGGTCTCCCGAGTTCTCCCTGACGAAGTTAAGTCAATACATGGTCCCCGACCAGTCCGCAATCACTTTCTCAAGGGTATTCTCTCTGGAGATGCCCTCACTGCTTTTCAACTCAATATCACGCCTGATTACAAATCGCTATCACCGTCTGACATACGCACGAAATATGCACTCTTGGGCTTTGAGCGTGCGCTCGCCGAATTCATATGTTGTTCCCCCCTTTCTAGTGGTGAAAATTCTTGCTGGGACCCCAAGTATGGGCGCTTCCAGGTATGGCACAAATTCCGATTGCAACTTCACTCGGCCTTCCAGCCGCGAGTCATCATGCCGAGTCGCGTGGTACAAGCGTACCCACCAAGCGATGATTTTCCCTTTGGAAATTGTGATACTGTTCTCGTGGAGACCACAGGCATTGATGGCAAAACCAGTATGTCTTTCATGTGCTTATGTTGTAGCCTACTGATATCATATACAGTGAGTTGCATCGCGCAGGTTCAACTCATCTTTCAACCGACAGTTCAACGAGGTTCCAACCTGGAACTACCATCGTGTCTCTCAGACCCACTTCTCTACGTCCAATTTTTCCACTTCATTTCCAGCCCTGATGATCGTCCTGAACTCGCGATGTGGACCGTGGAGCGCACATACACGCAGGAGGAAAACGGTAATCGCTGTAGGAAGGGGGCTGTCATACGAGTGACAGACGTGACACATGCGGTTGAGTTGATACCAGTTTATGGTGAGGCAGTGGCCAACAGTGTGTCCTCTGCGACTTCTTTGGAACGCTATGAGCGTTTTTTCCTGAATAATTTCGCAGACAAGGAAAGTTATCACACATTCAGTACCGAGTTTGTGTAGACAGTAGCTTAATCAGTACGCAGTGATTGTATCTATTACTATCAGCATCTATCATATCACAAATCACATCTTATCAACGGAAAACAACTGGCTTAAGTTTTATCAGCCAGATTTGGTGTGTTATATTGGTGTTCAGGCATCTCCACCAATCGCCTGAGTTCGCTACTGAAGTCGTAAGTGTTCGTAAGTGTTCGTAACGCGCGTAAGTTAAGCGTTCATTTCAGTCATTTTGCAGATGATGGCTCCTAGGCTAGCGGGTACAGCATGTCCCTTTCATGTCACAATAGGCCCATCTGACAGCTGGTACGAAGTTGAAGTTCCTTCTCATGCTGTAACGACTGCTTCCACTCACTAGATCCTCATGCGACAACTCGACCTAATCGGATCTCCCCAAAGATGTCTAGCAAGTAGACTGTAGCGGCATCCGCTACGAGTAACTGTCATGCCCCAACACAGCTCGGTTGTAAGGCATCTTGTATTCTGTTAGAATCTCGGGTCCATTACAACGGAGTGATGTGCTAACGGAACGCATGGCTGCCAATCTAAAACTTGAAACCACTCGACGTCGAGCGGACCCGAATCGCTTGACGTCGTACGCGAGCAGTCAAGATTTTCGCTACGAAATCAAGGTTTGTCTAGCAGCAAATAGTTATATTGGAGAGATTCGGAGCAGGCTAGCCTCAGTTGAAGTGAAGCCGAGTCGGTGCCGTAATTTGCGCAATTTCACGTGTTTGGTGGGTGTGTTGACTAGTTTTCTATATGCCACGAGAGTGATTTAACTTTGCAGAAAGCATGCCGGCGCCCACCATTCTCTAAGCCAATTCAAAGTCAAGCAGACACATTACTTACTTCCCACCATGGCAGATGGACCATGCGCATGGACGTGCGAACGTGGTCATCCGACTTCATAATCCCACAGATGGATATCTTTACCACTAATTCATGCCTGTCAAATTCATATCAATAGTCCGTACGAACGTGCATCGACGAGTCTCTTGCCCATATAGAGCGGATTAGCGCCTCAGGGACAACATATTTTCACGATGTCTACCCTGTTGTCGCTCTCAAAGGAGGGTAGCTCGGGCGACCATGAGGGTCTGACTTTAAAAGAGACCCGTATCACACCCATCAGGCGAAGTGGTTCGTGGACTTGCGTTGTGGTCGTGCTTGCTTTGGCTCTTGGTTTAGGGCTCGGATTGGGACTGAAGAAGACGTCGAATACGAACTACGTCACGACAAACTCCTCGTTTCTCCTGGATCAGAATTTTGTTGTCACGAATATAACGACAACCAGATACTACGAGTTCGTCATATCTGAAGCAACAGGTTCACCCGATGGTTTCGAGAGAACTATGTTAGTGGTGAACAGTACGCTGCGTTACTCCATACATGATGATGATCCCACTGACTTCGGAATTTCAGACCAATTCCCTGGCCCTCTTATTGAGGTGAACAGCGGCGATGAGCTTGTGGTTAACGTTTTCAATCAATTACCCAACGGCACCACTATTCATTGGCATGGTCAACTTCAAAACGGGACCAACTACATGGATGGCACCAATGGTATTACTCAGTGCCCTATTCCTCCGGGAATGAATTTCAGTAGGTTTGCTTCTTGTGACCACGTTCCACGAGTCTAATTTATTTAGCCTATCGTTTCACCATTGATCCGAGCCAGTACGGCACGTTCTGGTATCATGCTCATGCGTCTACACAGTAAGCATCTGCAGCACATGGTGATTTCTTTTTTGAGACTAACGCAAATAAAACAAGGTACACAGACGGCATTTACGGACCGCTTGTAATTCACTCTCCCAGTGAGCCTATTTTTGGCCAATATGACCGTGACGTGCTCGTCATACTTTCGGGTTCGTATCATTATTTTGTTTGTGTCTGTATTCTCAGGGAAGCCCTCTTGTAGATTGGTATGATGTGATGTCTTCCGGATTGCTTACTCAGTACTTGGGCTCCGCTGGGATTGATGGCTCTAACTATGGTGGAGTCAATCCTGGAGCAGAACCTCCTCCGGACAGCGGTCTCATCAACGGCAAGATGAACGGTTCCTCATTTGATCTTGAACCAAATTTGAGCTATCGGCTCCGTCTCATCAATATGGGCACACTGACAGAGTTCATGTTTAGCGTAGACTCGCACGTGCTGAGCGTTGTTGAAGCAGATGGGATATCTCTTGAACCTGTGAACGTGCACCGCGTCCCTATACACGTCGCACAGCGCTACTCTGTTATCCTGACGACAAATCAGACGGCAGGATCGTACAATGTACGTGGAGAGATGCAGAGTTCTTGCTACAAACTCAGCAATCCCAACCTCAACACGATGGTGCTGGCGACGATGACATACGGTGCCTCGCCAACGACACCGAACACCCAGGATTGGTCGGACGCAATCCCCGCCCTTTGTCTCGACCTCAACAGCACAATGATCGTACCCCAAATTGCCATGGACCCACCCAACAGCACAGATGTTGTTCAGATCTTCATGTCTTTTCAGCAAACAACTCAATCTGGCGGAACGCAGACACTGGCATTCATGAACAGCACGAGTTGGCTGGCTGATACTACAAATCCTACCCTGCTGCAGATGTCAAAGGCCGGAATTCAGACTACGTTCGACTCAAACCAACTCGTCGTCGTCAACGATGATATCACTGTCTTTGACTTAATCCTGAATAACTACGATGATGCTAGCCACCCGTATGTGCCATTGGTTATACACCAGTCCCAGTCTCTTTGACTGACACCCTGTGTAGATTCCATCTTCATGGGCACGTATTTTGGATTCTTGGTGAAGGTGATGGCAGCTACATATCTGGGGTGTCACAACTCAACACAACCAACCCGCCGAGACGCGACACATTGACTCTTCCCGGCTTCGGCTGGATCGTCATCCGCTTCATCACTGACAACCCAGGGCTCTGGGCGTTCCACTGTCACATTGGCTGGCACATGGCTGCAGGGCTGCTGATGCAGTTTGCGGATTTACCAAGCCAAATTCAGCAGTTACAGATACCATCTTATTTGAGTGACCAATGCGCACAGCAGAGTGGAGGTGTGGTAGCCAACTAGCGTACAGTCTTTAGGCATACTCGTATCTTCTCGCAAGTCATGCGCGCTGGATAATTATTATGTAGAGAATGGATGTACGCCGAACGGTTGAACGTAGAGACGACTGAACGTAGAGACGGCTGAGCGCAATCTAGACTAGAGAGAACTCGCGATACAACGACTTAAAATGCAGATGAACTAACAACTGCTGTGAGGCCTACAATTCCAACACCTCCTTGACAGTCTTCCATTGGTGCCCAGGCCAGGCTGCATTACCGCTATTAGCGTTCTCCGGGACGTCCTTGTCGGCGTAGTTGTCCCAACCGGAGCTGCCCCGGCCCTGCTCAAATAAGCCTTGCAAAAGAGTCTGCTTGACGTATCCTTCGGGAAGGGAGGTGACATGCTCTACTGTAATGTTTTGGATGCAGTATACAGGGCGCCAACTTTATTGAAGGATGTGCGTTCTCCCTCGACGCGGAACGAAGCATCATGGAGTTTGGCCGGCGGGAGTGTTGTAAGAACGTGAGCGGTAAAACCTAGATTGCCTCGTAAGTTACTATGATCACTAAAAGGATTATCACAATACCTGCAACGTCATCCAAGGCAGTGGTAGAAAATGATGCATCACCCTTGCCCAGAACCAAGAACTTCCCGAGATCAACTCCAGTGAACTGTGGAATGAACTCCATGAACATCCCGGTCTATGTCAAAAGGTGTTACTAGCTCTCCCGGATATATTAGATAACGAGCATTTACGTATATACGCAATGAAGGAATGCCCGATGACTTCAAATAGTCTAGAATATTGTGAGCGTTCAACAACTTACAAACCAGGCACCAAAAAGTCTCACCAGCAAATTGTGATTTGGTGACCGTGTGAGCAGCCTTCCCTCCCTCTGTAGGCATACCAAACTCAGATGGAACAAAAAGTTTGACACCGGCTTCCTTGGCAGCATCTGCGAGAGTAGACTGCGAAGACAACGCGCCATATGCCAATGCAGAAATGACGACCTGCGTTTTATTCTCGCGGAGAATGGAGGCGACTGCTTTGACGTCAGCATAGTCAGCCGTGGCAATCTTAGCGCCCTCGAGAAGTGGGCTCGATATCGATGCACTCGACGGTCGAAGAAGAGCAACTACTGAAGCGCCTTGCTCAACCAAAGCCTGTCAAACAGTCAGATAAATCTGAGGAAGTATCAATCGATATGGTTGAATCTTGCCTTCACGATACGGCCACCGATTGTGGGGCCTGCGCCTGCAACTGCGAAGGAGGTGTAGGGAGACATGGATGGTGTAGAGAGGAACCAGTGGGAAATAAGCTAGCATGGACATCATTGAGCTGCGGTGCCATGTTCCTGAGAGGATGAGAAAGCTGTAAGTTTATTTTTACTTCAAACGGTACTAGAGTGCTGTCATGGTCCAGTTGCGTCTTTGAAAAAGCGATGAATGAACTGACGTAATATCATCATTCTAAACTCAGCAATATACACTCAGCAAGATACTGGCCAACAGCGTATAGTACTAGCTTTGAATTCTGCTCGTAAGTTGCATCTAATCTTTGTTCACTAAATATTTATGTACAAGTCTCACATAGAGATATAGCTCCTGGTCATGGCCCACTTATCTCAATCCAGTGTTGGCAATGAAGATGGTATTGTGTTCGACAAGCCCCTCAATTCAAGAGATGTACAATCCATTGTAAAGGCAGATATCGTCCACCCATTCTCCACTCTTCATAGCACCGAGCTACCTGAATCGACACGGGTTTGTGTAGCTTCGCATGAAAGCACAAGGTAAAACCAAAGAAGCTGAATCTCCTATTCGACTGGATCAGGCGATAAGCCTATTCGGTCCTTCAAGCTCCAAGCCACCACCGTTAAGCTCGCAGATAAACAACATTGGCGTGGAAAAGGCATCAACGGTTCCTCAGAAAACTTCCCCATGCGTAGACAAGGACGATGCGAAGAGCTATGGCAAGCTTAAGGAAAAGAGGAAGCCCCCTGGAACGACCGGCAACGATACTGATCAAGGACGTCCACTCAAGCGGGCTAGATCTGAATGTGCTAGTGCCAAAGAACACGAAGATTTTTACATCTTGGATGCCAATACTGTCATCGAGGTTGATGGGGTGCTGTTCAAGCTTCATCGTTCGAGGCTAGTCACCAAGTCATCATTCTTCGCGCAGCTTCTTCAACATGACCTCAAAGATGATTTTCTCGACAATGGCGTGCGGGTAGAAAATGATGGCAAAGCGACGGTGTACCACCTCGGTAATATTACTACGGTGGACGACCTCGTGGCTCTCTTGAAATTTGATGATAACCCAACGTAACACCCATTATTATCTTTTGCATGAATCAGTCTGATTATCTTTAGCGAGTATCACTTTCAACCTCCCCCATTCTCAGTTGTCGCCCCTGTTCTCCGTGCTGCGACTGCCTTGCGCTTTGAGACATATCGTGTCTGGGCAGCTCGAGTTCTTGGGCAAACATGTCCATCCTCCCTGGCGGATTTGACCCCCGAGCCGATACAAAATGCTGTGGAAATTGTTGCCCTTCCACGCTCATGTGAAGTAAATAGCGTTGTGAAGTGTGCTTTGTACGAACTTGCCAGGACTCGTCGGATTGGTCTGCCGGGGCTCGAACAGATTGGCCATGCAGACCAGAAATGTGTGGAGCTCATGAGAGAACTGTTGGTTACCACCTGGTCAGAGATCGCTGTGCGAATTGGCATGTCGTCTTGCCAGCACGATTGTGCGCCAAAGGCCGACGTGTTTTCCCCCAAGAAAAAGAAGAAGTCTTTTGCACCGCAAGGTACTGCTGTATTGCTTCCTATCCAGTTAAAACTTCTGACTCGTATTCTTTTCTTGATCTGTGTCAGAAACACATTCATGTTCCTTTAAATCCGGCAAGCAACAGGCTACTTGGGATAAATGTGTCCATGACTCTGGGCTGTACACAAAATTTCTGTTCGATTCAGTGTGCGGTGCCCAGGCATTGATCGACATTCCATGGGGGGAGGTGGGCTGGTGCTCGGATTGCATCCAGTCAAAACGAGCTACGTGGAGAAAGATACAACAAAAAGTTTGGAGTGACATGGACAATTGGATCCCTAGTAATGTTTGATTCTGGAGTAAGATGGCTTTACACCATTCCCGAAAAGACAAGACTGTCTGAGATGCGGTGTACGTGAACACTTCCCAGCATACCACCTGCTAACTTTGGCTCTTCGCCATTATAGACTCTTGTTTGATGTTCCGAACCTAGTCACATCTATTCTGACTCATCAGTAAAGGGTTTCACGAACAATTTTAGGCCTCCTCTGCAACGATCATTTGCACGATTTTACAGCAATATGCTTCATTGTTCCAGTTTAGCCTTGGTTGCTCGCTTCCACGTACACAAATGTCACGATGTAGTATGGGTCATGAGAAAATAGTTAACTAACAGAAAAATCAAGGCATAAGCTCGAGCTGTAAGTGGGGTCAGAAGTTCACCTGCTCCGCAGCGCCGGGGTGAATGTGGTTTCAAAACTGTGCATGTATAGTAGGCCCCTTTTATTACACCGTGATCTCGTCTTCGCTTGGGAACTGCTGATGATTGAGAGCCGGCTGACTGTAGAAACAAAAGGCGTTCCCGAATGTAAGCACCAACCTGGCATTACCAGTCTGAGCATGAGAATGGACGACAGGATGACATTGGCCGCAGCCACTTGTGCTGGCAAACGTTTGATAACATGTCAATAGAAGAACCACGCGGGCGGCGGACCAAGGCACCAAGACTAGGAGTTGGCTACAGAATTTCGCTATCCATACATGGAAGAGAGACATAGGGCAGCCGAGCGAGCAGATGGAGCGCCGCTTCAACATCACAAACGTCAGCAAGATGCGCACACAATATTGACAACAGGCTACGCACACCGTGACAGTCTGGGGGCACACGAACATCAGCCAACTGTTTCAAAACAGCATCAACGGGCAAAGCGCCAAATCGCCCACGTTAAGGTCTTTCGTGCGACGAACACTACTGCCAGAGAGAAAGCCAGAAGGGGAGCCCTCAAACTGCTCGAATGATTTGCGATTATGGTAGGGCTGTGCCGGAAACGAGCAGGAAAGTGATCCATGAATGCAATCACATATGGCCGGCTGTTAGGCTTAGACCCACCACTACTCACGTACCCAGCCCAGCGGATAACCACGTGAAGCGATGCATTGTCTTTGTGATCATCGATCATCCATTAGCGCTTAGCCCTAAGGTTGGTGTCAATGATGAATATATGTACGGTGCTCACGCACCAAGTGGTTCAAGTCCCCGGCTCCGCTGAGTGACGAATACGCTTTATGATTGGTAGATAAGTATCTCAGTACCGGACCCCGGTTCCAGGCCTGCGGAAGGAACCGGCACCTAGTTCGCACAGCCACAGCCATTTTCTTCTCTCGTTCCACACTCGTGTCTCTCACTCTGTAGGCACAGCCCAACCTCTTCAGTCGCACCAGAGATGAAGCTAGACATAAAGATAAGAATCATTTCTTGCCAACCTTGTCGTTGCAAAGAAATGGTTCTTATCTTGATGTATCATATGGAATGATATAGTAGCCCAATGTCATTTACAAATTCGTTGTTGAGAACCGTACTTGATTCTGATATTACGCGGCTGAATCCATCCTCTATGGGAGCAAGTGGAGCGAATTCATAGAAGTTTGGCAGATACAGTGCGCCTGCTGTCTGGTGCAAAAGTTCATCTGGTATGGCACCAGCGTTGTACAGGCTCATTACTGTCCCAGAGTGGCCATGTGGGTTTTTCAGCTTCCAGTCATGCACCCCTGCCGCCGATTTCAGTTTAGCCCAGTGTCTGTGCAGAGTCCTTACCTTTCAACTCAGGCCCGGTAGATGAGGCGCTCCTACCCTTCGTCGGTGAGAAGTGTTCCTAGTTTGGAGTGTTCAGAGGCAGGTATAGGATGCAATGATCGCGGTGATAAACTTATCATCTATCGCACTATTTTCTATATCGTCCAAGTCCAGCCTATTCTGTCTGTGCCAGAGGCGCCTCCAAAGTGATTTGAGGAAAATCGGAATCACGCTTCTTAAGGCCTGGTCTGCGGTTGCTGTATCATGAGCATAATGTCAGTGTTCATTGCAAGATTCTCGCCCCCGCGTCTTATCTATTTGTTCAAACAGACGCTAGTTCAGGAGAAGGCGAGAGTCATTTTCCGCCTTCCATTCGTCCGGTCGAGATGACTGATAATGCAATAGTTCTGAAGAAACGTTTTCCAACAAGGCCATGTTATCACCAGCCATCTGGCCTCGCACAACCACTCTCGTTTCTCCATATATTTCCCTGGACGGATGATTGCAAAGTATTTCGCAGGCTCGCAGACATTTGGTCTATCAGCTGTCTAGGTTTAGACTCACGTACTTGGGTTAGCAGATAATCATACGAAGTGATACATGGTCTTTGTGATCATCCATAATCTGCTGGACCTGAGGTCGGTGTTAATAATGTATGTATGTATGTATGTATGTATGTATCTCGTTCGGTGCTTTACTCGTACTTAGCAGTATGGGCTCCGACAGATCTTGCAAAAACGCAAATTCGACGCACGATTTGCAGTCGCATGCGCGCCACGTTGCGCTGGTGCAACTAAGTGTGGCCGATGCTTCATTGATAGTTTGACAGATGTACTCAAAGGCTTTCATCTTCATCTTCTTGCCATCTTGCTACTTGGTGCAAGTCTGGATTACCGACTTCCAGTAGCGATACAACAGGAAAAGGGTTTGTCTACATAAACCTCATCTAAAATATACTTTGAGACACCATAACTGAAATAAATACGACGGATCCTCGACCAAATATCTCCTCCATGCGCAACACTCGACAACTATTTCCTACACAGTACTGCTAGTCGGTACATGCACACGCTCCTGGAAGACGATCGAATTCATGCTAGTTTCTGCGTCGGATTCGGCCACGAGTTTAGCGTGATATTGTCGAACGCTAAGGATGAGGCGTGGTCCCAGCACAAACATCTGCACGGACAGTAAAATTTGCAAAGCACCATTGAGTATCTCAGCTGCTGCAGAATTCGAATTCTACAGAAATGATGAGCAGTGGCCACATGTAGATGTCAGTGACATGTTGGCGCACCGCGACTTCTGGAGAGATGTTAACAAGCTGGAGGCAAGAGACACCGGCAAAGCTAGCACATGCGGAATTTGAGCAGAAAACGATAAGCACATTCGCATTACAAGCTCACCTTGCAAAATAAAGCACGTGAGATTCCATCAACACTCTGAAACAGTCCCCGATGGTCGATCCCGCCAATGGGCCGAGTCGTCGCAGGTCACGGAAGTGCTTAGCAGCGATCCAGACTGAAAGACACAGTGCGAAGACCTCCCAAACAGTGTTGAGCATCCAAACCATTGATATCAGAAGCTGGGTATCCCCCTCAGATACATCAGCGCACATATGAATGCCAGAGAGTATTAATTCCTCTGGTATTTGTCCAATGAGCTGTGTTCTTCAATTCAACAAGTAAAGCTTACCCGAAACGGAATAATACTTGAGTCCTATGATCGTGATTACTCCGCAGGCAATGTTTACAGCTAGGAAGATAATAACAAGGAAGATAAGCATCCTCCTAGATCTCTGATACATGGCATGCAACCGAGCAATCATGATGACTTGAATCATATTTCAGTCGAGTCAATATCACTGAGGTATCGCAGCTGCGCAACTCACCTCCCAACATGGCAGTTACGACCACATTTGTCCCATTTAACGCATAGATTATGGCATTGCCTGAAACACCCGATTAGCGGCCACCCTCGCACTAGGATCAGACGGTCCGACTCACACCTATTGAGTGATTATGTGGAGCCGAGTCCAATGGCCAAATCGCACTCACCCCTACAAATGAATGTATTCATTGGATAGGAATGAAATGATTGCGGAATATTCACTGCATCTGTCAACGAGACCAACGTAATGTATTCTGTGTGCCGCCGGTTAGAAGAATCGAACACGGTACATATGAGACATACCCATAATGGTAGTACTGATAATGAGAGACGGGCCATCAGTACAGCAACAACTTTTTAGCCTCGATTAACATACACAGAATATGGTATTCCAACATAGCGTATCTAGAACATTTTTGAGTCAGCCCAGCCACCAACCATGGTATGATATAAAACGAGGTACGGACGACTAGGTACAGCACAGTCATGAGAGACCAGCGTTGGGTCTGTCACAAATTCATTGTTTTTGCTCTGCTATGGGACTCTGTGACTCACCCAAATGAGGTCAATCTATGATACCATTGTGAGCAAGTTGGGTGCTCCAGAGGCAATAGGATCAACTTACCTCATCAGTAAATTCTCACATTTCTTGAACTGCCTTTTTTGTAACTTGCCGCCGGTTAACTTCCAAAAAAGGTGCGGATAAGCCACGCGCAAGAACTGTGACACCCACTTGCCACAAGCAATTTTAAGTTGAAAAAGCAGATGCCTCCTCTTGACTGGACCTTTTTCCACTCTTATTTTGGCCTTTTTTCGATAATTTTGCCTTTGTAAGTAGTGCAAGTGCTAGCAAAAGTAGCAGCAAGTAATAACACTTATCTCACTTATTTTCTACTTGTTTGCGACTTAATCACACTTTTTGAGAGAAAAATGACGGCAAAACATAGCATTTCAAGCGACAAGTAGATTAAGTATAGAAAAAGTTGGACAAAAGACACTAAAAAGGAGTTTCAGAAGCAGCAATTAGCGAAGCAGTAGCATACTATGAAGCAGTGAAGCAGTGAAGGAGATGCATGCAGTGGGCAACAAGAAAGACAACAACTAGAACCCTATGAGTGCGCGCTCATCCTCCGAGTCTTCGTCTGGAGCGGAGGGTGCACCGCGCCTCTTAAAGGCAATCTCCTTCGCCTGTTCCCAGATATCCTGGATGACTGAGTCTTGCAGGCGGTTGATGGATGTCATGTAGCGCCTGGTCATTACACCAAAATTAGTGTCCGAGAACGCCTTTCGAGAGCCGCTGATCTTGCCCGAGGACTTGTTGAGAGAGTGAGGGACCTTGACGGCCTTGCCTTTACTGTTCGCCTCCAATTCGCTGACAAGCGTCTCGGAAGCGATAAGGCGGATGGCACGTTCCACCTAAAACACAGGAAATAATTAGCCGTGCTGTGAAGAGAGGGCAGGAAGATACATGCCACTGCAGTGCAAAGGCTGAGTGCACCTTTTGCATGCGCTGTTGTGTGATGGTCGCCAATAGCACCCAAAGTAGCGCATGCGTGCTGTGTGAGTACCTGAATGATAAGCTCAGACTCGAAAGGGTTCTCCAATTTCCCTTCCTCCGGGATGTTCCCATACAGGAATGCTAACTTGACAAGTAAGCTCTCGGAAAATGCTTTGCGATCTTCATCAGTCTTGACATCATCTTGCAATGACAGGAAGTTTGTGTATACCGTGACAGCCGTGGTGCCAATGCAATTGCGCCACTCTGATAGCCGTTGCAGAGCCTAGGAAAAAATAAAGGTCAGACATGAATAGTGTCAAAGATAACTCACTATAGCTATAACGGGTCCATCATTCGTGACGATATGGGGGATATCTTCATAGACAGCATCCCAGGTGTCCTGTATAGTAGCGTGGAACGTTGCTTCCGACTCGATACGACCCCAGACTTCTTCCTGGTCTCCAATAGCAGAAATGAGAGTGGGAATGAAGGTTGTGCTCCACCTAGCCACTGCCCGAGGTCCTCCAGGAAGATGCTTGATCCTATATGAAGAACGGGGGAGGATCTCCACTGTCACCTCTAACGGATTCGTGGGACCAGCCTGAGGTTTCACAGTACTTGGAATGCTGGACATGCTGCGAGAAGACTTCAGCCGCTTTGCTGCAGGGGGGGCATTGCGTTTGACGCCGACACCGGTCTATAAATTTTGTAGTCAGTAGAATTCAAATAATTGAACCCAAAGCACACTACCGTAGAAGTCAACCGCAAGGACACTGGTTTGTACTCAGTCTTGACCACAGTCTTGACCACAGGCTCGACGTGAGCCACAAACTCGATTTCGGAGGAGGGTGAGTCTTCGTCGACCAGGCCATCCTCGATCATGAGGTCGTCTTCGATCATGAGGTCGTCTTCGATCATGAGGTCGTCTTCGATCATGATGTCGTCCTTGATCACATCCGTTAACATGAGGTCGTCCTCGATCGCAAAGTCATCTGTGATCATGAGGTTGTCCTCGATTAGAGTGTCCTCAATCAAGTCATCGTCAGTAATGTCATCCTCAGCATCTACGAGTTTGCGCTTGACGCTGGTAGGGCGGGATAAGTAGGATGGAGCGAGACGTGGAGGCCGGTCGGCATCATAGTATCCTTTTGGAACCTGTGCAGAAGGAGGGGGTTCAAGATCAGATTCCCTCTCGGTATTGGAATCATAGTCAACGAGGGAAGTTACTGGAGGAGCAGTCTCCGCATTCACTTCAAGATCATCGCCCACGAGATTGAAGGCACCATCATCCGCGGTGACATCAGGCTCAATCGGGTCGAGCTGCTTGGGTGCCAGATTGGCATTGCGATGGGGTAACTTCATTTGAAGTCGAGAATTCTCTGAGACCTTTTGAGAAATTTTGACACCCTGGAAATGCAGTTAGCACATAGAAATAAACTAGATGGTTGGACTCACCTGAGAAGCCTTTGATTTTGACATACGAGCGAGTGCTTGAGAGCGCTCGACTGAGTCGGTTAATTCGTCGTCTGCAAACAGAGTTGTAAAAAGATCCGACACGTCGTTGGCCCCAGCATCGGGAGTATCGATAGGCGTGAGTAAGGCACCACCACTACTCAAAGTGCTCCCCCTGGTGAGCTTAGAGGAGGGAGTGGCACTAGAGATAGTAGTAGAAGGCGCTCCAGAAGCTCTCCCACGGTGCTTCAAGTTGGACTCGGAGGATGGCTTTCCAATGTGAATGTGCGTCCTCCAATTCGGGATACGACCGATATGACTGAATTTTTTAGAACCAGGTGGAGAGCTAGCATCGTCATCATAGACCATAAGATTGAAGAAAAAAAGTGATGTTTCAGTCAGATGGAGCTTCATGGTTAAAACGATTAAATGCCTTACACATCCGAGTCAGACGACTTATCATCATCACGTGCCTGTGTTGATTTGTTGGCGATAAGGGCACCCGCCACATCAATCGCATCTCTCACAGGTGTTTTCACTGGGATCATCATCCTCTTTCCCTTCTTCTTGCGTGCTCCTGGCATCTGCACCTCCAACTCCTCGTCTTCTTCACTCCCAGGATGCTCAATATTGGCACTGGCTGCTGATTTATCAGCCCTGCCACCATTGCCTATAGCGCCAACAGCCTTACCGGCAGCCGTAGTCAAGTCGGTGGTCTCTGGAGCTTTCACAGCCTTTTTCACAGGACGAGGACGAGGACGACTAGGCTTAGGTGCATCAGCACGCGCAGCAGCTTGGTCTGTCTCCATCTTTTTATGAAATGCCGCAACGCGCTTATTAGTTTCCAGTACAGCTGCTTTACTTGCCTTCTTCTCCTCTTCTTCACGTTGGTCGTTGGCGGCCTTTTGAGCTTTGGTACGTCTTTTTGTACGGTTTTCGCCCCCAGTCAGAATATGTCCTGGATGCTGAGTTGCATTCTTAGGTCGAGTCGCCATGCGTTTTGGAGCTGCGCTGGTGGGCATGGTGTCAATGGAGCGTTTGGGAGGGTAAAGAAATTTGAGGGCGATGGTAGCTCACAACAAGGTATGTTTCGTCACCATTCTTCAAAAATTGTAGTCTAAGCTGACTCTGAATAAATATCTACATTGACCCTTACCAAGCTGACGTACCCACTAGATTACCGCGATCCTTTCGCGCCTGCCGCTCCCAAATGTTTGTCTACCAGTATTTTTCACCAGCCCCAGTAGTCTGAATATTAATTTTTACCCATAGTTTTGCTGCAAGGCGTCAATGTTCATCAAGCGCTTCTTGGCAAGCAGTTTGAACATCAACATTTACTAAAACCTGTCCAGCAAGGAGGCAGTTCAGTAACACTTTCGGCATATTTCGGGTGCTGTGAACCCAGAGTTCACTGTATTGGACACCTTCAAGTTTCTGGTGTTGCTCGAACGTCAATGAGCCTATGTAATTTGGGCGCTTTCAAGAACCCCCGAATCTAGCCTTCATTTGTGCATTTAGCCTGGTTTGGTCACATTGGTGCCGGTCCGAATTTCTCGTTCACCTTCAGATATACTTTTCGACTGCCAACATCAACTTGGCCTACAACACATATATGCCTCCCCGCCGTGCTCACCACCTACTTCAGCTTCCATGCCCGGCTCCAGGCTGCGCACGCTGGTTTCGAAACCAATCAGGTCTCACTCAACACAGGCGTTCACTCCACCCAAATATACCTGCTCCAGGACCTCCTCAACCATCCCGGTCACCATCCCACCCTCGAGATTTCTCACCACCACCTCCGGATTTCTCACCGCCTCCTCGGGATTTCTCACAACCTCCCCAGCCATCACCTCCTATGCCCTCTGAACCAACTCATGAGGATTCGGACAACGCTGACGCAGAATTTACCGATTCAAGTGAGCGTTGTTATCGTACATACCATTCGATGTTAAACGGTACGTTCATTTACATCTGTACTCTTGTTGTTTTTGTTTTTGACTTAGATCTATGCTTAGGACGACCATGCACGGCTGATGGAGAATTTCTGCCACATGGCGCCCCTCCAACTCCCATGCCACAAAAGGCTCCTGACGACTGGAGCCCATATCGCAATAGAATAGAATTTGAGGCGGCTGAGTTCGCGTTCAAAAAATGCCATATGTCTGCCAAAAACCTGGATTTCTTATGTGATTTAATGGCCGCAACTCTCGTGAAACACCGCGATGTCCCTCCATTCGCCGATCATAAAGATCTCCACAATGTCATAGATGCGACACAGCTTGGTGATGTCCCCTGGCAATCTTTCTCGGTTCAGTACACAGGAGAACGCCCTGAGGTTGTCCCGCCATGGATGGATGATAAATTCGATGTCTGGTATAGGGACCCTCGCGCGATGGCGCACAACATACTAGCCAACCCCACCTTCAAAGATGAAATCAACTATACGCCATTTCGTGAATACGATGCATCGGACAAGACGCGCCGTTGGAAAGACTTCATGTCTGGAGACTGGGCATGGAAACAATCAGTATGTTTTCCATCTATTACTGCTCGGGACAGAGCTAACGCTTCATCAAGGACATCATATCAAAAGATCCAGAGACGCATGGATCTGTGTTAGTCCCAATCATTCTCGGTAGTGATAAGACTACCGTTTCTGTGGGCACTGGTAACAACGAGTACTATCCCCTCTATGCCTCGATCGGCAATGTACGCAACAGTGTACGGCGTGCTCACCGCGATGCTCTTGTCATAATCGGTTTCCTCGCCATACCCAAAAGTACGTGTGTTGATATTTTAGATTTTATTGCGCCTCATCTGACTTACTGCACTACAGCTGACAAGAAGCATTCAAAAGATGATGCGTTTCGGATATTTCGTCGCCAGCTATTCCACAGCTCGCTATCTGCCATTCTCTCTAGCTTGAAATCCGCAATGACCGAATACGAAGTTGTGCGCTGTGGAGATGGACATTTTCGGCGCATTATATACAGTCTAGGACCCTACATCGCGGATTACGAGGAACAACTAGTGCTATCCTGTATTGTTAAGCATTGGTGCCCGAAGTGAGTATTGGAAGTTGTAATCATTATCCATCTGTACTAACAATACACATAGATGTATTGCAGTTCGAACGAACCTCGACAATGGTGGCATGGATCGCTGTCATGAGCACACTGAGTTCCTTATTGGTGAGCTACATGGGGATGTATTATGGGATGAATTCGGTATCATTGGTGATCTCGTCGTGAGTGGAGCCGGCCGCTCTGCAATTCGAAACTAATATGTATTGTGTAGCCCTTTACGAACGACTTCCCCCGAGCAGATATCCACGAGTTACTGTCATTCGACCTCCTCCATCAGCTCATCAAAGGTGCTTTCAAAGACCATCTCGTCGACTGGGTAGCAAAGTACCTCAAGGCTGTGCACGGGACCAGGCAGGCGGAGGAGATTATGAGCGACATAGATCGCAGGTATGCCCTTCATTCATTATATTGATATTCTCTTCTAATTTAAGTCAGAGTCGCTGCTGCACCATCATTTTCTGGTCTACGACGATTTCCTCAAGGCCGCGACTTCAAACAGTGGACGGGTGATGATTCGAAAGCGCTCATGAAGGTCTTTCTTCCAGCTATTGAAGGCCATGTGCCTGGAGATATGGTTCGCGCATTTCGCGCATTGTTAGAATTTTGTTATCTTGCGTGGCGCGATGTTGTCACCGAAGATACCCTGAACCAGATGCAAGACGCACTTCACCGGTTCCATCGCTATCGCCAGATATTTGATCTCGTTGTTCCTACCTTCTCACTCCCTCGCCAGCACTCAATGATTCATTATACGGACATGATTCGACTTTTCGGTGCCCCGAACGGACTATGCTCGTCAATCACAGAATCAAAACATATCAAGGCTGTAAAGGAGCCTTGGCGTTGGTCAAGCAGGCATAATGCTCTTGGTCAGATGCTTGTAACCAATCAACGCCTTGACAAGCTTGCAGCATCCCGCGTGGACTTTGATGCACGAGGGATGCTCACTGGCACTATTTTATCAAGTGCTTTAGCCGCTCTCAGTAAGATTTCTTTCTCTGGTCGTCTTCTCGCATACTCAAACAGCAACATACAGCACCGGATGAAGATGAACAGGCTGTCCCTCCTATTGCACCACAGCCAGATGCCCATGCCATTGAACCGCAACCAGACATCGATATCGATGACGGTGAGGTAGTTGATGGTCCAACAGTACTTGGTTATGTAGTGCTTGCCAAAACTCCTCGTAAGTGATACCATGCAGCGTCAAATCTCGATGCTAACTATTGTATCATACAGAACGAAAACGGGCGCGAACAGTAGCGGCGTTAGCACACGAAGTTGCTGTTCCAGATCTGCGACGCCTCATTCGACACTTTTTGTTCACTCAGCTCAACCAAGATGATCCCCGCGATCCTGCAGATGTCCCAACTGGTAGCTTGCCTCGGCATGAAGGCAAGCTCCAGGTCTTCAATTCTGCTGCCGCAACCTTCTTTGCTCCCAGCGATCTGAGTGGTACTGGTGGCATGCGACGGGAACATATCCGTGCATGTCCACTCTGGAGAAACGAGTACCCGCGCAATGACTGTGTGTTCATTGACACTGATTCGGACGCTCAAGGCATGCGAGGACTCGAAGTTGTGAGAATTGTATGCTTCTTTTCTTTCAAGCACAACTGGGAAGTATATCCATGCGCTCTCATTCATTGGTTTGAGAAGATTGATGATTGTGCTGACGAAGACACTGGCATGTGGATGGTCCGTCCCAGTTTCCACGAGGGTGGTTCCCGGAACCTTGCTGTTATTCATATCGAGACGGTGTTCCGTGCAGCACACCTGATACCTATGTACGGTTCGGAGTACATCCCTCACGACCTTAAGTTCTACCATTCCATTGATTGTTTCCGCTCATTTTATGTCAACAAGTTCGCTGATCATCATGCGTTCGAGATAGCCTCCTGACTGCCATGTATGGCATAGGTACGTCTTCAATTCAAATTTTGATCTGTTTTTAACGGTCAGATCCCATTAGAATATTTAATTCCTCGAGATCGTGCCTCTATCGACAATGATGGACTGGTCTGGCGAATTCGCAAAGTGGGCGCCGACGCTGAAAATGATCTCGTACAAGGGCAACCCTGCACAACGTCGAAACCTCCAAGGCGACCTGCAGATGGGCCAGTTCCAGGTTCTGCTCACTACGTACGAGTACATCATCAAGGACCGACCTATTCTCAGCAAACTCAAATGGGTGCATATGATCATTGGTAAGTGGGTTTGATTTTTTTTTTTGGTTATGTTGTTCATGCTTGCTATCAGAGGGACATCGCATGAAGAACACCCAGTCGAAACTTGCACAGACGCTGACGCAGTACTACCATTCCCGCTACTGCCTCATCCTCACCGGTACCCTTGCACAGACGCTGACGCAGTACTACCATTTCCACTACCGCCTCATCCTCACCGGTACCCCCCTTCAGAACAACGTTCCCAAACTATTGGCCCTCCTCAACTTCGTCCTGCCCAAGATCTTCAACTCTGCGAAGTCACTCGATGAGGGGTTCAACACGTCATTCGCGAACTCGGGTGTGGAGAGCGATCACGGAGAAGAGTGTCGAAGAGGCTATGAGAAATGGCGAGGAGGACGGCAAAAAGGTTCGTGTTCGTTCTACCTAGTGTACAATGCTACAACGCTGACGGCTTATATTTACAGGCCACGAGACACTGAGACGACACTATCATAACGAATGGTGAGTGCTCGTCGATTATCGGACATCTCAGTACTCACTGTAGTTTGGAATCACCCCACGCGCCTCACGCAACACGTTTCGTCTCGTCTCGATCCCTGCTCCACATCCACCTCTTCATCCTTTTCCAAAAGCCCAACGAGGCCCCCTCCGTGTTCGCCTCCTCCGCCTCCGCCTCTGCTTCAGCCCGAATGGCAGCATCCGCCCTGATCACTACATCGCCCCACTGGCGCCTGCTCCCCCGCCCGCAAACGAACGTTTTTGAGGCTGCCATGGACTGTAATCAACACCATCTCGTCAATCTATCATAGCTAAAATGAGTCTTAGTAGTACTTACTTCACTTCTGTTACTTGCAATTGACGAAGGCACTTTTGATGGCTTATCGCTGTATTATCACGCTTGTTTGTCACGTGCTACCTTTTGATCAATTATTGCACTTGTTTGTCGCGCGTCTCCTTTCGTTTGCATGCGCTCAAGTAAATAATGGTAAATAAGTTGTAATTAAGTTTTAATTTTGCAAATAAGGGCGGCCAAGAAAAGTGTGAATTTACTGATGCTCTTGTGGGAGTGTTAATACTGGAAGTATCATGAGGATATCAGCAATTTTAGAACACTTTGCTGCTCACCCCAATCGTATACCACCACGAGGCCTGCGGCAACTGCAAACCACCGTAACCAGTGGATGTTAGATAGATCGAGACATCACCAAACAATATGACGAACCAATCCAATAGGCTTGACAAACATCTGCATTGATGATCGGCCACCAACTGGGATCATTTGAGACTACGGTCATATTCGAGGATGGGAGGTGTTAGGAGTGTATAACGGTCTAGTATTCATATACCAGCCGCAGGTACAACCCGCGGGTCGACCCGTACCTGTACCACTTGACCCGGGACGGGTACGGGCAATGGGCATGACTCTATTTCTCATTTTACCTGCGGGTAGCACCCGGGTATGACCCGGGTCGACCCATGTCAGGCCCTATACCAGCGGAAGTTCAGCGCTTGTATCACCAAAATGGGCATGATGGCAGTGATTTGGACATTTGTTCATGCTCGAGGCCCTTGCAAATTGATTGAAGTACATAGTCCTCGATTGAATGAAAATAGATTTTCAAACCGTACAGTGTATGTCACTAAGGGACAGCAACTCTCCCCAGGCCGCAATTTTGATCCATATGTGCTTAGATTGAAATTTTGATAGGAAACTTAGACAAAAGGAGCGTAAATCTAAATTTCCGAAATTTCGCCTGATTACGTAATTGTTCACTTTTGCTGTCGAATGCCTCCTCCTACCAAAAGACAGAAGCAAGCGAAGCAGCAGTATGCTTCATCATCGAGGTGCTTTGACAATGGGCTGATAGAAGATGTTTTTGAAGTCTTTACTTCGTCGTGAGGCACTGGCAGCAGCGCAGGGTGGAGACGAGCCTGACGAGTTGCATGCGCACATAGCGCGTGAATCTCTGGGTGTCAACTGTTGCATGCGGAAAATGCTCGCAAATCAGCAAGATTTTAAAGCCGAAAAACCATACATACAGCTCATCATCGAAGCAGCTGGACACAAGTGTTGGTTTCTTCCAAAGTTTCACTGTGAGCTGAATCCCATTGAAATGTACTGGGGATGGGTTAAAACTCGTGTGTGGCCGCATTGTCAGCGCTGACTCATTGTGATGTGACGAAATTCTCGCAGGTTTCCGCAGTGCGGCTGATGGAACATTCCTCACCGCGAAGCGCATTGTACCAGAGCTTCTTGATGCATGCCCCATCAAGACAATACGTGCCTTTTATCGAAAATCTTGGAGATATATGGATGCTTACAGGTGTGTAACTCAACCAGCTTCATAGTTCCTTCTCACAGTATCCCAGGAAAGGTCTTAATGCGCGTCAAGCTGAATTTGCCGTGAAGAAATACAAGTCGCATCGTCGGTGCGGTCCTACATTGATGATGAACTTGGGTGTTCTCGTCGACTAATCGCGGAGTCAGCCGTCAGATGCCGCATACCCAAATAGGAAACTCCGACACGCTCCGCTCGAAATTCACTTTTGGCTAGCGAAAATTTTGAAACTTAAGTTTTTTGAAAAAGTATTCTGATAGACTTACTATACTACTCTAACATAGCACATTTGTTAGGTTTTTGAGACGAACGAGGTATTTCTGAAGGTGTAGATAGAATTACAAGTTTTGATGTCGGTAGTTGCCGCTTTTGAGTGACATACACTGTAGTCACCGGTGAATCTGAAATTGAAAACATTTGATGAGTAAAAATTCGGCCCATATTCTTACACGTGACCATACTCAGTGGATACCGGACCCCGGTGCACTATTTTCGGGGTGATCTTGCTATAAGCTTGCAGACATTGAGTTCTCATGACTGGGTGACTATCCGTAGGGTAAATAATAAGGAATAGATTAAAACGGACTTTAAAACATATTTGCAAAAGATAATCTGAATAGAATACTAAACCGTAGCCTATATGGAATAAACTAATCTGTATTTTCTTGGTCAGAACTCCGATGGAAGACGTACTGCTACAGTACGCTCTGGTGAACGACGCTGAAGAGATGGCACTTCTCGATGACGAAGAAGACGCCACAATGTTAGCAGCCATGCTCGTTGCCGGCGCTGAGCTTGCTCGACTCGATCGCATCAATACATGGAACCCTAGAAGACTTTACCTTTGTCGTGCTCAGCTATTTCCTGATCCACATTGCAATACTCCATGGCAACTACTGTATGAAAGCCAGAATGATCATGCCTTTATTACCACCATGGGCATTGATGCCCCGACTTTTGCATTCATTCTGACTTCTGGCTTTGCCAGCCAATGGTACGAGAGGCCCGTCACACGTCCTGACATCAATTTGCACGGCATCGCTCGCCTGAATCGGCGTTCACTTAATGCTGGTGGGGTACTGGGCCTCATACTTCACTATCTCAACTCCACCATGCAGGAGACTAGCCTCCAACAGATATTTGCTTTGGTTCCCGCCACTGTTTCCCGCTATCTCACATCTGGACTGCCCATACTCTTACAAACTCTCCGTTCTATGACTGATGCCCAAATTCAATGGCCACGGGGACCCGATTTTGAATGGTGTAGTGCGCTCGTGATCGCACGTCACCCATGACTGCAAGGCGCCTTCGGAAGCATCGACGGGCTCAAATTGCCTGTGCAAACTTCCGAGGATGATGAGATCGAAAATGCTACATACAATGGGTGGCTTTCTGAGCACTTCATAAGTTCCGTCATAACATTTTCAGCTGAAGGTATGTTTTCTCGTCTTCTGCTATAGTTTGTACTTAATTTTATATTCACAAAGGCATCGTGATTGCGGCCAGGACCAATGCGCCTGGTAGCTGGCATGATTCTCGCCTCGCATCCCGCATCTATACTCAACTTCAACTCCACACGCCTCCCAACTATTACATTGTCGCAGATACCGCCTTCCCTCGTGGAACATCCTCCATTAATGGGCGCATTCGTGCACCTCTGAAACATGGCCAGGTTTTACGTGGCTCAGTTGCTGAGATAGCGGAACAAATGGCATTTAACCGCGAACTACTTTCTTACCGTCAAACAGCAGAATGGGGTATGCGTGCCATTCAAGGCGCCTTTGGAAGGTTACGTCTACCACTCAATATTGCTAACGAAGAAGCTTGCAGCAATCTCATCGAAATATGTCTTCGGCTGCACAATCTCCGTGCCATCCGTGTTGGAATCAATCAGATACGGACCGTGTACACGAAGCTTTGGCAGGCTACAGAGGATGATATGGATGTGTGGCGAGACTTTGAGAACATGCTATTTTCGGACCAGAGGAAGAAAGATTGAGTTTCGCGCTTCCATGTCACCTTGGAATACCAGTAGATAGGATTGTCTAGTACTGCTGCATGTTGCCCGTCTCGTACATAGGATAGAACAGTGATCTAGTACTGCTGCATGTTCCCCGTCTCGTTTTGAGTATCAAAAATTGATCTAGTACTGCTGCATGTTCCCCGTCTTGTATTAAGGATTGAAAATTGATCTAGTACTGCTGCATGTTCCCTGTCTCGTATCGAGGATCGAAAATTGATTTAGTGTTGCTGCGTGTTGCCTGTCTCATATGAGAGGGACAAGAGGACAGACAAGAGGACAGTCAATTTTTCAAATGGTACATTGGTACCCTAAACACACTGGGAAACTACATAAATTGTATTGTACAATCAAATCTCTTTCAACCCTTCCTTCAAATCTCTTGTGACCCTTCCTTTTGAATGGGCTTGGGCGGTTCATCAGCCAAGTCCTCAAAGTATGGGCGATCAGAATACTTGCGACGTCCAGATGGCCCAACTCTTCGAAGGCGGGGAGCCTTGGGAGCCTTGGGGACCTCGGATGTGGTACTTTCACCCTCGTCTGTGATCCACCTGATGGATCCCCCACCCTCAGGGTACCATTCCTGCTGTAAGTTCTTGCGTTTGGGCATCCGGATATGCCGACGGTGTGTGGATCCAGTCATCTCAATCATCTCGATGTGAAGCTGAGCACGATCACGTTCGCGTTCGGCGTCATACAAATGATTGCGCAAACCAAAGAGCTGTCCCTGTAAGTTTTTGACATTGGCATTTGAGTCTCGGAGCTGCTGGCTTTGGGTCAGCAGCTGCAAAGTAGCGAAGCTGCGATTAGCGCGATCTTCATCACGGTCGCGCTGGGCAGCTGGGTCCAAAGCACCAGAGAGGCGAGTGAGGAGACCTGTAGCAGCAGCTCCTCGAGCGTTGCAACACGGAATGGGGGCTTCGGTGCGAGCAGTGGAGCGTGCAAGAGCAGTGTGCTGAATTGGGGGGGGAGTATGGTCTAACTCGTCCTGAAACTGATCAGAGACGACAGAGTGATTGCCGTCGTCATCTTCGATGTCATCCAGGTCACGCGTGCCCGCACGCTCATTGATAAGTTGATCAATGCGATGTGCACGCGTGACCTCTGGAGGGCAGACACCGTCTCCTGTTGGCTTTGTGGTCTTCACCAGCTGTAGTTCAATGAGTGAGCCGTCTCGCAGTCATAGTATGACACTTCAAATCTTACCTGCTTGAACTTCGTCTCGAGCGAAGTAACTTTGCGTTCAGGCCGGCCATTTGCCTTTGCCCATTGGCCAAACTTGACGTGAACGGCCTGCCATCCACGTTGACCAAGGGGAAGCTCCTGACGGACCATGTCCAGAAGAACTTTGACGTCTGAGCTGGTGTAGTTGTTAGAACCTTGAGGGCGTCCTCGCCGAGCATGCACTTCATCGTCGTCTTCAGCGTCCTCTCGGGAACACTTTTTGAGTTAGCAGATGCAATGTTTTGGTTGGCCTTACCTTTGCCCCTTGGGCCTTTGACCTGGCGACGAGAGCCCGCCGTTTTGGCCGCCAGAGTGTGGCCACGGGCCTCTGCGATAGTGACAGCATCACTCAAGTCAAGATCGGGAGAGTCAGGTAGCGGGAGGAGCGCAGGATCAATCATTTGGTTAGTCGGCACCTGGCAGAGAGGTACACGGGAACCGGATGGTTGTAAGGGTGGCGCAGTGTCCGAATTGGACTGGAAGTTGGCCGGTGTGAGTGCATAGGTGCCAGGAGGCTGTATATGACACAGTTAGTCAAGCGAAAATACATAGTATGGTGCCATTGACGTACCTTATAACTAAAACCCAGTTGGGGCTCCCCATATTCAAGGCCAAAGGCATGTGAAGTGATAGACTATAGTAGTAATGAGCGTCTGAAAGCATAGATGAGAAAAATGAAACTTACCTTGCATATTCCTGGGTGAGGAACCCAAGCGCCGTCTTCGTTGCGTGCATAGGCATTTCCGGCGTCGTTGTAGCGTAATTCTGGGTAGGATGGGCTACTACGAGGGGGAATCATAGATTGTGGAGGGGGAATGTCAGACATTGTAATTGTAGTAACGTTTGAATTGAGATAAAGCTTACCTTGTTGTCCCCAAGCTTTTATAAGTCCCCAAAGTCCCAAAAATTTTGGTCGTCAGACGCACAGGCGTGTCTTGAAGTTGATAGATAGCGAAGTTCACCCTGTAGTGGTTGCAGTAATACGTTAGCGCATACACACATGGATCAAAGCATTTAATAGAAAAAAACACACACCTAACCTCAAAGGATGGACAGTCCTTGTTACTGGACAGATAGAGGTTGATTGGGGTCGGCATTGCTCAAGTTGTCCCTTGGCTGGTCGCAGAGATACGTGATTGCGCAGTTCGGCTGTTATAAATCTTAAAACTTCAGTACAATTTTCTCCAGGCAGCGTAGGTATTGGACCGCAGTTAAAATCCGTATATTCGAAGACGTTGTGATGAAGCAACGATTGTCACTAAGCTCAAGACAAGTGAGGCGCCGACCTCCGTTGTAGATTAGTCAGCGGATCGCAGGGGCGTTAGTGGCCCAAAACGGATATAATCCGTCTGAATATTCTGTAAGGGGGGGGGCCCCCCCCTTACAGATTTAGAGTTTGTAAGAGCCTCAAAAAAATATGTTTTGAACATCCGACGTAAATGAACTGCGGCATCGCGGCACGACTTCCTTAAATGGCATTTTTTATTCTATTATATTCTATTCCGCATTATTTTGGCCTACGGATAGTCACCCACTATTGATCTAACACAGGATTTATTCTCTGATTACCGTAGTGCTCTTATGGATTAGTGCCCTAGCGGGTATATCGCATTACCCGGACTAGAATCCCCATAATCTACATAGATACTGTCTGCGATACTGAAACATAAGCTTTCAGTATCACTGCCTTTTGGTGTAATGGATAAGTGGACGACAGTCTTGGCTAGTGTCGCACTATCTCTGCACCGACCCGGCCTTGCAATATCTGCGGCCTGTATCTAATTCAAATCCACATGTAAGTTAGATCTGTTCCATTAGCTGTCATAGCTCCGTCTCAATTTCCGATCTGATACTGATCTCCGTCTCTGCACAATCGACTTAGTGGGTCACTAACATGCGGTGTTGGGCAGGGCTGAATATACAATCTTCAAGTCTCCAATTGAGAGTTTTCTGCCGCTGTTTGCAGAGGTACCTAATACCGCCCCCTAGAGTCAGCCATTTCCCGGACGTATCAGATCTCAGACCGCCCAATGTCTTGCAATTACGGCAGGGCTGTGCGGGAAACAAGCAGTGAAACGACCCATGAATGTAATAACAGATATCACCATATCAGAGCATATGATCAGGAGCCGACCAATGCGGCGCAGCGCAGCGAGTATAGTTCATCAGGGAAAACCTCCCACGAAGATTTTGCAAAATTTTGTAAAATTTTCTGACTTTCTGAAAATACATTAAAATATTCCAAGTCCCTCTACGGATGGGTGAAAATTTATGAAAATCCACACGAATACAACAAAATGATTATAATGTGATTAAATACTAGAATATCGCAAATCACAAGATATGAAAATGAGGAAATGAGACAAAACGTGTAACGCAAAGTCCCTGTGCTATCAGGAATGCCCTACTCATCCCATCGAAATCAATTCGCGCAAATGCTGCTTTCAACTCAGCGGATGCAAAGTCAACCAACTTCAGATCAAGTAGGGAAGAAAAAATCTGGTAGAACACAGTGAGATAGTGCTTGAACAGTTAGAAAAAGATGCACCACAGTAACCACAGCTGAGACCATGGAATTCGGGATCCGATGTTCATAGTAGCAATAATGGCATCGACTGCTGATAAATTTTTAGAAGTATAGTTATGATCAGAGTATTGCGGTGTATCGTAGCACACGTGTCGGAAGATCGGACAGTGGACATGAGTCAAGAGCTCATCCCGGTTGGCTCGAGGACTATGAATAACGCAGTCGAGGTTGGCTTCCAACTTCCTGGAAGCATGTCAATAATATTCGTAGTCTCCAATCCGAGCACCATACCGGAAGGCTGCAGTAGGATTGCCACCGAACATAGGGCTAGCAGTGAGGCCCAAGACCATGGGATGTTCGTCCTGCTCAGTCGTCACACTAGAGCCGTGGACCACGGGGAGGCGGGTAGGGAGGAACCAGGAATCAACCACATGACTCACCTGTGCGCCTCAGAATGCAGTGGCCCGGCTCTGGCCTGAGCTGTGGCTCGAGTAGGGAATTTGCGATTCTGACAGTGAGCATGAGCGGGTCGCTGTGAAACCAGGATTCAACTACATGACTCACCCTCAGAATGCAGTTTTGAGCTATGTGTATGCTTCAAATTGAGCCTGTAGCTGGGAGAGATCAGGAAGGCCGGTTGGACCGCCAAAAAGAAGAGAAAAAAAGGAATCCTACATAGACACCTGGTTTGAATGACCACGCACAGATGAATGCGACAACAGAATTCAGACGCCCGCTCGGAGCGAGACTTAGCTCTGTGGTGGTGATGCCTCTCACCTAGAGTCCCCAACAGTAACCGTAAGGGAGAATGAAAACATAAAGAAAACGACGTGACAGGGTGTGCAAGTGGTTGCCGCGGCTCGTGTAAGTTGCAGAGTGAAACATGAATATTCGAATGAGTTCATTGAAATCAACCGTGGGAGCCCTGTGATTAGTAATTAAATCGTTGGTGGTTCGATTTTCAATTTCTCAATTTACTTGTTGTCGCTGAGGCTAAGGCCCTTCGAGCGAGCTCTATGTAGCCAGCAGCAGACACCTCCGAATTCTCCCTCCCACCTGTTTAAATATGTCCCCGTTCTGCATTGCGTGAACTCTACATTTTTGATATACTAGTAATTAGTTACATATCTCATGGCAGGTTCAACTAGAGCCCTGTAGATATCTTTTTCAGTGCATTCACTGACTGCGTTATGGATGTGACTATTTATCAACTATTTACAAGCTTTTACAAAAATTTGATGAAAGTTTGCCATAATTCTCGAGAATTGTTGTCACATTTTCAAAATTCCCGTGGGAGGTTTTCCCTGATGTTGGATGCCCGAAAGACAAGAGACCATGACACAAACGCCTTGCTGTGAGTCACCACAATCGACCCGCCATCAGACCACACACAACCTGCGAACAGCTCAGTGCACGAACAGCAACGGCCACGGTGCTCAACGAAAAATCACAAAAGCCATGAACATAAGTCCTCAAGGGGTAATCTGAGGTAGTATGGGCAACCGCATGCAGTGGACAACAACGCTCGCCAAGCACGCGTGTGATGCGGCACGGGACTTTGCAGGCGGCCATCGCACACTGCAGGAGAGGATAAGCCAATGCAGAGTCCAGACAGAAGAACAGAACAGAGGGCTTACGAGTAAACAGTGTAAAATACAACAGCGACAATAAAGAGAAAGGCCCCGCAGTTTGATGATCATTGGCAACATCAAGCATCGAGGACTCGGAACGAATAACGGGAGGTTCAAAGGCGGACTGTACATAGTTGTTGAAGGGAATTGGCGTCAGTCACTGAGGTGCACGAGTGGAACCTTTTCACACAGTAGGAGATCTCTGAGTTAGCCCTAGTCAGGATTTGGGTTGGTCGCAAACGAGTGTTGAAGTCGAAAAATGACAGGAAAATGCTGATCGATGATTCAGGTATTTTAGCTATTAGCTAGAGGCATACAGGATCGTGGTTGATACAGATTCGGTGACACGACGGGAATTATTGATTCCGATGATGCAGAGTGTAGTTTAGAGCTTAGCGCTTATGCATGAGTCATGACATGGGTATTTCATATACATAATGATAAGCAAGTGACTGCCAGTGAAGTATCGTAAGCCATAAGCACATGTGTATTATAGAGTACAAAATAGCAAGCAAATGTTTCAAACAGGCACAACATCTTCACCGTGTTCTCAATAAACTGGGTTCCTCACGTAGATACATCTCACGAAGCGCTAAAAACCGCACTACCTTGCTACGTACAGAAAGGGGCACGTCCCACAATCTGAGACACTCCCTTACGTGCTGAGGGGTTGGATCTTGTTCCCTGTGCGGCAATGATTAATTGTTAGGAATAACTTCTACCAACCAACTCACCCAGCCAATCTTCGTGCCATATTCATGAAGTCTTGGATGTCCGATCCTATTAACGTCATCAGCACCGCCTCACGTCATCCAGACATGACATTACCATCGAGTTCGTACCAAGAGATTTTCTCAATTTCCCGAAGGAAGGCACACAGCCTCCGTGTCCCTCACAGTAGGGGCAGATGCACGTTTGGTGCTAAAGATAGTTGCCACCAGGTCGTCTCGGCCAAAGAGTTGTAGCCAACGTTTGCGACGGGCTGCTATATCGAGATCGGGGAATTCGATGGCTGCAACGGGCAAAAGTCAGTGATACAGTTGGGTCAGTTGGCTAAGGCACGTACCAGCAGAGAACGGCCTGAGCAGTGCCTGCTGCTCGTCCGTCAACACCGAGGGCCACAGACAGATACATCCGGGCGACTCAAATGCTCGAATCATCAAGTTGATGCGTTCCTGACGGAAGAGTTAGCTATACTAGTACAGCAATGACGAGACAACAATCAAGGACATACTCGATTATTTGCACATTCAGACCTCATGATATTCTGTGCGAGGTGTGTTCAGAAGGAATATAATGGACGCTGTGAGAGACGATACTTACATCCCCGCGGTCTATGACTACCAAGGCATTCCACTTGATCGCAAGCTAAGTCACATCACGTCAGAGATGCATCAGCGGCCTGCGGATGGTACATACCGATGCTAAGTTTAGGCGGCCCACGGTTTCACATCAGCAAGGTATGGGATGTCATTCGCCCGAATGTCAAGCATCGGGCGCTTAAGCATATTGCAGACTGCATGAGCAACTGTCTTTTTGCCCGTCCCTAAGGCCCCTCTCAGGAGGATATTCTGCAAATGGTAAAGGTAAACGAGAGTGATGGAGGAGTGTCGCTTTCAAAACATACCATGCCTTCCAGAACTGTCTCTGACTGTGGAATATCAGGTGAACATCCAATCGTATCTAATATGGATTGCATGCGTTCCTGCAACAAATGCATTAGCTTGCGGGACAAGGATCTCAGAGTTACTCCCGCCCATACCATGGTCTGTTGGTCCTTGACCAGCTTTCTCCACGCACGTTTATCGTAAGAAGATTCATCGCAATTCAGACCCTGGAATGTGACCCATTCCTGGACACCAAGGTTAGTTTGAAGATCAGTAAAAACGTGCAACGTGCTTACGTGTTTTTCGATGTCATATCCTGCAATCCAGGTCAGGCGATTGACTGCGTGTGCCTCCATGTTTTCCAAAGGTAGCTTTGGAAGGTCAGCTGTGAAGGGGGGCAGGAAGAACATTTTTGATTGAAGTAGATGGGGAAGGTTTGATTTAAGCAGATGGAAAAGGTCTGATGTCGGTATCAGGGAATCCATGAGGGTTATATATGCGAAACGGAAGTGTGGAGGTGTCGAAATGTGGAATGTGGAACTGTGGAACAAGGTCCGTGCAATAATGAGCAAAGCAAAAGTGGCTCGAGTATGAGCCAAGGAACAGACAGCGGACAACATATTGTGGGACGTCAGAAATTACCGATGGACAATGAAGATGGGATGTGGAAGCATACGATTGTTCCATGGCCCAAGGAGTCGCATGCGAAGTGGCAAAATGCCGAATGTGGTGTCAGTGTGCTTGTTCGTAGCATCTAAATCATATTCAGCAGGCTTCGTATGACGGTGGGAATTCCGATGCATATGGCTTGAGCTTTGCATTCGCTTTTATGTTTTCACTGTGACTAGGTCTCTTATGTTTGAGTCATAATCATGCGGTATGGGCTAGACTGACAAACAACTTGTCTGTGGTAGTATACGTCAACCTGACCACGAACCCACACGTCATCTGTGATCTCATTTGAGTACATTTTAATGTGATGTAAATTAAAAGCACAGACGTTCGATGGTCTCAATATAGGAGATTCGGCTCGTAATGGTGACCGTGCGATTGTAGGGCACAAATATACTCTAGCACAAATACCTTGATCAGAACGCCTGGTTTGCAGATTAGTACCCGGTTCTGAAACGGATGCAAGCACTGACAGATACATCCGAAAGTACCCGTGGACATTACAGAGTCACTATTTCATTCCACCCTAATGATACATTCGTAAGATGACAGACTCTAGTAGCTGATCTCCAGCGTTTCCTCGAGTCGAGACTGATGTATAGGTAACTGCCGGCGGGCATGCGCCAGGAGGGGGGTATTGGTAGGTATTTTTTGCGCTGATGACTGTTGATCTGAGTCGAGCGTGAGGATTATGAAACGGATACGAGGATAATATGCAGTAACTCACAACTCAAGTCACCAAACATGCTGGTGAGGTGAAAAAACCGAGGAGGATCGAGGATATGCCTAATGGTTGGTAGAGTGAGTGGTAAGAGAAGACGGGGGAATGAGAAAAGGTTGATGATCCAGGCCTTGTTGCACATGTATTCCCATGACATTTGTTTGTTTGAAACAATAAACGCTTGTGCGATTACATAAAGCGCTGAGAAATATAGCCGATACAGAGTGTTAGCGGCAGTACCTGTGCATGCTAAAGAAATAAGTAATGTCAAGGTCAGAGACATCAGCGAGAGTGGCACGTCAAGGGTAAAGGGGACATGCGCATCCTGTGATACTTGCTACTCATGAACTTTATCACCGAGTCGTACCACTCGCTTAGCACACAGTACGGAAAAATGCAGAATCCAGTGTATTTCATAGTAGAATCAATATAAATTGCTGAAAGGATGCGCTAAAAAGTGGAAACGCCAGGGAAGGTTTGCGAGAGCATTATAGATGGGATGGCTGAGCGCAGCGGATCATACAATGAGTGAAAAAGAGCGTTTTTGTAACCTAGAACAATAGTGAGTATGAGTAAAGACTCGAGCTTCAAGTTGCTACACACCTACTGTACATGCTGCTGCTGCAGAGGTTGTTAACAATGCAGTTTTGTTACGCCAAACCAACAGAGACAGGCTCAAAACCCCTCGCACGAAATTCAGACCTCAAAAAAGAAGACATACTAGAAGTGCCCTTAGCCACGGAATTCCACGAGGTGCAGCGTCCAGGAGCATGAAGTGGCGTGAGTGTCTGGTTGAGTCGTAACTCGTTGACAGTGACAGTTGCGTCACATGAGCAACGCGGTCACGTGTCGGTTAGTCAAGGTTATTGGGCGATTAAGCTTTAATAAACTTTAAGCGCCCCGCCTAGGCTTGCAATACTGAATCGCATCATTAAGAACGTTTTTGAGCAATCACAGAAGCTTACTACCGCAGGATCAATATTTTGCATTGTGATGGTTGATACTATAACCCTCCTACCTGATGCCACAGAACTTGAAGGTCTTTCGGACTTATTAGGACGAGGTACGACTGCTTCTTGGCTATTTACTATGATGTCACAAATGTGATTAAGATAAAATCACGTTTTTTATTTTGGAATTCCGCGCAAAACAAGCTTGGTTCAAGGCTAAGCTGGCACGCGTCTTCCGACCAACACACAAAAATGGCCACAGATGAATCGCTGTCGCTATCTGGCCACATTGGCCATGCTTTGTCCGCATTGGCAGTACTAGCTCATGTGCAGTCGTCATCTTATCAAAGCAAAGGCGTCCACAACAGCGCTAAATTTCGAGAGCCACAGACATCCGACCTTCTAATGGGTCCCGAAGACGATGGCGATGATGATGAAGACGACGAAGACGACCTGGATTATGAACCTGAAGATGCAGACGACGACAAAACTTATACTGAAACAGACTACTCCGTACGCGAAGGCGACTTTGACCTAGGTGAAGATGAAGACGGGGCCGAAGAAGGTGAAGATGAAGACGAGGCCGAAGAAGGTGAAGATGAAGATGAAGGTGAAGATGAAGATGAGGCTGAAAACAAAGCCGTCAAACTTGAAGGCAGCGACGAAAAGCTCGAAAACAATCGTGAAGACGACGTCGAAGCAGCAAACACTAATTCTGCAAGGTCGTTACCAGTGTCTCCTAGACCTGGCTACAGCAGCAATGCGCCTCAAGCTAAGTCAAAAGGAAGGTTACCAACTAGCTCCACTAAGGGTACTCCATCTTCCTTACCACCCCCCTGCGCGCCTTCTCGGTCACAACCTTTCCCCCTACCATCGTATAACCCTATGACTCCTTTAGACCCGAGCATTGATCTTTCCCTGAAGGGCGATTTAACACCAAAGGCAGAACTGGATTCCTCTCCCGAGCCCGACTTTCCTTCCGTGTCACAAATGCTTGCAAAGACGCGTCCTTCAGCATCGCAGCCTACAAAATCCACTTTTGAAAGTGGTGGTGTGGAAGGTTCTGCTCATGTTTCTGCTATCCGTTCTCAGGACGTTATCTCTTCAAACATATCAAAGTCGCCCATGGCGATTGATAGTGTCGCACCTTCTTCCTCACAGCCAGCACCAAAGCCCCAGCGTCCACGTCCTGTGGCTTGCAAGGCGAAGCCCCGGGCTCTCCCGATTGAGCCTCAGCGCTCTTCGACTCTATCCCATCCCGCTACTCCTGATGATGAAGATAGGGAAAAGAACAAGAATAACGGCAAGGGGAAGAGAAGGGCTTCGATCGAATCTTCTCAGAACTGTAAAGAGGATATCTCAAGGAATCACCTCCGCCCCACAAAGCGCTCAAAGTTGGAACTAGTCCGCACCTGTAGCGCATAAACACGAACAATTCTGGATCCTTGATGGGAACACGGTCCTCGAGGTTCGAGGGCGTGCTCTTCAAACTGCCACCGTTCTAGGCTCGTTGATCAGTCAACCTTTTTTGCTGGTCTCTTGGATGAACAAGATGTGTTTATGGACGACAGTGTCGTAGTCGAAAGCGACGAGCATGGCTTGGTATACCACCTGTCGAACATCACACCGACAGATCTCGAGGCATTACTACAGCTCGATAGGAACCCAATGTAAGGAAGTCCGTCTCTCCATTTTTGCTTGATACTTACTACTTTTCACAGGGCTTATTATTTCAACCCCCCTACACTCCAGGTCTTGGCTGCTATCCTTCGCGCAGCAACTAGATTAGGTTTCGACACGTATCGAGCTTTCGCCGTGAAACTCTTAGAGAATGCTTGGTCCTCATCTCTCACGGATATCACCTACGGAAACTAAAACCAATGCAGTGGAAGTCGTGATTCTTGCACGGACCTGTGGCATCGAAAGTGTCTTAAAGAGGGCTTTCTATGAAATGGTTCGGGTAACAGGTTATGGTCTTGGCGACGGCGAGTTGGACGGTGACAACGGGGAAGAGTCTCAGGAAATCAGCCGCGCAGACGAAAGACGTTTGGAACGCATGAGAGAGCATCTCATTTCGGCCTGGTCACAGGTTGCAGGTGCGCGTGGATCGTTCCTTCAAATGCCCCAACCAGTCAAAGGAAACGACAACCGCCGGGAGAGTTGGGTCGACGTCTATCTCACCGCGTCTCCCCGGATGTCCATCTCTGTCTTTGAAGCAAGACGCTTGGGAAAGGCGCGTCCACGACTCTGGGCTCTACGACGAGTATCAGTTTGACCCTTTGTGCGGACTTCAAGCCCTCATCGACATCAAATGGGACGAGGAAGAAGGCTGGTGCTCAGACTGTGTGCGGGCAAGACGGGAAGCCTGGACAAGAATGCGTCAGAAAACTTGGGAGCGCATCGGAGTGTGGATGGGTCTTGACAACTGAACGAAGGTTGGCATTCGGCCTCTGATGGTAACTGGCACATATCTTGTACAACGTCACCTCAATTCTTGTTCGCACATTGTCCGACGCAATAAAAATAATGTGGGATAAAATTTACTGCGATACTACATACTAGTAGCTACATCAACTAGAACAGCATTGCTGCGACTGCAGCAACAGCGATTGCAGTAATCATGCTGCCTGCATTGCTCGTCAGACCAGCAGCAGAGCTGGTTGTGGTAGCAGTTATATTCATTGGTGCGGGAGCATCGCTCGTGTTCAGGTTCAGGTTGACGTTAGAAGCAACGAAGGTCGGTCCACTACCACCACCAGTACCGTTTGTGGGTGCTAGATAGGGGACGTAGTAGTCGGGGTTCAACGGTCCTGGGATGGTCCCGGTGATGTTAAGCTGGGGAAGGATAGAGGAAGCTGTGAGGTTGTTGTTCTTGTATGATGTGTGCGAAGCAACAATGTCGAAAACATCTGGATGACACAATCAGAATGCAATGCAAAAATGCGCAAAGCGTACGCACTAGACACTGTCTTGTTAGTGTCCTGACGACCAAGGTTACCGAGGTCCCAGTTGTTCTGGACAGTTGTAAGTCTGTTCGTAGATTTGTTAGTCTGACACCTACAATAAATTTCAATACTTACGTCGAGTAATGTGTGTAGAACGTTGCATCAGTGGTATTCTTTTGGGCCTCGGGGATGATTCCACCCAAGAGGAGGCTGAATACATTGTTACCAATCGTATAGGTCTCGTTTCTTTGCAAACAAGGACTTAGAATTCAACGAGCATGATGCAATGGGAAGAAACGCACTCGTCAAAGGTAAGTAAGATGAGCGTACTCGCGGTGTTGAAGTTCGTATCGTTGAGCAAGGGCAAGAGCCAATAGGTAAGCCAGGAAGCAGCATATCCAACACTGGTATCGTGACCATCACTGCATGACCTTATTAAGATAATCCAAAGGTAGTGATTTGAAAATGGACGTACTCGCGTAGGTTTGGGGTAATAAAAATCCACTGAGAAAGCGAATTGTTGCCAACCTATTCCAGGTGAATATATCAGCTTTGAGACCACAACTTAAATGAGCGCATACATCGACAGCAAAGTCGTTGAAGTTCCTAATGCGTGCCGATCTGGTACTGATGTTCGCTACGGATTCGTAGATGACCAATGGGTTGTGCTTGCGCACGTAGTAGGTATAATTGTCAGAATTTGTATAGTTGTATCCTTCATAGCCGTCCGTGGGCATATTTTCCTGATAAGTAGCCCAGCTGATGTTCTTCTGGTCGAGCAAGTCCGCAATAGTGGATATGTTGGTGGGAATGTACTCCAAGGCGTCAGCAGCCAGACCGAAGAAGTCACCACCAACCGCGGCGAGGTAGTTTGGTTCACTTGGGTGGGTTACACCGTAGTACCCGGTCAAGGTAATACCCTGCTCAGCGAGGGCCTGGAAGACTGGCTGAGAGGCTGCAGAGGCGAAATCCGTGTTCTCCAACCAGATCTGAATGAAGCGGTCAAACACCAGTCCGGGAACGATGGGCGAGTTGGTGATGGTGGTGTTTGCAGCACCGACATAGAATGATGATTCAGAAGTCGGTCTACATGACTGAAGTCAGAAGTGTCTCATGAACAAGGTTTACAACTCTTACGCAGGAGCTGGGGTAGTGAAGGTCGATGCGATTGCTGCTGAGGCAGTCCTGGCAAGGACAGCAAGAGCGAAGATGGATGGCACAATCATGCTTGGAACTTGTCACGTAGAGTCGGAAGTACGGGAGAGCAAGTTCAACATTGCGGTCGCACCGGGATACTTATAGGCTGTCAAAATCCATGAAGTGATCATGATGTGCCTGTGAACGCTTTGATATTTGTTGCGTGGGAGCTTGGCTTGTCCGACTTTGAATCGAAAGCGCTCGAAGACTATACGAAAGGACCGAGGTCATAAGGAAGAATGAAGGCCAGAAACGAACGTGGTAATATCGATTATAGGCCACCATCACTGGCACCAATTATAAAATGGTCACGGCATTACTTGTGCACCGCCCCAGTCATTCCAGTCATGTGGTCCCTTTGCACGTTCCTCCGTCTCTTACAGTCTGACTAGCACTATAACACTGATCTTAGGCTCATGCCTGGTACTGTGTTATTTCATGCGCGCGCCTAATTCGAACTTACCTTGGCACGTGAAAGGGCGGTGTCAATGCGACAAAGCGGTATAATCGACGAAAGGCCGCCTCGAACGTGCGTCTTAGTTCCTGTACAGCAGTAGTGACACTATCATACTCTTGTCCTCACGCCAATGCAGGTGTGAAACTCGAATAGGCGTTGATTTCCCTTACTGTTTCCAATTAGATCACCATTTAGGTCACAATGTCGCGCTGGATCTTCCACGCGGGGATGCGCCATATGCTTTGCGGAATCACGGATGCCTTATCTCACGCTTGGCTTTAGTCAATGACAGGTCCTCAATGCTGAAGACGATATGTAAGTGTACGTCTTACAAATTTTTATTGAAGCCATCTATTTCTTGAGAGAGAAAATTCTCCGGGCCGAACCATGTCCCTAATGTTTTGTTGACCCGCGATTTAGTTCATCGCCAGACTGTTGCGGGCACTAATATTTAAGGTCTTTGAAGTTCGTAACTTCGAGATGGAGTCCAGGAAGTGCATGGGAGCAAGTTGTTATTCCATGTGCTTTCACTCAAAGGTCCTACCTTTGACAGGAGCTATGATCAACGAACGTTTTGGCCCGTTTCATTGCGAGGCACTGCATCCGGAGCTGTCTTGCAGATCAATATCCCGCAGTGCTCATGATACATTGTACAGCCATATGTCTTGTTTTAACTTCATAATCTGAGGTAAAAAAAATACACATACTTCGTAACCAAAGGCTCTCTTTTACAGTCGGAATCCACGAGGGCAGGCTGTAGTTATGGTCATTCAAATGAATGAAAGAATACCGAATTAGCGTCAGAATTCCTTGCGGTGCTCTAGGACATTTAACCGCAGTCTGAGCAGAGCAGACTGTCAAGAATGGAAGGGTACACCGAACTTGCATCCTACAGCTCCTCACGGTTGTTGTTGCATACCAAGAACGTATAGCAGATATACAGGGTGAATCAAAGGTCTCGTCGCCCACCACTCTCCTGCGTCATTATGACATTTGAACATGTCTGATTATCCCTGTCACTGACGATAGATATACAATCGAGAGCGCCTAGTGGAAGAAGCAGGTACTTTTGGTGGCCGATGGCATTATCAGGCTCGACTGTGACGTTGGCTGTTTAGCGTGTCTCGAAGACAGCGGCACGCGAGAACTTCGAGCGCGCCCAGAAAACACACTGCGGTAGCGCTACAGCGGCTATGTCGATCAATAGGGGGGACGCAGGAACATCGAACGAAGGGGAAGGAATGGGTGGTAAGGTGCTGGGACATATGTTGCAAGGATGATATCGAGTAACTGTAGAAAGAATAAGTTGATGAGTGTAGTCAGGAGTTGGACGAAGGAACGGATAAGCCAAAGGTTTATTGGATAGGAACACTTCCTGCCGCTGATCTTATGAAGACGAAGGCTTCACGATGTTCTAAGGCATAGCATCTGTCTTACCCAGGACAGGAAATTTCATTTTCCAGGCAAATCTGCTGTGTTGACGTGTGAGACACCTCCCGACTCTCTTCCAGGCGATACCATAAGAAACCCTCAAGTCTTTTCTGGAGAGAAACATGAGAATGGCACGGGTAAGCATGCATTTGTGTACGTGCTTCAAGCACTGTCTCTGGTGCGCGTTGAATGTCCGACCTGAACAATAAACGATTTTCATCAAATTATGTAATGACTGGGAGCGGTTATCGTTTGTCCGAGTCTTTACATAAGCTTTTTAGTGAAAATCTTCCTGTCTCGCAATTTGACGAACGACCTCGAAACGGATCGATACCTAGGTCTTCTCCACTTCTATCTATGCATGCACATGTCTACCTCTAACTCGTCGATTCTTACTGGGAGCTCAAGTCAAGCTTTAACTGGCAATTTTACACCCCCTGCTTTCTGATCCTGATAAATCATTGGATTCTCTCAGACTACAGGAAAAACAAACGCAATGGTGTTTTCTACACAGCCTAGCGATCATCCATGTGTAGTAACGACTCGGAGGGCACGTTCTGTCCGAATAAATACAAAGGTAAGGAGACAAGGGTACCCCCTTTGGCGACTGGAACGTTCTTCGTGCCTCAACTTCTCATAAAACTAAGGTTTGCAACTAGTGTACGATATCTCGGGACAAAGATGATGGGCGTCTAGGTGATGCCCAACGATGTCGGAAATCTGCACATACTAGGATGCAGGCGCAGTAGTTTCTTGGCAGTGACTCGGATGGAGCATCACTAGCGCCGGGTCCAACTGGATCTTTCCGCGGGGCCAAGTAGAATACGTGAGTTCTTCCTTTTCATCAGAATACCAGTATCACATAACGGATTCTTAGTACGTTCCTCCATGATAGTTGAACAAATATTCAGTTCCATCAATTAATACCGGGTGATTCCGGGTGATTAACAATGAAATCTGGATCAGAGCGAACATTATCAGTAGATGAAAGGACGCCGTCAGGTGTGCCACGATGGGGAGTAGGTGCGGCGGCACCATCTCTTTACATTTAGACAAACGTTCAAGACCGCGTGCTTACCTTCGCACCCTCGTCGCCAAAAAGCAATTTCACACCCGCAACCGATGAGATTGTTCTGTAGGTGCATTCACTCTGATTACGACTTGGCAGAGTGTAAATCGAACAACGTTCAAGACTTTTGTGGTGCTGAGGCAACAGTCACCTGCACGATGCAAGTCCAAATCCGCAGTGACTCAGTGTTGCTACTTACCCTAATTACAGAACCGAGTTTTCGATTCGCTATCCTATTCGATCTACACACAGCAAAACTGAAAGTTTAGGACTACCATCATACAGCATTGAGCTGAGTAAACCTTGTTGCGCTATTGTAACAGAATTATTCTGTAGTAATCAATAGATCAAATTAAGCCGCCTTTTGGTGCTACTACTATTAGTCAACAGCATCAGTGAAGCGCTTCCAACTTTTTCGCATCGGTTCTCTAAGCGCGCGCTTGATTCCCATTCTCTCCGGATCAGCTTCCAGTGTGCCGATAGCCCCATCTAGGCCACACTCTGACTATTGAAAAAACTTTGTGCTTGATCGGCCTCCTGAAAATGGGTACGGCCACCCAGCCTCTCGAAGGAATGCAAACCAACTTGTTGATGGTTTCCTAGGTACAAGGCCAAATGAAGCCCCGTCATCGCAGGTTTGATCACAAGTCGCCGTTCCCAGTACATGTCAAAGTGGTCGTCGATTACTGCTCGATCCATCTCTGCCACTCTTCGTGTGGTTGGCATATCTGCAGTTCTCAGCTCAACCACGCATCTTACGAAATGATCCTTGCGATGGGTTGACGGCCATGGGTATCGACGCATCTCACCCCAGCACAACCCGCGGTTTGCCGTGCACTGTGTTGCACTCATCTTACGTTACCCCAACCTCGGATACCGTAGAGGCGTCTTATTTTACCAATGCAAATGGATTGTGCTCGTTTGCCACTATGTGCATCTTATGATCGCAACAGCAGCTGCGCGCTTGCATTTCAGGCCGTATTCTTCGATGATCGTTGCAATTGCATCAAGTACACCGCAGCGATTTCATTCCGTTCTTTGCGAATCAGAGTCGACTACAATCTTACCTTATGTCATGTTACCAGACTTCCTCCGGTAAGGACGTGCATACAAACTCTCACATTGTGCGCAGTTATTGTCGTACATGCAGACTTTTTTCGGGCTGCTCATACAAGGCTTCGTGCATTCCACTCTATTTTTTGTGCACCTCGAAATGATATGGGCAAATATATCTGACACACTTTCATAGTATGAAATACTTTTGTTGCAGCCGGATATTGTGACTGACGCGAATATAGTGAACATAGAACACCCAGGATGTCGAACGGTGTATAGGTCTGATAAATATTCTAAATGATATAACTAAAAGCTACAAGGTATGTGAATCCGAAAAAGTAATAAGTTATAGATGCTACATGTATTTAAATATTCAGGGATTCCGACGTGTAATCTAATTTACTCCTACCCTTTCTCAGTAGTATGAAGCTTGATTTATGTTAGAATGAAGAAATGGCAGGTCGTTCTGCTGCGCAAAGAATTCGGAGGTATGTTGAAATTGAGGTAAATTCCAGTCCAAGTCGTCCCCACCACCGTGACCGACAACATAGTGGATCTCTGTCTGAGGTTGGCCCTGATACTCTAGCATCGAGCTCGTCACCGAGGTATCTGACATTGGACTATTGTTCCTTGTCCTTGGTGCAATAGTGTTTGTCCATGTCTCGTTGTTGTGGATTAAAGGGGGTTCTAGGAATGTCTATGAGAACCCGTCGCCGACGATCCGAAAGTGCGTACCATAAGACGTGTGAGACCCCTGGTTAACTTCATAGGTCGATGCTTCCGAGAGTGGGAATGGCTCATGCCTAGAATTTTCCTCAAGTTCTCTCGATAACTGCCGCAACAGTTCTGCAGCTGTGAAGGGGTGATAAATGATCATGCAAGCACGTATTTCAGAACAAGCATACCCTTCTTCAAGGTATCGCGCCTGGTCTGGGGTAGTTTTCCTGTCACTGAGCGAATCACTGCTCGGAGTTCCTGAAACCCATCCCCCTCATTGACTCGATACTGCCTCTGCGATGCAATTTTGCTTTGCCTCGGGGGATGCTGGTGGCTTTGCGTACCGCGGTAGAGCTGCATATTTGCAATCGTGCAGTAGTGAGTCTACCTGAGGTGGAGTTAGATGCCTGCTTTTATAACATCCTCTGCCCCGCCAGTGGCGCGTATTTCGTAAACTTTGTTTTTTTTGGACTGCCTACTTAACGTTTAACGCCCCAACTCGGAACATTATCATTACAGCGCTATTTTCTGTATTCAGGCAGACTACCGATATCAATTTTACTGCCACTAACCTTATGTAATAAATACGGAAGTTGATCAGATGTGATGATGATTTGGTTAATACCATCAAATTTGAACTCCGATTGTTGTTCCACATGCAAAAGGTTTGGCTATGCGCATTCATTTTCAAGATACGCAAAAGTTTTGCTTGCTCACTGCTCCGAGCCATTCGGATTATCGCAAATCTGTGATGCTATGCTCATGTCTTTCAACACGTAAATCTTTGATAATTGATCCCCAGCACATAGTCGAAAACAGAACAAAGCTCGAAAACATTGCCCCATTTTTTACTGAAATACTAGTAGGCAGCATGTATGGACGTTGACCGACGGCGCTACTGCCGAGTTAATGATGAGCGAAGCTGGTCCCACCAACCGAAGACATGGTGGTATTTAGTTATTGCAAAAGTTCCGAATAGTTTCCCGTGTAGTGAGAGACATGGTAAAACATACGCCTTGCGCACGCCATATGTCGAGCATTGACGACTTGGAGGACGAGCGCGTTCGAGGAGTTGGCTGGGGAAATATGGATGTATGATCTGAGGCGTTATGATTATGACTGTCCAAGAGGTAGGACCGGGGATCAAGATTGTGAATGATGGAATGCGAATCATGACCACAAATGAGGCTTGCAAGTCTGCGCACAAAAAAACAAAAAAACAACATAACCGCACGAAACACACAGTCATTAGCAGTTTCTCATATCTACCCAACAAGCGAGATGCGCGTCTAAAACGGCCTGCGGGAACGGCGGACTGATGGGGGTGCGCCTCACACCAGGGCATTCGCAATTTCTGGAAACAAAGGACACATGGTGGTCCAGTAGATTGAAAACTATTGTCTCACATAGGATAGCCTCCTCAATGGACAAAAATTGAAAAAAGAGGCTGGGCGCTTCCGCCATACACAGCATATACTGTAAGCTGTGAAGTGAACACGAGGATAATGCTTGGAAAACGTACCAGCTCAGACTTCCAATGCACTCTTTAACTGTATGCCCATTGTGTCCTGGTGTCGAGACATCGAGACCTGCTAAGAACCATGTGTTATTTTTCATTTATGGTTTAGTGCTAATGGGGTTGTCGGATGACCCGGTTTTTTTCATTTAAAGCCCTAAACACCTCACCGATACCTCACCACTTTTTTCTTGTTCGGAGACAACGCGATGGTCCACACTCCGCTGTCTCCATCCCTCCAGTCCTCTCCTATCTGTTTCCCACTCTTCAAGCTCAGTCTTCAAGTTCCATAGCTGTAGCGAGCCCATCAATCGAACAAGTCATCATCCGCTGTCCGGCTGGTAGATGTATGGCCCCAGTGACCCAATCGGCATGTCCTTCAAATTTCTTGGCAGGACGTTATCATCGCTGTCTCCTGCCTTCCAACGACGGGCGAAGACATCGCCAAGGTATTCTCGACTCTGAGGTGTGTTCAGGAGAAACACCCAACGTGATATATATACTCAGTGGAGTGGATTGAGCAAATGACCGTGATTTTCCTTTTCATAGAGCCTAACTATATCGTGGTCCACGATAGGTGTGACCAAGGCCTGATAGGGCTGGAGGATAGCGTGGTTATTGCCCACTTTCATGTCCCTGGAGTACTGATGTCACGAGTGCCAAAGTAAGTTTACTTATGTCAAGTTTGGGAGAGTTGGGGGCTAGGCACGAAATCAAAGAGGACTTGATCGATTTCAGGCTGTGCGGGAGCCTGGTAGTAGTCACTGGCCAGGATGGGTCGGACAGATTAGTAGTGGAACATGATGATGTGAAATTTTGAACGCCGCACATATGCCATGGATCGGACAGTTCTGCCGCAGCATGACGCAGCCATCATGAGCTGTCAGAAACTCGACAGTGGCGCCAGACGATACGTACCGAATGTATACATTTGCTTTGAATGAAGTGAACCTTGAGTGAACCACTATGCATCATGCAAAAACAGCTCAAGCCAATTAGCGCGCAGGGCCCGTTCAACCGACCCGGTATTCCCAGGACTGAGGGACACCAAACATTACGTAACTGTTTGACCATTATGGTCCTCTAATTTTATCGTACTACATATATCCTCACACCGTCCTTGGCATTCACTGAGTTACGGCGTCCACTCTCAGCTGTATGGAAGGGTGGTCATAGCCGCAAATATTGGTATTGGTTGCGATGGTGAATATCCTATCATGATTTTCGAAAGCCTTTTGACCGACTCATAGCGCCTCTGTAGGTCCACATCAATGACAAGAAGTTTGCCTGGTACCCATATTCCTCTGGTCTGTACTTTCGTTCGTGTTGACTTTGACATCACAGCGAGTCCTGCATCAAGGGACATCGATCCTCTTCTTGTCATCACTCTGAACGACCGTTATTTGAAGTAAAGAAGAAAGGCCGACCGGTATCGCAGTGTAAAACATGCCGCGAACTGCGGAACTCAAAGCGAGTCCACTCAAAGTGCACCTGTCACCCCAGGGAGGTAGTCGACAAAATCCCTATACCAGCAGCTCGTCCTGACAGGAAACGTATGTCACAATATTAATATACTACTACCACCATCATTTCTAAATCAGTGTCTCGCAGCGAAACGCTTCATGCCCACGGTACCTACACTACCGAATGGAATATCAGATGCCTTGTCAGCCTCGTCTTCCTCGCAGCCTGCGAATACAAGACAGACAGGTAATGATAAACATCCACAAACTTGCTTGCACACGATGACTTACAAGGCTCTAGTTGATTCATTGCTCAACCCTTGCCATTGTGAAAATGTTCGACAGTGCCTGGGACGCTGCCTATCTATACCTCTTAGAGGTTTTCCAGCATCTGCAACTTGAGTCATCTCCAAACGGTCTAGCCATGCTCGCCAACGCGGCTGCACTAATCCGTGGGAATATCGTATCGTGTCCAATGACCCAACGCTCCGAGAAATCTTCTGTATCTTCGAAGCCGTGCTGTACTAAAGACGCCCAAACAGCAGTCGTTCCCTCAGTCCGTTCTGACCTCCCCCCCGTCCATATTCACACACTCACGTCGTCGCCGCCTTCGTCTTCGATGATAGTACCTGAGTTCCCCACAATCCCTCCATTCAGCGCTTTTAACTCAATCGCTGGGTCTGGGTGCACATGCGGACTTCGGTGCGCTTGTCCAGGTTGCGTGGAGCATCGTGGGCCTATCCATGCTTTGAAGGAGCACAAAGATTGTGCTGAAGGGTGTACCCACTGCGTCGACCACTCAGCAGGCGTTGAGCTTCCAACTTTAGGGCAAGGTGCTAGTGGAAACAGCATGATCGACCAATTTTTCGCGCGGGCCGCGTCCTTACCCATTCCTCCTGTGAATCGTAAAGTTGGGGTTGAGATCGATCCAACGGACATTACAGTCTATCCTGCCGACCTTTTTTCAAAGTCAATCAAAGAATACGAGGACCGAAGTGCAGTATTCGGACTAGTGACCGTGCCGAAGCTTGCGTGTTGTGGAGGGCGGTGTGGTTGTCCATCCGACGGCTGTGGATGTGGACAATCTTGTGAAGGTTGTCTTGATGTCGAACAAGTTCACAACCGGTCAGAGTCTGTTAGCTAACAGGAATTTTTATGCATTGAATTTTGGGCGTATGGTAGTCAGGCTCACACTTTAAGTTTTGATCTCTTTCTTAGTGCTTAATTCTTCATACCAGGATCCCGGATAACACTCATGGGAGCTTTTACAATGTCATCAAATGATTCCAAGCTACGACGTATGACAGGATGCTATTGGTATTCGGGAGGCATTTGTTTGGCCCATGATTTTTGTTTCGTTCAGTATCGGGCTATTGATCCGGAAGGGAACAAACGGTGTGACAAAATTATACCACACTCGAAGCCGTTCTCGATGTGCCCGACATGTGTTTCGAAACAGACGTGAGTATTCATATTGTTCTTGGTGATTGACTGTCTCAAGTTGTTAATATCTTCCTCCTTCTGGTACCTCTCCCCTTCCGATACCCTCCCCGTCTGCCATCATTATTGACACTGAACATCGTTGTAATGCAAAATAAACTCACAACGACATCCAGTTGGTGAACCTCGATTCCCTCGTAGCGGAACCAAGTCCATTCAATAAAGTTTTCAGTTATCGAGATTCCAACTACAGTAACCTATTGCCATTCAACGGTCTTTTGAACCTAGACCAAATGCTTTCCCCCTCCCTTGCGGGAAAACGAAACAAATTCGCAGTGTATTTTTGCGGTCTGTGGGATGCACTATTCTCAGCAGTAATATCAATACCGTCTGCAGGATAAGCTGGCAGCCGTGGAAAAAAAGTACCGTGATTTCCACTAGACTATTTTTTGCGACCTGCATTAGTCGCAGCCGGATAAATTGCAAACGATTTTCTGAAATTTAAATCGGCGAACCTACGCTTAGTACATCGCGACGGCGTCCGCTAACACCTTCTCGCCTCCGAATTGTATACGAATAACTTACTACATACTTAGCATCCCTCTCTCGTGTACCCGGTCAGGAGTGCGCGCCAGGAGGTCGGGTTTCTTCGAATTCCCAGTAAATTTATAATCCCCCTCGTTTGATGGGCCTAAGTTTTTCGAATTCGGTTAAATTCCCTCGAAATTCTTGCTTGTTTATGTCTACTACATAACGCACCCCCGTTTCTTTGGCGGCTAGGATCCTTCAAATATGAATTTGTAGGTCCTGTGCGGACGCTGCGGTTGTGCTTATAATCAAAGTTGACGCGCTCTTGTCACGCCATTAGTACTCCTGTCTATTTACTGCCGCAATTAAAGTTCTTAGGGAGGGGGATCGCGGTATAATTCCCTTCTTAGATCAGAGCTCGTTGATGGTCGCTACAGCTTACAGATATGATACCAGTGCCCAATACCCACGACGGTCTAAATTCAGGTGTAGAATTTCGTTTTCGAAAAACACCTGCAATGCTATTAAGCAGTAAGCTCCACCCTGCTCCACGGTTGAACATACAAGGCAGGTGTCATGAATGAAGAAGAGTGGAGCTCGCCTGCGTCACGTCAGTACTTAAACAAAAAAGCAAAGTTTTAATGGGGATTCTCAGCACCTGCAACACACAAACTATGTGGTACGTCTAAACACAACAGTTCGCTGACTATGAGGATTACATGGAAGACTGGTGGGGCATGGATACAAGAGGTGGATATTTAGATGGATATTAGCGGTGCATGATGGTGAGTGATGTACATCTATGTGATAGAGATGGGGTCGTATTAATTTATGACTACAAAAGAAAAAAAGAAACAGAGACAGGATGTCTGCCCGAGGGATCACATGGTGGGTAGCGTTGCTGTGAATGATGTTTTTTCCTTCCTTCGTATTTCCGCATCATAGAGATTTGGTCCAAGTTCAAGCTAGCCTGCTAGCCAGATGCAGATGACTGTCGGAGAAGATAGGCACCGTAAACATGGGATGTGTGGAGCACGATGGTTAGTGGGTAGCGGGAGTGGGAGCAGATAGGAAGAGTCATGGCCGCATCAAAATCAGAAAACTGAGGTCATTCATGAACAAATCACGGGTAAAGCGGTATGCGAACTTACTTCTAGTAGCTCTTGGCAATCGTAGTTGCTCGATCGTTACCTCGCGGTGGCAGATGGTCCACTCCACGCTGGTGTCATAGGTCCCATACCTGCGCTCCCTTTCGACACTCCACCAGTTCCACCTGGCAAAACTTGTGGAGCGCCAGCAGCTAACTCGAAAACGGTAAGGACTTTTTCATCGCTAAATGTCCTGGGTTTGATACTGGGGCGCTTCGCAAAGGATATAGTACCGGATTTGTCTTCCCTAAGTAGTTCGGTGGGGCTGGGGCCACGTTTCCACTTCGACGGCGACGAGGACGTGTGGTGCATCTGGCTGCCACTAGCCGAGCTCGGAATGTCTACCACAGGGAACGAGCACGTCCGGGAACCTTGAGTGCGTCTTATGCTAAGGATCTCCATGTTATCGGGGTTCCTGGGCGGCGTCTTGCAGATATCGTTATCATCCAATCTACTCTTCCCCTCGCTGATAATCGACACACTCACCAATTCTGGACTGCTCTCGCTTCCAGTACATTCCCCCCACAACTCTCTCTCCTCGTCCATGATCATAAGGGCACCCTCGATAACCGCTGCGTGCACGAACACATACTGTCGCAAGCTCTGGCAAAGACTCATCCTCTGCTCACGCATATCTTGAACGACCGTCCAGATAGGGTTGGTATGGGACATTAATGGTGCGGGCGACAAATCCTGATGCAGCTGTCGTGGAAGCTTATAGTCGATCACGGCGCAACCCGCCGTACGTTGGTCCAGCTCAGATGATGCCTCCTCGGCGTCAGGGATCTTATCCTCGACGAACTGAGGTACAGGTGGCATTGACGACTGCGCAACAGCAACTGGCGCTGCAGTGGCCTTGTTGATGGACTTATGTTGCATAGGCGTACTGGTAGGCTTGATCATTGTTTCCTGGTCTGGTGCAGCACTATTCGCAGAGGTCGTTTCGACCGCCTTTAACCTGCTCTTCGTCTTCCTTGACGACACCACATCCTCCGACTCATCCGACGACAAAAGGCTGCTCTTACCACTGGCAGCTTCCAAATCTGCGTTCCCCCCGCTTTCAAAACTGCTCGGAAGGCTCAACAGTTCGTCTGAGCGAGGGTTCGAGCTCGTGCGCGAAACAGGGTCCTCACCCTCGAGAAGAGGACCACTACCAATCCCACTCGCCATAGGGAGACAAACCGATGATCTGTCGTACCCGGGTACGTAAATTGGAATTGTCAGCCTGGGGGACGTTGGACTCGTTCGAAACAACACCACCACTGTTGGCTGGTTGCAGCGGTGTACATGGAGAACGCGGGGGCCTATCAACGTCCATGGCATCTTCCTCTTCGGTGCCAATACGCACTGCCGACGGCTGGGCTAGCGATCTTGAAAGTTTTTCGCTCGAAAAATCGGAACTCAAATTCGAAAGCGAGGTCACTGAGCTGTCTCTCAGACGAGCGCGCATGAGGCCCACTAACCCTGAATCTGCGCCAGTGCTACCCCAAAAGCCAGAGTTGGATGTGTTCGCCCCAGAGCCTGAGTTGGAGGCGGAGATCGAGTCAGGAACTGAATTGGATTGAGAACTGGAGTGAGAGATGGAGACACAGGAGGAGGGTGGGAAGGGCCCACCGCTACCACTTCCCGAGATGCTGCTACTACCACTGCTTCCAGAGCCGGAGCCGGACCGCCCGCTCCCTGCCTTGACGTCCACACCAATGCCGCTGCCACTATTACTCCCCACAGAATCGTCAGCAGAGTTCAGCGCAGACGGTTCACTACTATTCGACGCGCTCCCGGGCGAGCCTTGGCGACTAGGGGTAGGCAAGCTCAAAGACATCGAGAGGGGCAAAGGTGGAGGCAGCTCTGTCTCCTGTTCTTCTTCGCCAGGGTGCGTTTGGTCCAGCACTTTCTCAGCCCATTCCCTCGTCGACGAGCTCGTGTTCTGCCATCTCGTATCTAGATCCGCCGTATTCCCTGTAAAAGGCACGTGCACGACAAGCGACTCTGAAGAGCTTGTCTCGCCTTCTTTGGCTATGGCTTTGTGTGGGTAATGACGACGAGATTTCTTGCGGTCGCCCATGACGAGAGGGACAGTCCCAATAATCTTCTCCTTCGACATCTCTTTCTCTTTCACCTGATTCGCGACCACATCTATCCCACCGCTCTCCGTCCCACTTCCGCTCTCCGCAACCACACTTTCGCCCCCCTGCCTATCAGCGCCAACAGCAACGCACGCACGAGCCTGAGCTCGAGCCTTGAGTTCCCTCCTCTGATTCAACTCCCTCTTAATCGCATCTAACACAGCATCCACAGCAATGAACCCGCCTGTCCTGCCCACACCCGCCGAGCAATGCAACAGCACAGGCGGAGTGGACCCAAGCGCAAACGCAGCAATGCCAGTCTTCGAGTCAAGATCAGGATGCCGCCACCCCTTGCGTCCATGCTTCTTCCTAGAGTATGCATCTCCAAGCGGCGGGGACGAGAAAAAGTCCCCTCCTCGCGACATAAAGTCAAAGCTCCGCCCTGGGGAGCCAGAGGATGGTGAGAGGGAGGAGCCGGAGTTTGATTGATAACCAGAAGGGGATGGACCTGGAGTGCTCTCTTGGACAGCTCGCTCGACGCGCTTCATGAGCTCTAGCACGCCGCGAGGATCGTCAGGTACATTCATGTCGGGCCAATCCAGATATTGCAGATGCGTCACTTTTCTAGGTGGAACGCCTGGATAACCGCGATGGCTGAGCGCAAAGGTCCTCACGATCATAGTTGGCTGCGTCGAGCCCTTATCACGCTCGCGCGGGGACATGAAGAAGCCAATGTCAGCGGAGCTGTTGGAGGAAATAGAAGGTGAGATGGGCGGGGAGGTGTCGAGGAGCTGTAACTGAAGAGGTCCATAGGATGACTCTACCCAGTACGTCCCACATTTGACCATGGCATTCTCAATCTCGCGCGTGAGCATGACGATTACATGAACGTTCTGTTCCCAGACGAGACTAATGTTTCATTAGCATTCACGAAGACAGATGAGGTTGATAGTAAATAGGACTCACGTCCAAAAATCAACGAATGTCGCAGGTAACGGGCCTTGCGTAGCGATGTAACGTTTACGCGTGCCCAAGGGCTGCACATATGACGCGTTGACGTAATCATCTACAGGTGAGGGGTCGCGTGGTGTATCTTTCGGAGAGACCACCGTCATGTTGAATTGAGGCAAAATCGTGCTCGTGGCCGAAGTCGGTCCTTGACTGATAGGTCCACAGGGCAGCGTCAAGTTGAACGTCTCCCGTTGATACCCAAGGGGTGTGTAAGAGGGTATGACCAATGGTGAGACGGTTTTTGGCCCTGCACTCTGAGGCGATCTTGGCAGGGTATTCAAACTAGACGGTGACAGAAAACCTCCCGATCGTTGTTGCGCGCGCGCGTCCAGCCGAGGCGGGGATAGCAGTGCGTCTTCTGGAATCGGAGAGATCTGCGAAGTTTCTGAAGAAGGGAAGGCTGGGAAGTAGGCGTCACGTCCGCCACCACTGCTGCGTGGAAATGAATGGAAGGATGTCATAGGTATACCCATACCCCCGCGCGTCAGAGTAGACGAGGGGGGGCCAAAAGGTGTCACGGGCATGGAGAGCGGTGTGTGGAAAGCGGATTGCGAATAGAACGGCGTCATCGGCACAAAAGACGGAGGTGGCATACCTGACGATGACGACGTACATGTGGGGTTTATATCGATGCTCATAAGCATATTCCGGTCATCTTCCGGTACGTTTGGCGATGGAGCTGCTGAAAGTAAGGCGAATTGAGATTCATGGCGAAGATGGAAACGTGGTACTCGATTCGGAGCCGGTCGTCCCAATAGCTGCCCGGACGGAAGCAACTTTTTTCTTGTCGTCCTTGTCTCGCTTGGGGCTATACCCTGGATGTGATCCTCGATGACGGACATCATGAAGACGAACACGAGCATGCTCGAAGGGCCATATATGGTTGTATCTGAAGAAACGGAATGAGTTTGGGTTGGGGTTTTGATAGGACGTGCGGAGGAAAGATGTCGTGTTAATGTAAGTAAATTTTTTGAATACAAAAAAATGCACGATGACTACGATGACTATGATGACAGGCGCAAAATCACCATTACCATCAAGAAACCCCATCCAAGATCGTCGGATCATAAAATAGCAGAGGCTTGGCGGAGCGGCTTCGACACACGAAAGAGTTAAACGAAACGTTTAAGACATCAAGTGACGACGTGTGGAGCCCCACATTGGTCAGGTGTGCCATGTCACACCGGTGACGCAATGAGGGGTCAAACTTATCGGGGGGTATACAACCATGAAGCCAAACGACATCGAAACAAACACGACAATAAGGATAAAAAGGCTCACCTATTCTTGGCTCCTTTCTCGACGCCTGCCGTAATACTAAATGGAAATGCACCTTGCAAGGGGGTGGAAGGAAGGGTCTTTGCGCCTGCTGCAGTAGCAGAACGTGCACCGGCACCAATGATACCCTGGCCGGCCTCACCCACTGTATAGGCTTGACCGGTAGCAGCATACACGCTGACCTCGCTTTCCCGCGCATGGTGTTCCATGACGCTTCTCAGACGCCTTTGCTCTGCTAATTCTATGCGGTAAAACTGCATGGCAAGAGTTTCAGCGCCTTCCTCAACGTCAGGGTCATTCGAGTCTGGATCAGATTCATGTGGATCATCAGAGCTCTCGCTGCCGCTCTCTACACTGGTTTCCCCTGGAAATGGAGAAGAGTGAGAGGGACGGATGGCAGAACGACCAGCAATATCTTGAAGCCAACGAAATGGGAGGTCTTTGATGCGTCTCCGTACACGCCTGGGAAGACGGAGGGGGATACGTTCCGTTATTCCCTGACTGAGTTCCAAGTTCTGGCGGATGGTATCGAAGAAAGGGTTAGCAGCATTTGCGATTGCCGGTGTACCCGAAGCTGCGTTTGCAGCTGTTGTCGTTGAAAGTGAAAAGGCGGCTTTGGGGAGATGTTTTGTGCGCAATGCTCCAGAGGAGGGAGTGCCTTCTGGGTCATCCTCGTCCGGACTAGGGTGATCGGTTGTGGCGCAGTGACGTGCATCTCGCCACACAGCCTGAAAACCGCCTTTCACCCAGGCGAGTTCGCCTGTGAAACCCTCTGCGCGAAATTTTCTGAACAGACCAGCAATATTACTGGTGTCGGGGACGAGGACAGAATCAGCGTCATATACCAATATATGGTTTGCGGTGGGCCACGCTGCGAATCTTGCACGCGCCGATGAGGAAGGGAGCATTTGAATGAGTTTGGAGAGACCAAAGAGAGGGCGCTTGATGAGAGTACTTGGTATGCTAAGGGAGAGGGCTCGGTGAATACGGGCGGCGGTATGAGCGGCATGTGGGCGGATATCGAGGATGAGAATGGAGGGGTCTGCGAGGTAAGCTGCGAGGTCGGAGGGGTTAACTGGTATGAAGGTGGATGATGATGACGACGACGACGATACAGGTTTCGAGGGGGGTGGAAGAATTGGTTTAGGTGGTAAAATGAAATTTTGTGGAAGTGATTGTTGTTCGTCGGGGAGAATACGTGCGGTGAGAAGATCAGCGGATCCGAAGCGTGCTGCGATAGCATGAGCAAATGAAGCGACATTCTCTTGATCTGTTGAATGTCCTCTTCCCTGTTGACCAGAGAACGGTACGCTGGTGAAGAAATCTTTGTTGCTCATCGCAGACAACAGTAACAAAGGGCGCCTGGCCTCAGTGACCGTGAGGTTGTAATTACGTTCTTACCTTGAATTTTTGGTTCTCGGACTCGATACAGAATCAAGCTTATCCTTGGTCACGGGATCTGATGTCATAAGGGCCAGACCGCGCTCTAGACCATGACGCCATTCTCCTTACTAATACTTATCAAATTTTAACTCTGAAATACGCATTTCGACTGCTGAGGAGCAAGAGTTAAAGTCGATTAAATGACCTTTTAAATAGAAGAGTCGTCCATAGAAATGTGGGGTATATGGCAATTATTGCTGATATATTTATTGAAAAATAGTAAGAATACATACCTCCACTTTTAGAAATTTCCGACAGTCTCACTCCACATCGTGTTGGAACATTGATGACACCGCTTCTTGGCTTTATACCTCCCGTGCACTGAAACGGCCGTGTAAATGTGTACGCGTGCGTAATCGATTCTACCGTCTCGCAACTGAATACTGATCGCACTTGCGGTCCGATGGCATCGATCCAAATCTCTGTTCGAAGTTTATACAGTACAAGCGCTAACAACACGAATTTTCGGGCCTATCACTGTCTGGCAAGTGAACGAAAGAAATCTGTCAGGGAAAAGCTGATAGATTGTTCGAGTAACGACATCATATGCATATGTGTAGTACGTCACGGTATGAGACCTAGCCTTTGTGATGAGCCAACCTTCTGGGCCTAGCACGCCAGATAGGCTGCATATCCCTGAGTCGAACGGCTCTGCACTGTGGTGATGATCAGTGACGATGGGTGACGCGGTGACAACTCTCTTGGTACGGGCTACGTGGCTTAGAACCGTGTCGATGTGTATTGGTAATTGAATTCGAGACCCGCAGACTATTGTCCTTGAAATTCCATGCATGAGTCTGTTTACCTTTCGTTGAAGTTGCCATTGGCAATCTTTGCTAGTCGTTTGCGACGATGTTGAACCGATGCATCGATGTCTGTTGATCCCAACTTAGATAAAGTCGGGAGTCCGCGTCCGCGGCGGCCCGTCCGCTAGTAAGATACGTCATTTCTCACCAAAGCCGCATTGTGTTGAACGTCGAACGAATTTACTCACAACTCGACTCTAGTCATAACTTGGTAGTAACTGACATATTACTAGCCAACCAAGTTTTGTTCGAAACCAAAGGCCACAATGAGGCTGGCCATCGCTCTATTTTCCTCAACCCTCTTGCTCACAGCTAATGCAGCATCTGCAAGCGGAGCAGATTACATTCGTGCTTATGGTGCTCAAGGAGTCAACCTCTGGAGGCTCGCCAACCAGGGAAGAAAAAATGATAGCCATGTCAGCCAAAGACCAATTCTAGTCGTCCAAGATAGCAGCAACATCGAAGAACCCAATGAGTTCCCGGACCAATGGTTCACGCAACCCATAGATCATTTTGCAAACTCGTCAGACACGTTCAAGCAGCGGTACTGGATCAATACCCGACATTATACTCCCGGTTCGGGTGGCCCAGTGATCGTTTTGGATGGCGGTGAGACCAGTGGCGAGGACCGTATTCCCTTCTTGGATACTGGTATCGTCGAGATATTGGCCAGGGCGACAGGAGGAATCGGAATCGTACTCGAGCACCGTTATTATGGTGAGCTCCCGAGGATCCTCAGACAACTTTACTTGCATTTGACGTATTCATGATTGTGCAGGAAAGTCTATACCTGTCTCAGACTTCTCCACTGACAACCTAAGGTGAACTACCCACATCCACGTATCACGCGCATTTGAGAATTGACAGCGTATAGATGGTTGAACAATGACCAAGCTGCCGCTGACTCGGCTAGTTTCATGGCGAAAGTGACGTTTCCTGGCATTGATGAGGATCTGACAGCTCCGAATACTCCGTGGATATACTATGGCGTAGGGCATCATAATTATTGAATAAGACAACGTTTCTTATCAGAAATAACAGGGTTCCTATGCCGGCGCTCGAGCAGCTCATATGAAAGTTTTATATCCCGATCTCGTCTACGGCGCAATTGCTTCCAGCGGTAAGCTATAGGAACGACACACAAGTCCATCTGTGAATTGACTCGCCAACAGGCGTGACGCACGCCACACTATCAAACTGGGAATATTACGAGATCATTCGAAACGCTGCAGACCCCACATGCGCTAGGAAACTCGAGCACACCACCCTAGCAATCGATGCCCTCCTGGGCGTGCCTTTTGCAAAGCGCTTTATCAAGTCATTGTTCGGTCTCGAGGATCTCGCGCACGATGATGATTTCATTTCCGTTTTGGAGGTACGCCTCCAACCCGTTGTGAATCGTCCGCGTGTGTTGACGGTGCAAAAACCAGTCTCCTCTTGGTTATTGGCAAGCTAAAGTCTGGGACCCTGCTGTAGGGAGCACCAAATTTGACCAATTCTGTACTTTCTTGGATAAGCCTATCCTTGGAAATGGTAGTGCTTCGTCGTTACCCGTCGGCCATGAAGACCGCCTCGTTCATCTTCCTGGTGACATCAAGCTCGACTTCTCAATCCTAAACTACGCCCAATACATCAAAGAGGTGAGGACCACTGAATCTGGCTAGTAGGGCGCGATTTCTGAGCGCCAGTAGAACTATGTCTCACAATGCAAAACGTCTGTCGAGGATGTAAGCCCCATCGTCGCATGTCGAATATCTTCTGACGAAAGAAAACAAACAGTGTTTCGGTACCTACAACGATAGCAGTTTTCTTGCCACTGGTTTGGACCAAGAATGGCGGTTGTGGTTATTCCAGGTTTGCACAGAATGGGGTTTCTTCTCGGTGAGTTGTCAAACACGCGTTTTCCTCGAGCAGTTCATGAATGCATGCATTGTAGACTGCCCCTCCCGACCCAGCCCACCCACGAATCGTCTCCAAGTTATTGACATTAGAATACTCGTCGAAGATCTGCAGACAGGTGCGTTGGAGTTGGTTCGCGCAAGCAGCGGGACTCACGTGGACATCGACTAGGCTTATCCAGCTGGGAAGTACTTTACTGTACCGCCCATGCCCAATATCACTGCTGTAAACGCACTGGGTGATTTCACGATTTCTGCCGACAGGCTAGCCATCATTGATGGCGAGGGTGAGCTCTCTTTATCGTGTTATTCACTTAGGCGCGACATGCTAATCCTCGTGTCAAGTCGACCCTTGGAGGCCTTGTACGCCCCACAGCGATTATGCAGCTGACCGCGAAGATACGATCCTCCAACCTTTTAAACTCATTCCAAGTACGTATTGACAGTCTGACTGCTACCTGTGTATGCATCTGACGGCGGTTGATTCAGACGCTGTTCATCATTATGATGAGTACGGATTGAAGAATATCAGCGATGAGCCTGTGGAAATTAGAAAGATTCACGGGGAGATGATTGTTTTCGTCATGGAGTGGTTGAAGGCTTTCAAAGCACAGGGTTCGCAATGATTTCTCATTATTAGAGCGTACGCTCGAAGATATATGAGCAATCAATCTCATATCTTCCTTGTTCGATGGTTGTGGGTTCATTGAACAAGTGGGGACAGGTAGCTTCCGATTGTCTGACTTTGTGACCGAAAAATGTAATGCGATGTGCGAAGGTAATTAGGTCCCTGCAAGTCAGAACGCACGTTTGACAGGGTCGCGACTGCGTGGGTTTGTTGAGTTTAGGGGAAAGTATGTTATTATATTCCCATCCCACCAAAGACGGCCGACGTACGTCCATGCGAGATAGGAATCGACTTATTTTTCTCACTGCTTGTATCACAGCTACGGTCATTGGAGTTACCTATTGGGCTACGATGCACTTCTCTGGTTTGAAATTTCGACATGGGGTTGAAGTGCCTTCAGCTTCAACGGACCCGCGACCATTTCTGACTGAATCTAAAACGTGAACCACATTCGTATGAGAAGATCATGTTCGTAGATCTGGGATGCTTGTCATGACTCATCAATTGTTCGAGTTGGTTGCCACCCTAGTCCGGGCCGAACACGAGGATATGGAACTTCCGGAATAGTATATCGAACATGCGTCGAAGCTAGCTGTGGTGTCAGTGGTGGCCCCCTCTTTGTGGTTTTGTCATCAGGATCATTTGGCAGATGTAGAAAGACAAATCAAAGGCTCGTCGCCCATCATTCTCTTGGCCTCCTCATACACACGCTCCCGTCCTATACATCATCGCCAGTTGACATACCTACATTCAATAGTAGAATTCATCCCACCTTCATCGGAGTCATCCAAATGCTGAGCATTAAGCTCTCTGACACTAGGGATAAGGTGCGGTCCCAGCACAAGCAGTTGCACGAGCCCCAAAAATGCGAGAATGCGAGAATAGACCTGATTTCCCACAGTGGACAATTCCTACGGGAAATAATAAACAGGTGCCATACACAGCGACAGACAGCTTACCTTTTTGGAGAGAAATTACCCAGGTGGAAGCAGGAACCAGCGACAAAGCTAACGCACACAGAATGTCAGCCCAAAACTTATGATGACCAAAGTCAAACCATAAGTTCACCTTGCGAAATAAAGGATGTGAGTTTCCATCAACACCGCGAAACAGTCCCCCACGCACGTATTTGATCCTGTCGACGGTTGTCAACAGAAATGTTTTACAGCAACCCAGACTGTAAGACACAGTGTGATGGCCTCCCATACGATACCGAGTTTTGAGGCTCAGAAGTTGGTCATCTCCCTGAAAGTCAAAATTGCACTGCTAGTTGCCAGAGAAAACGAGTTCCTCTGGAATCCGCCTGATGATTTTCATGTCCTTGAATCTTTCGACCATAGTTGAAGCTTACCTCCTGAAGTATTTTTATCTGATATTACGACCATTACTGCGCAGGCGATCAAGACGGTTGAGAAGATGACAGCGGGGAAGATCAGCACCCTCTTAGATTACTGGTACATGGCATGTGCCCGAGTGATCATGATGACTCCCATGATGTCTCAGTTGAGTCGATATCACCGAGGTATCGAACTCACTGCCCAGCATGGTATACTATTTAGAAA